ATCGCCAGATATCGTACCATGCTCATGCTCATTTCTCTCCACAGGCCAGGTTGTGAATCCTCCTCCATCTTTCATTCTAAACCACCTCCGGACGTCTGGCGGCACCATATCCCCCTCTCGGCCTTGATATAATTGCTTCAGTCAGGTTATCTTCCACTCACCCGGCCTCGGGAAACATCGTTCGTTGAAGCCTCGCTACTCGATCTGTATTACTCAGTCATCGACTCACTTGTGCTCCCGGTACTCACAGCGAGCCATACGCCGACCATCCGTTGACTTTTTGGAGTTTAGGATCCTGGTCGTGCCGGTCGACACCGATGGGAACCGGGGGCGTTCCACGTCGGGGAATCTCGATGGCCGCGGACGACGCAGGACCATCGGTTTCTGAACATGCCTCTGCCTCAATCTCAAACACTGAGAGAGGGAATACCTCCCGCAAAATGCATTCGATTCCGGGGCAGCTCAAGCTGTAATCTCTCCAGAACGACGATTCCGACTTGCCCACTTTCAGCAACTTGAACTCTGGCAGCACGTTCAGATACCTGCTCGGATCCAATATAGCCAAAATTGGGAAGGGCATTTCAGCCGCAGTTCGCATTTCGGTCGTAGTTCGCATTTCGGTCGTAGTTCGCATTTCGGTCGTAGTTCGCATTTAGAGCAACAGGCACCGTTGTTATCTACCTAAAGAGCTGGCCGATGCCGACTTTCTGCTCAAGCACGAGCTTGAGGTACTCAGGGTTCGAGATCTTGACAAGACTGGTTGCATTGCATCGAACCTGAGATCCGGATCGCCGCTGAGTATAATCAAGAAGATCCGGCAGGCAAAGCGACTCACGGGACGCTCCAGTCTACCCACTGGTGGAGGACATACCTTGTTTTTGCAGAGCAGATTCACCTCTCGATCAAACACAACGGTGCCGTTGGGGACTCTCTCGTCACTCTCGGCCAGCTGGTTGTTTTTGATGATCTTGACGGTAACAGTCGAGTTGTGGAACGAGCTGCCGCAGGGTACCATCGTGGCGATCACTCATGTCAACGATACGAGAGGCGTAGAGCAGCATCGCTGTCGAGCTTAGTGCTATAGCGACCAGGTGGCTTGGATGTCAAACCCACCTCAAGATCCGTTGGACATTTCCGTTGGCAGTCAGTAGGATGCGCTCAAGAGGAGAAAAGTCTGTCGGAAGCAAGACGGTGACCTCTCTGGACGACATGATATCTCCCTGCAGTCACAGCGATGGAACAGCCGGGGTGTGGAGATGTGAGCCGCAGTGTTGCCAAGTCGACAGCCAAGTGCAGTCTCTGCCCCCAGCACGAAGACCAGCGCATTCGTTGAGCAGTCCTCCTCCAAGTGACGTTAGACGGCACTGATGGCTGATGCGCACGCCAAGCTCCTTCCTCCGATGTTATTCTTGCTCCGATCTTACCAGATGCCCCGGGATCGCCGACTTTGTTTCATCTGTTCTGTTTTCGATCATGGTGACGGAATGGCTGCACACCGAAGCGATCGGTCAGTCCAACCTGTACCCTGCCCTATCCTGCTCTGGTTCTGCGGCGGTCTCAGATACACCGTGGCTTACCGACAGCCCACTGTCCTGGTCGTCAGCGAGTATGCCGGTGCGATGGATCTGTGATGAAGACCAGCGCCGGCTCTCGAATCTTGGCTGTGGCATCGAAGAGGGTCTTCCGGCGCGGAATGGGATCGACGGCTTGCCTGTGGCTGCCTGTGGCTGCCTGTGCGACCCCCGCTGGAAAAACGGGCTGGATTTTTGCTCATCGGCCGATCGCTCAGGGCCCAGCATCGGCCCTCCCATCCCGCACCGCAATCATCATGTCCTTCCGGTTTGCATTTGCGGTCAGTCGAGGCCGCTGCGGCTATGTGCCTGCGGTCACCTTCGCTATTGCAACCTCGCTTTGGTGGGCTTGCTGCTCTGACTGCGTTTCTTGGCCCTCTGCGACCGCAGGCCGATGATGAAGACACAGCCGTCGATCCATCCATTCCGAACGAGACGGTGTCGGCACCAGTGCCGGTCCCTGTGCTGGCCCCTGCCAAACTCCTGGAGTTTGACGACCACTTTGTATGTTACAGCGAGTGAAGACCGAGCCCTTGATATTGCCCCACCTCCTTGCTGCTTGGCAATGGGAGAGTCTGTGATGCCGTTGGAACTTCCCAGATCGCATCCGATCCTGTCCATCTCCGATCAACACCGGCAATTGGATGCATCGAAATCCATGACAATACCTCCAAACTGACACTCGATCCTTATGTCGTATCACCTCGACTGGCAGAAAGCAAGGCAGCTCGATGTGATTGCCGAGGTTGTTGAAACCACACTTCCTGTCTTCCGACGGTCCTTGGCTGATGTCAAGCTGCATGTTGCTCGCGGCGACGCCGACGACGACCTCGACCCCGCAGAGCGAGACGCTCAGAATATTGTGTTTGACCAGACGGATCTCATCGGAGGAGTCTATGAAGGTCGGTGGATTGCAGGGCGATCGGGATTGCCGTCGCTTTGACGCCAATTAACCTGGATCCACGGGCCAAACAGGCGGACTGAAGACCTGGGAGTGCTCCATCGATCTGGTGAACTATCTCTCCACCTGGGAGTCTGAGGATATCAAAAGCAAGCGGGTATTCGAGGTATGCGTGCCAGTTTGACTGCATATCTCCCAGGAGGCCACACCCCACCCCACCCTTGCAATCGATCCCTGCCCTCTCGATTCCTTACCCGTGCCGCCATCAACCATCTCAAGATCGGATGCGGATCGGCGTTGCCTGGAGTTTTCTGTCTCGCAGGAGGGGCTCATGTCGATTTCCAGGACTATGTGAGTGCCGATTCCACCATCCGAGCGTCTAGAACGGATCGATCGGATCCGGTTGCGATCGTTGCCTCAATCGCAGGCTCACATCAGCCAGCCGCCGAAGCAAGAGGCAGCGATGCTGCATTCAATGCTGTTGAATGGCATGGCTTGATCTGGTGCTAACTTGGCCATGCTATTTTCAAAGAACGAGCACGTCCTCCGCCTAGTTACGCTCCCGAACGCCCTCCTGAATACCATCAGCCGGCCGTTGAGGGAAGATGTCGCTGCCAATAACACCTTCGATAAGGAGCTGTCGTTTCGAGACATCGATACCATCTCTGCCAGGTTTTGGTCTGGCGATTGGGGCCTCCTCGCGGTAAGCATCGGCCTCGACCAACCGATTCTCGATTGATCCCTTCGCCAGTCACTTGGATGTTGGTGTGATTTCTGTGCCTGATCCGATTGTCACTATCGGCATTCTCATCGTGGTTGCATTCTGCTCCCTATCAATGCAGTCCCATTTTGAGCATGTCGTGCCCTCGCAGAAATACGACATCGTCCTGACCTCCGAGACGATCTATGCCGCCGAGTCGCACCGCAAACTCTACAATCTCATCTATCGCACCCTTTCGCGCACGGGCAAAGCGTAAGCACGGATAGGCCTGGGACGTCCACGCAGATGCAGCACAGTTTGTTGAGATCATCCATCGAACGAGTGTGCGCCCTCTAAATCCTCTGCTTCCACAACCCCGCAGGCTCGTCGCTGCCAAAGATGTTTACTTTGGTTGCAGCGGATCTCTCTTTGATTTTCTACAGCTCGTGCAGAAGGAGGGTCACTTCAGAGCCACCTCTGTCTTTGTCGTCCCGGACACTGTGCGTCGCGAGATTGTGATGCTGGAGTGGATCGACCCCATCGAGCCAGTTGCCAGCACCTTCAGGAGCCTCGCCGTGAACTAGCAGTAGGATCCAGCCGCACCGCTCGTCCCTCACAAAGGCGATGTAAGCAGCAAAGTCTCAACACATCCCAACAATTAGGAATGCATTTTCTACCTGTGCTCTTCTGAGAATAAATTTTACATTAACACTAGCGCATTAACGTCAACGTATTCAGAGAATACTATGAAAATGCGACTCTGTGCATGTGTGGGAGGGAGGCGATGGCACAGCGATCGCTCCCCGCGTCGTCGGACGCTGCCATCAAGGTGGCTGGCTCTGTCGTGCGCAATACAATACCTGCTTCGCCCGTCGAGCCGTGACGGTGTGACCTGGTCGGGTTGTGGCTCGTTGGGCGGTGATGCTGGAGGAAACGGCGACAGAGGAGAAAATCGATGCAACCCGCTGCTTTATAGGTCAGCCGCAAGCCACGCGTGGCGCAGGGGTGACGCAAGCACCAATCACAGAGCCAGCCACGATGTGGCAGCGGCTGTGGGAAAACCCCCGAACGCTCTCGAGCAAATCGGACGCAGGTCGGTGCCTTGCAGACAACAGCATCGCCAGGGGAGTATCGCACGCCAGCAACATGGGAAACTCAATCTCCTCTCTGCTGGAATGGGCAGAGCAAAGTCCCGCTGAAGCCCCCGCCAAGTCGGCGGATGGCCTGCCAACGCTTCCAACCAGCCTGGTCAACCAGGAGTTGCTCGTTGATGTGCTGCACAACGTTGCCCTTCTCTGCGAAAACCACAAATCCGAGTCGCGAGCTGAATTCAAGCGTCCGCTAGTGTGGCAGTCGGGTCTCAAGCCAGCTGCCTTTCAGGGGAGCACTCTCTGGAATGTCCAGAGTGGCCCACGGTAGGGATCTACACCACCAGCGCGTTCTGTCGACTCATCACCGTTTTGGTGTCAATGTTTGGCTTCTCTCCCGAACAAATGGTGTTTGTCGATGAGGCGCATCTGTTGAGTGGTAGTATCACACCTGCCATTCGCTGCTTTCCGTTCATATGGACAACAGCATGTGCACCACCAACACTCCCAACAGTTTCAACTCACCCGGCCCCATGCTGCTTGAGGACAACTACCGTGCTCCACCCTCTGTTCATGTATGCGTGACTAAATTGCCGTGCTAACTGCGCCGATACGCTCCGCTGACCTTTAATGCAGGAATGGAAAGCCCCCGGTCGTCAGCGCCGTCGCACGTATCGATGGCCAGCCTTTCTTCCAGCTTGATCAGGTGCCGGGCGAATCGGGTTTCGTGGCAAAGGTGTCCTCGTTCGAGTATCTGCATCATGCATTGCAAGCTGCCGAGGACCAAAAGCTGCATGAACTCCAGCGTATCATCCGAGGTATGGCAGCATTGAACTGCTCATCGCGATACAAGGCGACCCGATGCCAATTTCTTTTCATTTCGATCGCTAGCCAACCGAGATCCCCTCACGCTGATATTCGGCGTGCCTTCGTCATCCGAAACATCGACCGAGTCAATATTGATCGAGGCATTCGAGTCCGTTACCTCCGAAAGGGATCCCAAGAAGCGCGAACAAAACGGACAGCTCTACAAGCTGCTACTGGTCCTCAACAAAATGGACCTCAAGCTGATGAAAGATGCCGTCAAGGCGCTGGAGAGGTATGATCTCACAATTCAGTCGTTGGGAAAGCATATCAAATGGATTACCCGTACACCTGTACCTTAAAATCGCGTTTCCGAGAGTTTTGGGCGACGGGATGGATGTGGACTTTACATACTCAACGTAATTTGCCTTGTGCACGCACTATTAAGAAACAAGCGCCTCGACATCGGCCAAGTGACCGAGGAGCTGCAAATGCTTCAAGCGTTCACCGGAAAGGAAGAGCAGAACGTGCTCCTAGCGATTGACTGGGAGTCGGGTATGGTTAACACTGCTGCTTATCCTCGAACACCCGAAATGGCCCGAGTAAACTTGCATCCCTCATCGCTTTGTTGACCCGAAGTGTTCCCCCCCCTCCAAGTCGCTTTGCAAGCACGCCATCGTCCTGATCTGTAACTGCGCTCGCCACTGCTTTCTCTTCCCTTCATTCCTGACTCCTGGCACTGAACAACAACCTGTTTGCCATCGGATCATCTCATTTCTGGGCATCTCCGTCATGCCGTCAACGCGTTGCATGTGTGTCAAGATTACACGTTCTCCAACGGGTGCAAGGCGCCGCCATGGCGCCAGGTGTACGGAGAAATAAGTTACATCTCTGCGCAGCCGATGGACCGCGAGCCAATGATCATCACCGCATCCAAGAGTGGCTATTTCGTGAACAAGGGGTACTGCACTGATGACAAAGGTTTGCATCTCTGCTGCTCGACATAGGCCTTGGCTTCACCTGTATCGATGACACAGGCCCACCAACCTCGCTATCGCTCGCGCTGTCTTTCTGTGCGCATGTTGATAACCATGACCTACGGCCCTTGGCTAGGCAACCAAAGGCTGAATTACGAACGCGATTCCAACGACTATCCAACTCTCGTGGCGCTGTTTCGTGATCAGTCAAAGTATTTTGCTGAAATGATTGATCAGCAAGGCTATTTTTACTACCAAGAGCAGTCGTCCCGTGGTATGTCATGCTCACGCTCCCATACTTGCCAGATGATCGTGGCTGTGTGGTCTGTGTGGTCTGTGTGATCTACGTGGTCTGTGTGGTCTACGTGGTCTACTAGGCTTGTTGTGCATCACAGCGTTTAACATCCAATCCTTACTTCTCTTCAGAGGAGACCATCCCTCGAAGCGCCAACGCAGCCGAAGGTGCAACAGCACCGGATGGTCGAGGGGATCAGGTGCGATGGCGTCTATCCACTATCGCCATGTTGGCAATCTTCTCAACCTATGCTCACAGAGCCGAGCCACTGACTCTTGCCTTGAATGCAGGATCTCACGGACGACGAAAAAACCGACAGCTCCAACTTTGGCAACATCGGAAGCGGCAGTGCCCGAGAGGATGCAGCAAAACGAGGAGGCCATAAAAAGAAGACGTATGTTCATTGGTCCTGTGTATTCTCGCGGGTGCGGGTGGTTGCTGGCTTGGGTCATCCGCTGCTTTGGAATCACGGACCCAAAATGCGCCCACTTCCATGGTGTCTCTAAACAACCCAGTCTCTCCAAATGCATCACAGCGGCAAAGCAGTGGCTCAGAAGCGAAACATTACAGAACCATCGTTGAAGTGGAGGTGCGTCTGTCCTCATAGTCTCTTCTCAGCTCCTTCACGGCGCGCCATCTTCATTCTCTCACCCGGATCGTTGGTGTAAATAGAACCCTGGCTCTTGATCCCGAGCAGATCGGTAAAGTGCCGAGCGCCAAGACCAGGAAGAAGAAGGGTCACTCGAATCCGACCTCGGCCAAATCCGGCAAGAGGAGCGGCAAGAGCCATGGTTCTGGGATCCAGGTCGAGGAAGATCTCACCGAAAGTGACTCTGGTATATGGCCGCTCGAAATGCAAAACCAATGTGACCATTTGGCTGATTGCTTTGCTGACCATTTCTCACTCTCCGTGGCCACAAGATGGCACATCCGACGAGGAGGCTCAAGACAAGCGACAGGAGAATGGTGAGTCTAGTGCTCCAGCTTAGCGTTTTGACATTCGAATCAACGGCGTCCTTGATACTCACTTGTTCATCCCACCGCTAGTTGAGCTTCCCGCCGAATACTATCAGATCCAAAAGCTCGTCAAGTATCTGCGCTGCGGCAACCAAACTGCAACCATCATCGCGATATGTTCTCTTCGAGACTTTGATCTCAACAACGGTATGCACTGCTTTCGATCCGTGGGCCCGAATCGGCACTCCGAGCTCTGTGCGCTGGGACAAAGTGAGGGAAAGTGTGTGAGAGCCAATATTGAGCTCAATGCCATGTTCTTGCAGAATCGAATCAGATTGCCATCCGCGATGTCGGAGGGCTTGATACTTTGGTCAACCTTCTCGACACCGATGACCCAAAGTGCAAGATTGGCGCTCTCAAGATTCTCAAAGAGATTTCACAAAACGGTAAAGCCCCTCTCCTACTCTGCCTGGCCGAGCCTCACCTCCACAACATTCCCGACTGATCATCTTCCTTTCCGTTTTCTAGTCCAAATCCGTTGTGCAATCGCCGATCTTGATGGGATGAAACCGCTCATCGAGCTGCTTCAAGACTCGAGCGAAGAGCTCAAGTGTCTGGCGGCAGAAACGATTGCGTACTGCGCAAAAAATGGCATGTTGAGCATCTCCTGTTGCCAGCAATGATAACCCGCCGGTCGCGAATGCCGAGAACTGACTGGGTATGTGTTCACCAGCTCGCAATCGTCGCTCTGTGCGAAGATACGGAGGCATCCGCAAGCTCGTAAAGCTTCTCAAAGCAAGGCCCGGAAGCAAAGACGAGGATGTGGCCATCTCTGGAGCCCTGGCTCTCTCAACTTGCAGTAAATCCAGTACGTTCGTGCTTCCCAGATCTCCTCCCTGTCTTTCTGTTGTCTTGCTGCAGACCTGGCCAGCATAGGTCGCTCCACCACATTCGCTGATAATCGAGTGCCTGGTCCACCTCCCAGGCAAGAATAAGGCCGCCATTCAAACAGCGGGGGCCATTCCACTCTTGGCAAACCTTCTCGAGTCGCAAAATGAAAAGCTGCTCATTCCGGTGGTCGGAATTCTTCAGGAATGTGCATCCGACGGTAGGTCTCTAGTCCAGTCCTTCATCGATCTGATCAACTCCGATAATTCCACCGACCCGGACGAGTACTGACCGTGCTTACGATCCAGAAAACTATCGGGTTGCCATTCGCGAGTCCGGCATGATTCGCTTCCTGGTTGAGAACCTTGCCAGCAAGAACGAAGAGCTCCAGACACACTGCGCCAGTGCGATATTCAAGTGCGCCGAGGACGGTAAGCATCGGAACCCTCGACCCTGACGACTGCGGGTTTTCTGACGCTTCCATCCCAGCAAGACTCGGCATTACTGCCACTTACCTGCTCTACCTGCATTATTCGATTCGATTCGATTCGATTCGATTCGATGGGCGAATTGCCGGCGCTATGCATTTGATGCTGGAATGCTCTCAAACCTTTCGGTTCAATCCCCTACCATAGACGAAACACGAGCCTTGGTTCGTCAGTACAACGGACTTGTCCCACTGGTTAATCTGCTCGACAACCCTGGAAACAGAGAGTTGCTCGTTGCAGCGACCGGGGCAGTGTGGAAGTGCGCCCAAAACAGTGGGTATCGGGTGTGGCATCGTGAAAAACACCCAAATCGTGTCTTATCGATTGCAATGGCCGATCGCGGGGTTTCGCAGCGAATCAATCGTTGTTGGGTTGCTACAAAGCAGTGCACCGGACCGCATCGTGCCCGTTGATACGACTCGTGCGAGAATGCTGGTCTGATGAATAAGCAGCAATTATTGGGTCGGACGCTTCTTGGACACGAAGCGATGGAGATCCAGACTGTGTTGTGGATTAGTGAGCGACCGCTCGGCTGCGAAGTGGGCTCCTCACGCTAACGACGCCCCAATCTTTTCACCATCACTAGTTGACAACGTCGCAGCCCTCAACAAGCTCAACTCGATCAAGAAGCTCATTGGGCTGATGGAGAATCAACCCGAAGATGTGCTCGTGAATGTTGTTGGTGCCCTTGGTGCCTGTGCCCAGACTCGTATGTGCTCTTCGCACTGACTGTCGACAGCATCACCTTGCTCTCGACTGGATTGTCTTGGCTCCCGACTGGATCGAGGCACCTGCGGAAGACAATCTGCCACTCAACGGGTCAGGCCAAGTCAATTCAGTGGAGAGCAAGTATGTCCTCGAGGCTTGATCGCTCACAAATTGCCTGAATCACCGCAGCCGAGGGACGCCAGGGCATCAGAGAAGGCGGTGGTATCACACCACTGGTAAACCTGTTGACGGGCACAAATCAGCTCCTGCTCGTCAATGTAACGAGGGCCGTTGGTGCCAGCGCGCTTGAAAGTGAGTGCTCTCTTTGCGACTCTGCGCCAGCCTGACGGCTGGCGCTGCTTGGACGAATAGTATCATCTGGCACTGACTCTTGTCGCTCTGATTGCTTTACGGGTTTTTAATGATCTAGGCGATAGCATGGCCATCATCGACCGCCTCGACGGAGTGCGCCTGTTGTGGTCGCTCCTCAAATCGACCAACCACCATGTACAGGCCTCAGCCGCATGGGCTATATCACCCTGCATCGAACACGGTCAGTCATTCACGCCCTGTCGATAGTTACATTGCTGCCATATCATCTGAACAGACAGTTTGTCATCTGCTCTTGCTCTTGCTGATATATTACTTTCTCGACGGTGGCTCGCATTGGGTTCTCTAGCAAAGGACGCTGGAGAAATGGTTCGGTCCTTTGTCGGTGGTCTCGAGCTGATCGTGTCGCTACTCAAGTCTGAGCACACGGAAGTGCTTGCAAGCGTGTGCGCTGCAATCGCCAACATTGCAAAGGATGGTATGTGGCATAGATCGCCGATCGCCGATCGCCTTTCAACAACGAGACTGGTTGTCCGTGAGGGCGATACCATGGGCACAAGCCCATATAGTTTTGTGCGTGACTGCAGCGCAATTGTGCTCCAACAAGGATCTTGGCTCTGTTGCCCCTCTCCGCCGTCGACGGCGTACTTGGTGGATGCTGTCTAACCATCGCCGATATCCGCTTCGTAGAGGAAAACCTTGCCGTGATCACGGATCATGGAGTTGTGCCCATGGTAAGTGGCAAATTCTTGCTGTCTAAAGACCATATGCAGCTCCAGAGCTGAGCAAGTCGACAGACGACTCATCCGCTCGGTGGTTTGACGTTCAAAACAGCTCGGCAAACTCACCAACACCCGAAACGACAAGTTAAGAAAGCATCTGGCCGAGGCGATTGCGACCTGCTGCCACTGGGGCAACAACCGCGTTGCCTTTGGAGCGGCTGGCGCCGTGGCTCCTCTGGTTAAATACCTCAAATCCACCGACGAGGAAGTTCACCGGTCGACCGCGCGGGCATTGCATCAGCTTTCCATGGATGGTAGGTGGTCGGGTTTGGTAGCGAATGGCCTTGGTGATGCGGCGCGATGCATGCCAGCGCACCCCGGATCGCTGCCGTCCTTGCTAAGCCAGTGCCGACGCTCATAGCGGACAACTGCATAACCATGCACGAGCACGGCGTCGTTCAGCTCTTGCTTGGCATGGTGGGTGCGTCCGATCAAGTCCTGCAGGAAGCCGCCGCTGGAACCATCGGCAACATCAGACGGTATGAATGCGGGGACGAGCAGCTGCTCGACTGGATGCATATTCCTTGTAGCTCTCCTTGACCTGCTCGCCGTGGCGCACGAATCCCACGAATTGCGGCTGAACGGCCGAGTGCCCTTGCTCGTTCCGCCTGAGCAGCAATCTCTACCCTTTGCACCGCGCCCCATCTATTTGCTGGAGTGTTGCTTCCTTGCTTCCACGTGTTGTCCATCTGGATGAATCGTGCAGTCATTCACTCATGCTGTATCGCTCTGCTCCCTTGCGACATGACATAGACTGGCCCTCGCAAGTGAAAAGGCAGCCATCACCCAAGCGGCCGCAGCCAAGAACCAATAATTACAATAGTTCATTTCTTGGCTCCTCGATCGCAATCATGATCTTGAGAAACACTCGCATCCTGAATGACAAGTGACACAATTTGTAACTTGGGCATGTCATGATGGGTAAAACCAGAGCCACCTTACACCCACGATATCCATCGAAAGTGACTCTGGCTCACGTTTCCGTGACTTTCCACAGCCAGCTATCGATTGCGCGCCAATCGCGTCTCCCGATCGACCGCCGGCGACAGCAGTTTCGCCGACGACGAGTCCCAACAGGGTTGGAAGAAATGACGACGGGCATGTTGACGTCTCTATTCAATTCCAATCAATAGTTACAGTGACAATTGTGGATCGATTCCCAGCGTCCAGGTCTCGTCGGCGATCTATCGGAGTGATACTATGCCCCCATAAACATGAGCCAGTGGGTGCTGTGTCAATTCGAGGTGTGGAAGGGAGGACAGATGCTTCAGCCAACGAGAGGAACGCCTGTGACGCGGGCCAGGCCACAAGGAGTGAATTGAAGGTCCACATTTCAGACGACCATTGGTGTTCTGCATTTGGTGCCAACGGTATCGCCCGCCAAAGCAGGCGGACTCTGAGCCTACTGCACAAAGAGCGATGGCTTGTCCGGCATGTCCATCGAGACTATCTTCCATCTCCGAAGCGACTCTCGTCCCTTGAAGTAGAAGTGGAAGCTCATCAACGAAAAGCATGGACAGACGTAATGGGAATGGGCGATGCAGCTCATCGCGTCCCATTCGTGCTTGAGGTCCAGGCCATACTCCGAGCTGATGGTGAGAGCGATGCCATAGATGGCTGGGCAGTGGTCAATGATGGCATAGAGTGCGCCGTGCACTTCTGAAAACGATATAAAGTCAAAGGTGTGATACAGAATCAGCGTCTGCAGTCGTTTGGCGTGGAGCGCCAGCGATTCCAGAGCCTTCGCCGTCACTCGGAAGCATTTTGTCAGATCCAAGCGCTTGATAAACTTGAGCTCGCGCGACACGAGGTCGACTCCAGCGTCCGTGAGCGAGTTGGATCCAGACAGATTGAGGTAGTTGAGATTTTGGCAGTGCTGGACGACCCTAGCCAGGACTGCGTCCGAGACGTTGATCGGGGTCAGCTGCAAAAACTTGAGGTGCGGGGTGTACACGGTCGAGGCCTCGATCTGCTCGTTGGCGATGTTGGAGAAGCGGCACTCGATGTGGAGGTGGCGGATGTTGGCGTTGTGAACGACAATGGACGATAGTATTCGACTTGAGCCAACAAGGCACGCAAAAGACGCAGCAGGTTGGTCGGTCAGTCAATGCAAACAATGCAAATGGCCGCAGTGGTTGCCTCTGCCGAAACGCCTGGCTTCGTCACAATGGTGTCGGATGCCGCACAAGAAGGCAGACTCGTCGTGCAAGCCGCTCAGAGGGACTGCAGCTAATCTTGCCACAGACAATCGCAGGTCCTACGCCAATGCTGGCCTTCCAAACCGGAGACAACTCTCATCCAAGCACGCTGCGCGCTGTCTCGGCGGGCCATCACTCACTCGATGTCGAAGCAGCAAAGGTTCTTGAGCGTCACATTCTCCAGGTTTCGACAGTTTTCAAACAGGTGGGGGAGCAGCGACGAACGCACATGGAGCCTAGATTTGTTGCCCAGGACCCGGATGCTGCGAAGTAGCGGGCATTGAATCGCCAAGTTGGCAAAGTCGCTCGGCTCCAGCTGCTTGTCGATGCACAGCGAGTCGGGGAACACCACTCTCTTGAGATTGGGACAGTGTGCCGAGAGGGCGAGGATCAGCTGTTTCGTCGAGCGGATCTCGGCGCAGTGCAAATCGAGGTTGACCAGGCCGGTTGCGCGCTGATAGAGCGAATGGGGTTTGGTGATGGGGGCTGCAGGCATGACGATGCTATAGTAGTGTGGGAGCTCGCCCTGGATGGGATGGTTCATGTCATTGGCAGAGGTCAGTGAGTGCGAGCCGAGGAGCGAGACATTGGATCACTCAAGCATCATGGGTGAGACCCACGGAGACCCACAGACACCCGCGGAGATCCACAGACACCCGCGGAGACACACGGGGACCCTCCTATGTCGCCTCTTGAGGATAATGTGCCCGTTCAGTGGTCCTTGCGGACTGAGCGGCGGGGCTCGGAAACAAGGCTAGTGGTGGACCGAAAGAGCCCTGGGACCTACCATCAACTTTGACAAGAGCCCAAAGAACGAGTCCCGGCCGCCAATCATCGGGAACTCATAGTCGGAAAAGTTGATCTCTTTCACATACTGCTGTGGGTAGGCGTTTCTCCACGACATCTTTGTGATGATTTTGAGGTATCGCCGATCCTTGAGATCCAGGAACGGAAAGACCCTGCGAAGCCATTTTATGGACTGTCCGTCCTTTGCAGCAATCCCTGATGAAGGATAGACGGGGTTGTGGTGAATCGAGTCGTCTGGGCATTCGCCGAGCCGAATCGCAGCAGCCATTACAAACTCGTCTTGATGGCATGGGAGCACGGCGGCTGGCCTGGTTGTCAAATATCGACATCCCTCCTCAGCCTGATTCGATCAGCACCTCCATGCCGCCCGCGCTACACTGATTCGGACATGCCGATGCAGATGCAGGCGACACCTACCTGCGGCTGGGGGAGGGACAGGCCCTCGGGTCCGTTCTTGAAGATCCCTGGAGCGATCGTACGGACGGGTGTCATCTTCTGTGTCGTGCACAGCCGAATCACAGGGTATGATGGACTTGATCCATACCAAGACCGATTGCTTGGTCGGCTTTTGCGAGGGCAATGCGGAGGATGGCTGCGATGCTTTCCCCCACGGCATTGGCTGTGCTGATTCTGCCTCGACCTCGATTTCGATCTCTTTGATTGGTGATTGGCCAGCGACAAAGGCAACGGCCCCAAAGTCATGAGTCGGGGTGGTTGGGGACTCTGTGCTTTCCTCCGAGCCCACAGCATGGCGGAGGGCCGTCGGGTGCAAAGACACCGTCAGTGCTGTGTCGCCTCGCTGCGAGACAAAGCCCGGATGGCCAAGAAAGAGTTGGGGACAAGGTTAGAAACGGGCCGGGGTGTCCCCTCCGCGGGCTCTGCTGTCAGTTGGCATCGGATCTGGTCGAAAGTGGCAAAGAGACGAGGAAAGGGAGGAGACAGATGTCTCCGAATATGTCATGCCACGCAAGCAACGGGCATCGAGCGACTGGATATGACTCGGAGGGTGTCCTCCCAGGACCGCAACAGCGAATCACATCCAACGGACGAGTCAGCGATTGGAGTGGGTGCGAGATGAGAGCGCGGGGCTGGAAGAAGAGGCGGTGGGATGTCGATGCAATGCAGATGCAGATGCAAAAGCAGATGCAAAAGCAGATGCAAATGCAGTCGCCTTGGCATAGGGCGTCCTCTGGCTGACAAACGGACCATGATGGTCGTGGTGCGCTGGGACGGCTAACGATGCAAAACTTGCCGAAATGCTTGGCCGGAAGAGCTATCACGCGGCAACAGGCGTCGCCGTCGAGCCCACATCCGACCGACAACCCCCCCCGGACGTGCGGCTTTTCAGAACTTACCTGAGCGAGCGGGCCTGTGATGGCGCCGGTGGCAGAAGCAATAGCGTCGTCTGGGCTGCAGTGAATCACGTTCTTGCTTTCCTGCAGCTGATATTGCCGACGATGGAACTCGTAGAGACGATTGAGGTTGCGGGTAGCCACGAGCAGTCTGGAGAGGCCCTTGTGGGATTTTATGCGGATGTTGGACCACAGCCGCACAAAGACACACAGATACCAACATCGACTGACGCGGGCCAGCAGGATCAACTCCTTGGGGTCGTGGTAGTGGGAAAGGATCATCAAGACGATTTCGACGGGAATCAAGAGCCGGTCCCGCTTGCCGCCAACACTGGCTTGCAGCGCGATAGACAGCAGCTTATCGTCACAGCGGACGAGCGCCTGCTCGACGGGTACGATCAGACCCAGACTCGGGCGAGGATGGCCATGGTGGGGAGCTGGCTGAGGCGCGGTGCCGGTTTGCATGACTTGTATGGCTCGAGTGCGAGCGTCTGAGGGTAGGGAGTCGCAGTCACGAAGATGGCCTGGTATTCAAATGAGACGGTGGTCGAGGCAAAAGGCGATGCGGTGCATGAGCAGTTGCTTCGAAAGCCCCGGTGGCGATTTCTGGCGTTATCGGCGACTGGGTAGGGATTGGCGACGCAGACGGTGAAGCGGAGATGGACGCAGTGGTGCGGCGACGGAGAGACACGAGCAGTGGGCCACAGACGAGGCCGTGTGGACGAGTTTATGCGAGGCGAGGCGATATGGACGAGGAAAACAAACGGCCATCCGCGACGACGAAGCAGAAGCCAATGCCGATGCACGGCGGGACCGTGTTTGGCAGTGGTGGTGGTGGTGGCGGCAGGCGTGACGAAACAGCCGGGAAACGATGCAGCCGGGGTCCCACCTGGACAGGAAAGCAGTCGGGCTAGCGACGAACCGGGACAGGCCCGGAATTGGCAGATGCAAATGGCCGGGGTGGGCGAGAGCAGCGCTGCGGGAAGGCGGCGGGCGGGACGGGCGGGCCACAGCAGGGATTCGCTCCATGGCCGGGCTGTTCACGTTGTCGTTCATGTCGTTCACGTTGTCATTCACTTTGTCGTTCATGTCGTTCATGTCTTTCATGTCGTTCATGCTGCTGCTCGCGGCAATACTCATGGAGTCCTCGTGGAAATGCTCGTGCTGTCGCTCATGCGGCGATATGGCTTTCGCGTCTCCCCCCACTCTCCCGGCCATTCCCATCTGCTGCTCTGTCGACACACCGGCTTTCATCTGTCTCGCCATGCCATCATGCCTCTGTTACGGTCGTTCTGCCATCGTCTCGTTCTCGTCTCGCTCTCGCCCCGCTCTCGCCCAGCTCTCGTCGGCGCGTCTGGCTCCAGCCAACACACTCGAACGCCGCCCGGATCGAGCCAGTCACGTGGCCATCCCACCGCCGAGATCTCCAGAATCCGCCTTTCCTCTCGCCAGCAAGCACACAACCGCCCCCCGCTCCTGTCTCGACAACGCCGCTCGACCGCTCCTTGGCCACATCCCTCTGCTCGCCGCCCTCAATCCCGGAAGCCCAGCATGTCTATCGGTGTCCCCATCAAGGTAAGCTGCCCGTGTTGTATCGATCGGACCTGCGCGAAGCGATATGGGGATTCCGTATTGGGGAATAAGGCGTGTCTGCCGTCTGCCATCGACGGCGATCTTCTCCCGGTCGAAGCCCTTCCTGTGTCTGGGGGTGCTTTTGGTCAGTGCGGTGGTCGAATACCCCGTCATTCCAACGATGGCTCAGGCCCTGCAACCGCACGAGTCTCTGTGGTGCCGACCGATCGCGGCTGCCTGGCCAACTGGACAACTGGGCAACAGAGCAACAGAGCCAACTGGGCAAGGGCAAGACATCTTGTCCCGCCACCCATCAAGCACACCTTGCGGCTCGATGGGAATGGATTGATCAAGCCCGACAGCCTTGCCCGCCCGTCGTTCACGATACGGCGCAGATACAGATACGTAAGGGATCATGTCCTTTTGATCAAGTTCAGCCGATCGCTGCCCCAAGCCGTAATATCTCACAGCCGGATTCGATGCAAAGCAGCGCCTGCACACAAGCCACCGAGAGCCTTGGACCAGCACAGTTGGGAAACCTGGATATTGGATGGTGCCGAGTCGGATTGTGGGCCCTTGAGACAGTGGTGGGCCGGATCTGGCTGGGCCCGAGCCTCGATCGAAATATGCACCCGCTGATCGGCTGTTCCTGACCGCTTTCTTTCATCGCACCTTTGACACACACACTCAACATATACCATGCCTCCTCCTCGTTCGGCGACCGAAATCCCCGCCACGCCTCCACGTATCGACGGCGATGTCCTGGAATCGATCAATGACAAACTCGGCCATTTCTGCAAACGCCTGTCGATCTCGGCTGAACCGCGGTGAATCGGAATGCGCGTCGCTGCTTCGTCGACACTTTTCCAGCTCCTGCACGAGGCCATTGGCCATGTCATCACGATCGAACTCAAAACTGGCTCGACTTACCGTGGGCAGCTGATAGAGGCCGAAGACAACATGAACGTCCAGCTGAAAAACATCACAGTCTCGACACACGACGGCAAGGTCTCGCAGCTCGACCAGGTCTTTGTCCGCGGCTCCCAAATCCGATTCTTCATCGTCCCAGATATGCTCAAGAACGCACCCATGTTCAAGAAAATAGGACCTGGAGCACACAAGGGCAGAGGCATCGGGCTGGCCCGTGGCAAAGCGACTGTGGCCCGAGCCCAGATGGCCCGTGGTCGGGGTGGATTCCGTGGCCGAGGCCGTGGGATGTAACCGAATGTGTGCCCCAGCCGACTCTGAGCAAAACCAATACACGAACTCCGTTTTGATGTCCATCTGATTTGGCTGGCTCCGCGAGCCTCGGACTCTTTGCCAGGTGCCTCTTTCGTCGATATGTGCAATCGAGCGTCGATGGAAGCAGGCAAATCTATTCGAGCGAAACCACTACCGATGCCTGCATGCCTTTGCCATGGTGTTGAGCTGGCTCGATGGACAGGGGCGGGTGATGGCGGCTTGCAGAGGTATGGTTTGCTTTGGGCTCTTTAGGCGGCCACATCGACGACTGCCTCGTGCGTCCCAACCCACGGCAGCATTCACTTTGCCGTTTGCAAGAGCCTGGCGCGATCGCATGCCCTGTTACAGATTCGGGGATGATGGCTGTAACCATGTCGCCGAGTCGGACAGGATCATCTGCCATGTACCTGCCTCGCCAAGCAAGCAGAGGTTCGTCACAAGCTTGTGCGCCGGTCGTCGGGCATGGCCACCATCATGGGACGGCATCGATGCGGACACAGACAGACCCAGGGCGAAGGCCAGCCGGACCGCCCCGACGGTCACGTTCGCAGGGCAACCGGCATCAATCAAAGTTGCGCGGCCAGCACCACGGCATCTCCTCGTTGTCAACGGCCAAAGCCATGGCAGACAGGCCTGGACAAGCCCGGTCACGCTGGCGACGTGGATCTGCCATGGCTGCTTGTGTATGTGCTGAGCAGACCCCACATGACACCTCGCCTTGCTCTGCCAGAGCTCAGGCGAGCGAGGTGTTCTTTTGGTGGAGGGGATCGCTGCTGATGGACCATGCTTCCCCCAACACACGCGGGCACATCGCGATGGACCCGCCCGCGACAACTTTCGAGAGCGCTTGCGGGTGGGTGAAGCGTGCGACCCACACGACCGTACACGCGAGCGAACAAGCGCGATGTTCTTTTCCATTTTCCGCGACGGCTCCACTGCGTCTCTGCGTGTGGGGGGCAGTTGTGGCTCTTCCCCACAGATCCGGGTCCGAGCTGTGACCAGCACCGTTGAGCGCTTGTTTCGGCCGACTTTGGACAGGACAGCACGCAACTCAGTGCGATGCAGCGCAATGCGACGCAAGAGTATTCAGCTCGAAGCGATGCAACGCACTTCAACTCGATGCGACGCCATCCGATGCGACCGCCGCTGACCACCGACCGTGGGCACTCGTCTCACTCCCGTCTCGCTCCCGTCTCGCTCCCGTCTCGCTCCCGTCTCGCTCCCGTCTCGCTCCCGTCTCGCTCCCGTCTTTGGCACACTGGCCCGCCCTCTCGCTGGCCCTCCATGGTTTGTCGTGTTCCGGCCCACCCCCGCCCTGTCCGACGCTCTCTCACCCACTGGTGTCCCCACTCAGCAGCCAGGCCGTCGTCAAGGGGGAGCAGCTGAGCAGCAGCCACTGTTGCAGCAGCGACACAGCGCTGTATGCAGAGCAGTACACGCCCTCGCCAGAGTCGAAACGTGACCGCAGAGACCGGGCCTTTGTGCCACACCGCCGCCGCACGTGAGCCATGTGACCCAGTCACGCTTGTGGCGACGCGCTCTGTGCAACGGTGTCCCTGTGACGCTCCGCCCGTCCAGCTTGGCGGGGCACTGCGACTGTGGGGGACGGGTGGGGTGTGTCGGCGGCCTTGCCACGGGTGCGCCGGGTCCGGGCCTTGTCGCGGCCGCCGTCCGACGCGCTCCGCGGCCGTTTCCCAGGGCCGTTTGGCGGTCTTGCCTCTTCCCGCGGCCGTCCCTGTCGCCTGGCCCTGGCGGCATAAATACCCTTCCGAGGTCGCCCCCGACTCTGCCCACCACCGACTCGAGATCCCCCCCAGACTCGCCCAGTCGATCCTCGGCCTCTTCCACCTTCCCACCTCCGTCCTCACATCCCGCGCCATGAAGCTGCTCACCCTCGCTGCCTTTACCCTCGCTGCCCTGGCCGCTCCCGCCATGGCTGCCCCGACTTCGGCTGCCGTCGGCGCCCAGAAGGTGGTCGGTGGCTACCTCCTCATCAACCCCACTGACGGCGCTGCCAAGATGAAGGCTCTCGCTGCCAACGCCGCCACCATCCCCGTCAACCGCATCTTCATCTCGTTCGTCCGCCCCGACATGTAAGCTGGCGCTCCGTCCGGTGCTGATGGCTGCGGTTGCGGTTGCGGTTGCGGCTGCGGCTGCTCTCTGGCGCATGCTAATCGCGGGTCCGCTCTTGGTCTTGCAGGGTCTACGTCCCCGGCAGCAACTCTCTGCAGTATACCGGCCTGGGCTACGCCTCGGGTGGCGACTACGGCTTCGCCGAGCTCAAGGGCTACATCCAGCAGCTCCAGAGCAACGGCGTCGAGGTCTTCATCTCGATGGGTGGATGGAACTACAACTGCTACCCCTGTGAGTGTTTTGTGGCGCTGCCTCGAGCACGCACCTATCGTGTCTGCCACTGCATTTGTCGCCTCATTCGCCGCCTTGCTTACCCCCCTGCCCTCTCCGTCAGACTTCTACATGAAGTACAGTATCTCCTCGGGCCAGCCCACCCCTCCCTCTGGCCCCAACGCCTGGAAGATCCAGCAGTACGGCGGCGGCAACATCAGCGGCTGTACCGAAGCCAACCAGTTCTGCTACGTCTGCGAGCCCCCGTCCCAGGGCACTTCCCTCTCGGACTTTGTCATCTTCCCCGAGCCCGGTTTCTCCAAGACCTGGCAGCAGGCCCAGGCCTACGTCACCAAGCAGGCCGACCCCAAGATCGCCCCGATCTGGCACTCGGACATGATCCCCGGCAACAGCTACACCGACCCCAGCGACAGCACCAAGGTCACCACCGTTCCCGGAAGCAACTACTTCTACTCCCAGAGCCGCGATCCCTACCAGGACCTCGTCTACCTCGCCAAGGACCTCGGCCTCAGCGGTGTCGATATCGACTACGAGGAGATGTGGCACGCTGATACCTTCCGTATCCCCGACCCCGCCGTCTCGTGGGCCACCGCCGCCCAGGGTCCTTATGATGGCTCGCAGGTGGGTTATCGTTACTGCTTTGTTGAAGCATACCCCTGTTTGTCTAGGTTCCAACGCACAATTGGATCGCTTTGCTGATCGCCTGTCGCTTTGCACCACAGACCGTCTACAAGTACTCGGCCATCGTTCAGGACTTTGTCATCAACATCCAGAGCATCTACCCCTCCCTGAAGCTCTCGACCGCCGCCGGTGCTGCCGGTGCTGCCGGTGGCAACTGGTGGGGTGGCAACCTCAAGAACACCTGGCTCAAGGCCAACCAGCACTTCCCTGAGGCCATCGGCTTCATGTACCAGGGCGCCAACGCCGGTGGTCTGAACATCATGACCTACGATCTGTCCAAGGGCCCCAACGAGTGCCCCGACACCACCGGCCAGACCGCCTGCGATCTCCCCGGCCAGGTCGGCTTCTATATGAAGAGCTACCAGGCCGCCGGCATGCCCGCCTACGTCGGCTACGAGATCGGCACCCCTGCCTACCCCGATCCCACCAAGGATCCCACCAACCAGCTGCCCCTCACCAACGATGCCCTCACCAGCATCATCACCAACACCCAGCCCTCGTACAGTGGTGGCTTCTTCTGGGAGCTGTACAAGCTTGCCGACTCTACCTCCAACGCCAACGCCACCGCTGTTGCTCAGCGCATCTGCAGCACCATTCTCGGTGCCAACACTCCCCGCTGCTCCGGTGTGATCCCCGATCCCTCCGCCGTTGTCTCGACCTCTTCCGCCTCCTCCACCACTACCACTACTACCCCTGCTCGCACCACCACCACCACCACCACTACTACTACTACCACCACCACCAAGCCCACCACCACCACTACCACCACTAAGCCCACCACCTCCAGCACCACCACCACCAAGCCCACCACCTCCAGCACCACCACCACCAAGCCCACCACCTCCAGCGCCACCACTACTACCACCCCTGCCCGCACCACCACCACCACTACTTCGTCCGCCGCCCCCTCGTCCACTCCCGGTGGCAACGTTGCTGGTGGAGCTTGCTCTCCCGGCTACGGCTGCTCTGCCGATCGCCAGAGCGTCCTTGTCTGCTTCAACGGCTCGTGGTTCTCCATTGGCACTTGCGCCTCTGGCACCTCTTGCGTTGACAACGTCTACGTTTGCGCCTAAGCGGGTATCCTCACCCCCTCCCTCCGCCTTTTAACCCCTTTGTAATCTCTTTACGATGAATAATGTCTAGACAGTGTTGTCTCCCAATATCAACCTCTCCCCAATTCGCGCTCTACATCTCTGCTCTTTGCTCCAAAGTTGGTGCGACGCCCTCGAACCTGAAAAATGAATGAAACCCCCCCCTTTCTCTAATTATCTCCTGGATGTGGATTTGATATCTGTCTCTGGTGTGGAATCTCTACTTGGTCGTGTGTATGTTTGGAGGAGGGTTTGCTCCCTTCCGAGAACCAATATATTGTACAATATAACTTCCTCTTCAATGACTCTCTCGTGTCCTTCCAGACAATCCGGCCTCGTCGCAGCTAAGTGGTGTGATCGTTTGCTGGAGTGTTTCCCTGGGGGCATTTCGAGTCAGACGATCAGACTCTGTTGGTCGTGCTATGACCCGCAACACAAGAGTGCAATATCGCGCCCATTCAACCTCCACCAACCACCCCGTATCGTTCCAAACGAGCTATATATTGAAATCAGAAAGTGGGCGTGCAAACGGTTGTTGGGCACAGAGATTCAGAGAGAAACAGCAGTTATCAACGCGACATGGACCTGGCCAGGCCTTAACAGCACAGGGAATGTCGTCTGCCCGACTTCAAATCCAGGTCTACCACGAACTGTCTGGGAGGAGGCTCGCGACTGTTTATCTATCTAGGAGGAGGCGTGGCTATCGCTGGTACTCTTGGTGTGGTTCTTCTTGTGGATCAGCGCCGAGGGCGAAAGGTAGTTCTTGATATTGTTGTAGTAGTCGACAACATGCTTCATCTTGATCTCGTGGGCACGCACCTTGTGAGGATTCATGCCCATGGTCTTGATGTAGTCGTCCGACAACGAAAGCGGGTGGCGGATATGCACCATGTCTGTGCGATCATGCGCCGGCGGAGCCATGACAGTGATGTTGGGCATAGGCGAGTAGGTCGGCAGAGGCGCCTCACAGATCTTCTTCGTTGCCGTGGGTGACTTGTCGTGCTTCTGGATCTTGCTCTCGTCTGCCGCTCCGTCACGCTTCACAACCTTGGAGCTCGAGCTGGTGTCGTTGGCGATGGGGAAAACGAAGTGCGAGCCCGGCGGGACGTTGATGAGCTGCAGGATGGCGCTTTGCATCCAGCTATCGGAGCCAGGCAGGGGCGACGCAACCGCTGTTGGGCTGGGCGCAGGCGATGTCTGAGTCACCGAGGAAGCCGGACCGCCGGGGCAAACGCTGGTCGGAAGCATTTGGATCAGGTTCGAGTCCGCCATGCTCTTGGAGTACGAGTAGCATGCTCCCAGGATGTTGGTCGGATCGAGGGCGAGATGGACGGCGATACCGTAGACATCGAGCAGATCGTTTGGAGAAACAGCGACTCCAGCGCTCGTGATGCCGTTGTAGAGATTGCGTCTCAGAGACGGACAGACATCCTGCCACATGCTGAAGACCTTGTCGACCATGCCGTGGAGCTGAATGAAGAGGCAGCGTCAGCATGGACTCTGGGCGCATCGCAGCTGGACCGACCGGCATTCAGATGATATACGGCCGACCTTCACAAAGCGCATTTGCCTGTTTCACCGAATCACACTCACCATGAAGAATAGCGGGTCGTTGGTCGAATAGAACTGCGTCATGTCGCCCAGCTGGCCGCCGACAAAGTTGTGCACGGAGGCATGCGGGCCCATTTCCAGAGGGCTGGCAAAGCCATAAAAGTCCGTGGCATTGGCGCCGCCGTTGATGATCTGCGCCGTCGTCTCGACCGAGTACAGCGTCGCGCCGGACAAAAAGTTGCGGGACAGACAGTCGACGGGGGTGATGGCAGCGGAGCCACGAATGCTCGTCTTGGCAACTGCCCAGTTGCCGGACGGGTTGGTTTGCCAGCCCGCAAATGCGCCGTTGGTCACGCAGTAGTTCGGGGCAACGCCGTTGCCTCCGAACTGGGCAAAGACGCTGGACTGCTCCGGGGCCTGCGAGTCGATTGTCCTGAAGAGTACAGGCGGGAGCGCAAGAGTGTCGACATGGGGACGTTAGACTGGTGCAATGATGAGTTCCTGGAAAGCGACACCACCCCTTCGTCAACCCTCAGTCCTCAATATCGAATCTCGCGCCATCAAGCAAGATAATTACCAGTCCCAGTACGGCAACACAATGCCGCCATTAGGATTGGTGCTCTGCAGCGCCTTTTCGTAGAGGAGCGTGAACAGGCGATGCCATGGCAGGAACGACGGCTGGAAGGAGACATGCAACGGACCGAATCGTGAGAAACTCCAAACTCAGCTGCAAGCGTGATGTGGCTGGCGGCACACAGTAATTGTAGCTGCACAGCAACAGCATCCAGGGCCAGGCACAAGCGCGGGCATCTGCTGGTTCCAACATCCCGTGAGCCACAACCCAGGCACCCGTCGGAACTGTCTGACTTACATGGGAGTGGGCGTTCATGGTGACGGTACTAAAGTGAATCCACACAAAGTCGTCGTACGAGAGCGTGCCGGGGTCGAGCCAGTTCAGCTTGGTTCCGAGCATGGGCCGGCTCTTGAGGGCATTGACGGCGTTGAAGTAGGTGGTTTGCTGGGCGGGTGTGAGCTCCCGCCATTCTGGTCGCACATAGCATGGTGCTTGAGCAGCAGCGAGCGGGGCCAGGATAAGCGGAAGGGTTGCCAAGGTAGTCCAGTGCATGGTTGGGCGGGTTCGGGGACGTGGCAGCAGTCGAGGCCGGGGATGCAGGAGGCGTGGGAGAAGCAGCAGATGCGAGCGGAACAAGCACAGTGCCGGGCGTGGAAGCAGGAAGCAGACAGGCCGTTGGAATCAGAAGCCTGAGGCGACAAAACAGGCCGTTGCAGCAGACGGAAGATGCGGATACGGATGCGGATGCGGATGCGCTGGGTGGTGGTTCCTCACCGGCAGGTTTTAAAGGGGTCGGATGCTGGATTGCATCTGCGAACATTTGGCCTGTGCCGGCCTTGACAAAGGAAAGGGCTGTGTCGCGAGGGGCAAGGGTTGGCCAGGTCTGAGTCAGAGAGCGTCCAGTTGTTTGTCGCGCCGGCCCGCAAAAACCGAGCGCGCCGACCCAGGGCCGGGAGCGAGCGAGTGCGGCGGCCGAGTGGGGGAAGGCAATGTGCTTGGGGAGCATGCGTCGTGGGAAGCGCAATTGGGAGCAGTATCGGCATCGTCGGGCGATCGACAGCGAACGAGGCTAATCAGGGAATCAGGGAATCAGGGAATCAGGGAATCAGGGAATCAGGGAATCAGGGAATCAGGGAATCAGGGAATCATGGAACCATGGAATCTGGGAATCTGGGAAGCGGTGGCGATATCATCCCAGCCGGGCTGTGCCAACGCATCGACCACATCGATGTTGCTGGACACGGGGCGAGTCGCTGGCTGGGTCTTACTTTCTGGCTGTCGTCGTTCGCCGGGGGGCACGAGCACACGGATCCGCCAATGTTGCTGTGCTGTCGAGGGGAATGCCCTTGACCGGCAGCAGAACCAAGGAGGAGCATGCGCCGACCGCTGACTCATGCGCTGAGCCCAGGCCCGGTCAAAAACAGCATGTGTGGTGTGCAGCTCCCCAGTTGTCAACCTCGACCGACAACGCTCCCAGCCCGTTCGCATTCCCCCTCCCAGCCCGTTCGCATTCCCCCTCCCAGAGAAACCACTCCTTAGAGCCAGGGATCGAAGGAAAGAGAAAGGACATGGATTGACACACAGCCATTCGCCGAGTCTGAGATGAGATGCGGGGCAGAGTCCCAACGACGATCATGGCAACCAGGCAAGGGCAGTAGCTAGAGAGCCGGATCTCGCTAGCGTCCCACCGACTGGCACTGAACATCCGCCTCGATCGTGTTGGACTACTCCTCGCGCAGACTCTTGACAGCGCCTTTCCTCAAGCGGTCGCGCAGTTTGTGCAGCGAAGCCACGATGAGAAAGATGATGGCAAAGTAGACAGCAATGCCGAGATACCAGGCATAGGCGTAGGGCTTGGATGTGTCCAGGAACGGATAGACCCAGAAGCCGTCGGGGCTACGCATCGCCAGCATCGAATGTCCGGGTGAGCATAGAATGGTACCACGGGAGGCACAGGAGGTCGAATCATGGTATGGGTCAGTCAGACGTATCAGAGCCACCAAAAGAGCTGTGGCATCGAATCGTAAAGGCATTGGGCCAATGAATCAAATCGCCCGTCGGGGCAACGAGGCGTTCGGCAGGCTACCGCCGGCGAGACTCACCTGGAAGTGTACTGTGAAAACACCGCATGCTGGTAGAACACATAGACCACAAAGAGCACGCCAAAGAGGATCGGTATGTACCACTGGGAGTAGAATATCGGGATGCGATTCAGCAAAAACTCGATGAACATGAACACCCAGTCGAAGGAGTGTGGCACGATGGTGACGAAGGTGGTGAGAGGTCCACTGGCCAAGGACGACTTCAGGACGTATGGCGCAAGGAATGCCCAGAAGACCACCTGTGCAAACGGACATTGTCAGTAAGCGGCATCAACAGCAACGTGTGCCAAGCCGGACAAGTTGCATCGGCCAACGGTGCCTGTGCCTTGTGGCTTCGGGCTCGTGCCTTGGTTCGGTACGCAGGGTTCGGTGCCACATACCGGGACAATCCAGTGGTAGACGGCCGGGAGGAGGTATAGCGACCAGTGGATAAAGATGAATGTCTTGCTGCTGGGAGTCTTGCCGTTTCGCCAGATGTAGAGACCCGTCACGACGGTGGAGAACTGTGGGGACCAACGACGTGGCGAGCCGAGCCTGGATTAGGATTCCTGCGGGGCATCCCACGGGGCATATTGCAGGCCCGACAGTGCCATGCTTGCAGTCCCGGGAGACTGGTCTGTCCAATGCATCTCCAGCACTGGACGCAGGCCCTGCATCAGTCTCAGAGACAGAGCAGCCAAGGCAGTCCACGGCAGCACAGCCGATCCAGCAAGTCAGTCGTCCGACTCACCCCAAAGTACACCACCAGGCCGATCCAGCTCAGGTCCGTAAAGGCCGAGATCCAGGCAAAGAATGGCGCCTGCTGAAGCAGCAGGGACGACAGGCTGATGATCATCACCGTCAACGAGGTGATGAACACGCCGCAGCGGTAGTAGAACAGCGCATATGGGCTGCAGAGCGACGACGTCACAAAGCACTCCGGATCGACATCGTCCAGATGGAAGTTGAAGAACCTCTTGAGCATGGTGGGGGAGCGGATGCGGTGCCGGAATGAGACAGGACGGACGGACGGCCGATGCAAGAAGACTGCCGAGATGCTCTGGGTCGACGGGGCATTTTTTTGCTGGACCGCCAACGCCTTCCGGACGATCGACGGGCCTTGAGCCTTTGCCGATGGCCAGGCCAATTCGGGACAGAAACAATGGACGCGCCGGACCAACCAGCGCCGCAGGTCATGGCGCCGTCTTTGTCGGGCGCGTTCCCGCCTGACATTGTGGCCCTTTGTGTGTCGCGCAGGCCGTTCACCCGCCCTTGCTGAATCTGCAGATTGTCACCAGCCGGCCAATGGGGCGCCGTCCACGGAATCCACACAGCGAGAGGAGTGGTTGGGGACCACTTCGGCAGAACCACACAGACAAGCAAACAGACCGACTTGGTTGACGCGGTTCTGGGCCAAGCCGTGATTGCAGCGATCCCATAATGAGGCGAGATATCTTCCGAGCGAGGGCTGTCGAATTTATGGTGTGTATTCGTCATCGCTGTCGCCATCCTCGTCGCCGGTCTTGCGCTTGCGCTTCAGCAGCGCCATCAGCGTCGGTTGCTTCAGTTTGGAGCCGCTGTCCTCGCCAGTCCTGGCAGAGGTCCGCCGGCTCCCCTTGGCCGGACGCTGCAGCATCTGCCAGGCCTTCTTCAGAGTCGCGGGCGAGGGATAGATCTGCTCCTTGATCTCGTCTTCTGTGGCCCAGACACACGGGGCACTCCAGGCCTTGTCATCGGATGCGGTGGTGGGCGACTGTGTCCCAGAGTCGGGGTTCTCCGTCCTCCCACCGGCATCGTCGCTGGCCTCGTGGGTGCTTTGTGGCTCCAGCTCGACGACAAGATGCTCCACAACCATCGTCCGCCGAATGTGCGAGAAGATGTGCTCGGTCTCGCCACACATCGTCCGCGAGACCACCCGAAAGTTGTTCCGGAGCCGATCGTGGAGGTACTCGTCCATCAGTCGGCGGCACGATTTGTCATCTGGCCGGGGTACATCGAGCTGGATCGTCGGATAATCCCACAGATTCGCCAAGAGGCCCGTTGGTGGTCGCTGAACGAGCAGATACTTGGGTGCCACGGATGTTCCCTTGGCGCACTCGACAATCGATACCCAGCACTCTGGATGTTGCCACGGGTCAGTACTGGGATCATTCAGACACTCGTGTACTTCCTGGTGGCCCACTTCCTGCCCAGGCCCGCTATTGTTGATGACGCATGAGGCAAGTTTCGATAGGCTCTCGGCGACGCCCAGGATGACAACCGCTCGCAGTGGCCACTCCATGCCAGCTTACCCTCGACTCGCTTCTCAGCACGCTTCGGCTTGTTGGGATACAGCATAACGTTGCACTCCTCGATTTCCACGGGCAAGCAGAGATCGCACGGATCCGAGATGTTTTGGTCTTGAGCAAGATTATGCATGCCGCACGAGAGCAAGGTCAGATCCCGTCTATGAAGCAGATCGTGGTCACCATTCGCTCGCAGCGTCCACTGTTTCTGACACAGTTTTGCTGCCCATCTCCCTCCTGCTCACCCGTACTCTTGCCCTTGCGGCCACCCTTGATAAACTTTGCACCTGCAAGGCTCTTGGCTGCCTTTTGCTGACGAAGCCATGTTCAACCAGTTGTTAGCAATCGCTCGGCGAGGTAGATATGCCAGTACATCGGTTCAGGCTGCGGCTTACCTCTGCCAAAGCAAGGCAATACTCCTTCACTGGACAGCTGCCGCATGCCGGGTTCTTTGGAGTGCAGACAGTGGCACCTAGATCCATCAGCGCTTGGTTGAAGTGGCCCGGTCGACCCGGATCTAGGAGCTTGCGGGCGAGGTCCCTATAGTCGATATACGGCGGATATCGTTTGTTGGACCTGCCTCCTACACCATCGCTTGCTATGTTCAGGCACCCCAGTGATCCCCGATTGCCCGGGGCTTACCAGTGCAGAGCACTCGCAGCCTTGGCTTTGGGATCGCCTCCGATTGCTCGAAGCCTCGACAGGACTCGGACAACGTTGCCGTCGACGAGAGCAGCTGGTTGATTGTATGCGATCGACGATATGGCCCCTGTTGGCATCGTGATTTTTGATCAGTGCATCCCGTCTGACTTATCGCGCCCTCTCGATGATGCCAAGTACGCCAAGCTCCCGCAGTGCCTGGGACCATTCGTCCCAAGCCCTGCGCCGCCAAACTCACCGGCAGTATAGGGCCCGATGCCTGGAATCAGCTTCTCCAATTCAGTCGCAGTCTCGGGAAGTTTGCCGGCCAGTTCGTCCGCGACCTTCTTGGCTCCTTCATGCAGCCGCTGGGCTCGAGAATAGTACCCCAGCCCCGCCCAGACGCCGTGGACATCCTGTCGTAGAATTTCGACAGTCATTACCATTCGGAGAGCATGCGTTGGCCTCAATCGTCTCCGTTGGATGACTGCTGGCCCCAATAGTCATCACGCCACATTGCCCAGAGGCATTCTCTTACCTCCAGTGCCGCCTTGGCGAGATCAAAGACGGTGGGCCATTTAGACAGCCACTTCTCATAGTATGGAATAACTGTGCTGACCTGGGTCTGCGCAGAGATAGATCGCCACGGGTTTAAACAGTCAACATCATTGGGTCTCGACGACTCGTTCCTTGGAACTCCTGTCGTTCGTTCCGCCCTGATATAGGCGGAGACCGATCGGGCGCCCTGCATCGCAGCGACGTATCATCCAAGTCGAACCTGCTGCAGCATTATTTCGCTGATCCAGACTAGCTCGGCAAGAGCACCCCGAGTTGGGAAACGACAGTGTCAGCATCGGCATCCTGGGCAGACTTGGAGTCTGAGTCTGCAGCCTGCCCCATCACGACCTAGTTCTTGATATAAGAAAAGCCCTCACGGGCCACGCATTCTTTGCCCATACCTTCGTATGCACGCTGAGCGAGTTCTTCATCGGACTTTGGGTGCTGGAAGAGCAGACCCGGTGTGGAGAAGGCAGCACCAGTACCGTCAGCTGGCATTCAAAGGCACTGGATCGATCGCAGCGCCGGGGAGGCGGCCCAGCTGTATCGCACACCCTCACCTGGATACTCGATGGCGTCCGCCAAGGCAGAGCTCTCTGGTTGGCATCGTACCAGTCGAGCATGGCCTTCCGGATCAGCTCGAGCTCGCTCTCCGATCGAAATCCATGGTAGTCCTTGGCGTGCGCCCGCTGCTTGCCCGATTCCAGCACGGCCTTGACTTCCTCGAGGAGCCCCATCGACGACCCGATCTTGCGGCGCTTCTCCTGCGAAATGGTCAACGCGGAAGAAAGCCGGGCTGGGCTGGACTGGGTCGAGCGGCTTTTTCCGTCGTCGTGTGGCGCTCGCTCGCCGAGCCAAAGATCGTCCATTGGCCAGAGCCGACACACCGCTCGATGTCCTCCGTTGCGGAGACACACACTGCCATGGTCGTGAATGTGCAGAAAATGTATTGCGCTATGTACAACAACGGCTGCTGGCATCCCCAGAGACATCTGGGCTTGAACAGACCACGATTCTTGACCTTGGTCAGCTCTTACGGTATGTGCTAGACCATGCAGGTCAACCTTACTGATTTGGTTGTGTGTGTCGGCGACAGGACATCACTGGTAGCTTCTCCGGCGCTCAGAGCGGCTTGGCGATCGAGAGGTGCCCTCGGTGTGGCGACGATGACGGGCGGGCCGTTCGGATGATCGCTGTCCTGACTGGGCTTGCGATGGTTCAGCCCATGTGCGCCGCTGTTTGTGTGGGTTCGGGCTGGCATGGCCAGATTCGGCGCTATCAGGCTCACCACGGTGATGATACTCGGAACGTCGTCGCTTGTGTGCGCCCGAGTCGCTGCGCGAGCTTGATCCGAGCGACTCTGGGTGTCGTTTCTCGTAGTCTGCTTGCGATCTGATGTCATGGCGTTCGCCGCCCCGCGAGTCCCGCCTGTCGTGGCGATGATCATGTCCATGACCTCTGTCGGTATGGTGGCTCCGTCGTCTGTCGGCGCGGTGGCCATGTTCTCGGTCGTCGTGATGACTGTGGCGATGCCGGTGCCGGTGCCGGTCGGAAGAGGGTCGCTTGCGATTCGATGATATGTCCGGGGGCATGTGCATAAAATGCGCCAAGACTGACTTGGACTTTGGCATTCGAGCGAACCGCGCTCGCCGGAGGTGCAACTCAAGCTCGTTGTCGCATCCGTCGGAGACGCCGGAGGCGACATCCATCGCCATCAACAGCTCGTATGTGTCGTAGAAGGACGCCGTGATATGGTCGATTTTGTACGTGCCCTTGCAGAGATTCGTGCCGACGGGGGCTGTGGGATTTTGAATGAAGAAGCAGCGCTTTTCTTTGAGATCGCTCGTTTCTTTGGAGATGATATGCAGCAACTCGCCGCTCTGGGGGTCGACGTGGCCCGTGGGTACCAGCCCAAGGCGAAAGTAGTCAAACACCTTGCCAAAGAGATGGAAAAAGTCCGTCACGAGCTCTCCGAGGTTGTCGGTAAGCCGGGGCACATCGCGGCCACTGGTGTGGTCCTGGCCTCGATCATCGGCAGCACCTTCTTGAGGAGCGGAGGCGGAGGTGTGTTCGCGGGCAGCGGTTTGCTCGGCGGATTCAGATGCAGGCTGTTCACGGGAGCCGTCCTGAATAGCCGGAGCAGCCACAGCAGCCTTCGGCGGTGACGGAGGTGCGACTTGCGATGAATAGATGGCTGGGTGCATCTGCAGAAATGTCAGCACCCAACACACAAGAGCGAACCCCCCAAGGCCGCCTGTCGGCACAGAAGTCAGGTCGCGGACACCAAGGTACAGCTTGAGGAACATGACGATCGGCCGGAGCTGGGGATAGCTGGCCGCAGCCTCTTGTACCATGTGGACACTCTGGGCGGCAGACTCGTCTTGGTGGCAGGAAATGTCCAGGATCAAGCCGGTTTCCCGATCCTGCACCTTCAGGATCGGCACCCGGGCGTGCAGAATCGCCGTCACCTCGCCAACTTGTCTGTTTTGCAGATGCCGCTTCACCCGGACCAGCGCATTGGCCTGTTTGTTGCGGGTGTTGCTGCGGTTGGGGATCAAGATGGTGATGTCAATGTCGGCGTTGGGGAGGTACATGTTGGTGGGAAAGCTGCCGAAACAAAAGATGTCGAAGGAGGGGTCGATGGCCTTGACGATGTTGCGGTACTTTGCGACGGTTGCGTTCCGGAGGTCAACCTCTTGCGCGCTGGGTGAAAGCCAGTCGACGAGGGAGCGGATCTCAGAATCCAGGCGGTCGACCAGCGACTTGCTGGGGCTGTCGGCACCGCGGGCAGATTCAAGCCAAACAGGGGGCCTGCTCAGATGTCTTTCGCCATAGGCCTCTGAGGGGATCTCGGGGCGCCATGCGTCCCAGGCGACATTTTGCCTGGCGAGGAACTTTTTCGCCTTGCGAGACAGGCCCTTTGGCGGTGGAGCTGGCGGCGGCGAGGCTTGGGTGTTCTCAGAGGTGAGGTTCGAGACAAACGACGAGAAGGTGAACCGCGGCGACGCCGTTGCCGATTCAGGTTGCGCCATGGGAGCGCTTGCCGTCGGCGGGATGGTCAAGGGCAAGGGATCGAGGCCGAGATCGAGACAGATCGAACCGAGACAGATCGAATCGAGACAAACGGAATCGAGACAGAGATCGAGGCAGAGATTGAGGCAGAGATTGAGGCAGGGCAGTGGATTCAAACTGGCCGACCCGTTTGGGATGGCTGTGTCACGTGAATGGCATGAGCCTCTCTGATTGGATGGTGTGCTGGCCAATGGGAGTGGGTCGATTGGAGATTACAGCGAGCTGACTTTGAGGTGAGCCAGGGAACCTTCACACGCAGATGGCTTGTGTGGGTTGTGTGTGGATGGTGTGAACCAGAACCCAATGTCATCTCCTCGCCAAGGTCTTGCAGTGATGTTGATCTTTGCCGTGCGTCTTTCTCCCTGGGGAGTCGAACGTCGCGATGACTGCTGCAAGTGGATGTATTCAAGTGAAGGCCACGCAAAACAACTACAACTATTCCCCTCGCACTCTGACGCAGGAGCCGATATATCCAGAGGTAGCAAAGCCGCAAAGGCGCAAAGCCGCAAAGCGAAACAAAAGCAGCGGCTCGAGACAGCTAGTGCTGCTTGAAATCGAGGAGCAGCCCGTGCTTCAGACCGAGCGTCAGAATTGATGCGGGCACAATCTGTTGGTTGGGCGTGCGGGTGAATGAGAATGATCTCAGGATGGTGGCGACGGCGACTTTGATTTCGATCATGGCAAGCTTCTGACCAATGCCTGCAAGGACGGACCATGTGTTAGACAGGGTGTGCTGACTCTCAACCCATCTGCTCCACCCTGCCAGACAGCCGGCTGCCGACATTGAAAACGTTAATGCGAGTCGTAGAAAGTAGACCTACAGTTGTGTTGGCCGTCGCCAAACGGCAGGTAGCTTCCCGGAATGATTTCATCCTCCAGGAATCGCTCGGGTCGGTATTCTTTGGGATTCTTCCAGTAGCGCTCGCTGCGATGCAGAGCCTCGATCTCCACAAAGAAGAGCTTATGTTTTGGGAACCTGTATCCCAGCACAGTGACATCCTGCATCGACATCCTGGCCAGGAGCGCTGCGACAGGGTGGAGACGGAGGGCTTCCTTGATGCAGGCCTCGAGGTATTTCAACAGCGGAAGATCCTCCCAGGCGAAGGGGCGGTCGCTGCCAAGGACTTGATCGAGTTCCGTGCGGATCTTGTCGCAAATATCGGGCCGCTCCGACAGGCAGAACAGGGTCCAGGTGATGGCATTGGCTGTTGTCTCGTGTCCGGCCATGAAGAACCCAAAGACTTCATCGATGATTTCCTCGTTGTTGAATCTCTGCGTCGTTGAGACGGGTGCCGCTTTAGCCAGTAGAATGTATCATCAGGCTTCTCAGTCATCCCAGCCAGTGGAATATATCACCAGGTCCCTCGGTCATCCCACGCTCTTTATTCCACGCCCTATCAAGCCGACGGACTGAACGAAATGCGGGCCATGTCCAGCGGTTGGCTCGAGCCTCGGACGCAGACTTGCCTCATCCTCGGTGCCTTGGTCAACGAGGAGTCGGTCCAGCACATCCATATCCTTCTCGTCCTTGGGCGAGGAGCTCTTGAGAGTCTCCACCTTCAGGGCGATCAAGTCGTTGACAAAATCGCGGATGGGCGCCCCGATCTTCTGAGAATCGGCATGGCCATAACCATAGATTCCCCAGAGAAAGCCCACAGGGTTGTTGATTCTCTGGGCAAGAGCAGGACGGCATGACCGAGTCAGCGCGGGATGGCCTTGGTATTCCCTCATGTACCGCCATGGAATGCCGCGTGGTTATGCCTACCTTTCGGATGATATCGAGCATGTCATGGATGAGATGGATGACGTGGTCGAGCTTGGGGTTCTTGGCGCCCTCGTCAATCTCAGCCAGGACCGAGTTGAAGCTTTGTGAGAATGCGACCTGGCCGCTGGTGGCGTGGCAGCGAGTAGGATGCGGTCAGTCCATCAGGCCGTCAGTGATCAATCGACTTCCTCGGCCAGGCTGTTCGTATGCGAGGGGATGCAGCTTACATAACGTCGATCGTAAACTTTTGAAAGAGGTTAAATACGTTCACGGGCTCGGCTTTGGCAGTATACGAGCGAATGACGGCGTCGACATGTTGGGCAGCCACAAGAGACACCTCAAATGCGTGCTTGAGGTGGGTCGGGCTGAAGGCCGGCTGAAGGAACTTGCGGTGCCGCTTCCAGACTGCGTCGCCGTTGTAGGTCGGGAGCAAGAAGAGGCTGTTCTTGGAAAACCCAGCAAAGGACGGAACCAGGGTGTCGTCGCGGCCAAACTGAGCTGGGGTGTTGAGGATCAGCTTTGTGGTGGCGGCATCGCAGGTGAAGATCAGCTGGGCGCCAAAGAGAGGAATCTCGCAGATGGGACCGTATTCCTCGACCACTTTACAAAAGTAAACGTTGGTTTGGTAGTTGTCTCGGTAAGGCTGGAAGTCCAGGAGGGCCCCAACGAAGGGAAGGCCCTTGGGACCCGGCAGCTTGGGCTGGCTGGACGAGCGAATCGAGCGGACGATGATGGCGGTGGAGGCCAGGGCCGCGACACCTGCGAGTAGATAGGCGGCGGGGATCTCAGCAATGTTCAGCGTCATGGGTGGCAGTCGATGCAAATCAAAGGAGGGAGCATGGAGCGCCGACGGAGAAACCAAAGCGACCAGACAAGCGACAAGGCCTTCAAGAGCGGGCAACCGCAGGCGGCCACGGGCAGCCGCAGGCAGCCACGGGCACCCTCATGACCTTGTCCGGGGAGCGGTGATGCATCGCGACTGCGGACCCAGGCCGCACCGACTCCTCGCAGCTGTGTTTCGGGTTATGACATGTACTGCGTATTGTATTCTGTATCGATATTTGGGGTTCCCAAGACATGAAAAGGACCGACACTGGACATATGGGCCGATGCGACTCCGAGGACAGGTGCGGATGTCGGTTTGAGTCGTGTAGTGTGCGCACAGCCATCAAGGTGCTCGCAGCATCCGGTCCGCTCAGCACTGCATACATTGGTTTGGCTACCAGACCAGAGGACCAGTTCCAGTGACTGCCCCGGATGGCTGAGGGCTCGGTATTCAGGAATGCCGGGGGTTTCGTTTATCGCTATCGGAACTCGCCCGTTGCCGTTGTGTGCTCAGCTCTTCGCACGCGGGTTATCTGAACGGGGCGACGCTCCGCAGGGACTGGTCGCTCGCCCTGCTCGTAGTCTTGCGGGGCAATGTTGCGTGACCGCGGCGAAAGGAGCTGGTTGGCGGCGGGATAGCTTTGATCTGCCCCAGCGTATCCACCGTCGTCGCCCTGGCTTGCAGGCTGTTCGGCTCGCGGCGATAACACACGCGGTTCCCGGGCGCGGTCCGTGCGGGCACCTCGCTGGGTATCCAGCGCTGCTGCACGCTCGCGCACGGTGGTGCGGACCACCCGGGCGGCCCTGGGCTCGTCTTCACGGCGCACACGGAAGGGCATGGCCTCAGACTCGCCTTGTCCGGCAGCAGATGGATCAGGAGCGGCGGTTCGCTGGACAAACCGGGGTTGGGCTCGGGCGCCGTTGACGCGGCGGGTGCTGTTGCTGGTGGCCTTGTTCAGCTCTTGCTCCTCCTGCTGCAGGCTCTCGAGCTCCTTTTCGAAATCAAATTCTTCCGGGGCGACACGGCTCTTGGCAGAGCGTGGAGATAGTAGGGCATCGTAGTTCTGCGAAGGAGACATTTGTTCGCGCAGCAGCTCCTCGAGGTCATCAGCATCGGTTGAACGAGCAGGCTCCTGGCGTCGAACGGGCGTGCGTGAGTACTCGGCGTCCACATGGCGCTGGCGGGGCTCGTCGTGTCGGCGACGTTCTCTGCGAGGCTCTTCGCGTTGCTCGTATTGCCGTCGTTCTTGTTCGAGACGCTCCTGCTCAAGACGCTCTTGCTCAAGGCGCTGCTGTTCAAGCTGCTCCTGCTCAAGACGCTCCTGCTCAAGTCGTTCTTGTTCGAGTCGCTCTTGTTCGAGTCGCTCCTGTTCACGGCGTTCGAGTTCAATGCGCTCGCGCTCACGACGTTCGTCCTCGAGGCGTTCCATCTCGAGGAGTTCTTGCTCGAGCCGTTCTTGTTCGAGTCGCTCGAGTTCAATGCGTTCGCGTTCGCGGCGTTCGTTCTCGAGGCGTTCCATCTCGAGGAGTTCTTGTTCGAGCCGCTCTTGTTCGAGTCGCTCTTGCTCGAGACGCTCCTGTTCACGGCGTTCTCGCTCGATACGCTCATACTCGAGGCGCTCTTGTTCATGACGCTGTTGTTCAAGGCGTTCTTGTTCGAGACGCTCTTGTTCTCTGAGCTCTGCTTCGAGGCGCTCTTGCTCGATTCGTTCGGCTTCGAGGCGTTCGGCTTCTAGGCGCTCACGCTCTCGAAGCTCTTCCTCAAGTCGTTCTTGTTCGAGCCGCTGCTGTTCAAGCTGCTCCTGCTCAAGACGCTCCTGCTCAAGTCGTTCTTGTTCGAGTCGCTCTTGTTCGAGTCGCTCCTGTTCACGGCGTTCGAGTTCAATACGCTCGCGCTCACGACGTTCGTCCTCGAGGCGTTCCATCTCGAGGAGTTCTTGCTCGAGCCGTTCTTGTTCGAGTCGCTCGAGTTCAATACGTTCGCGTTCGCGGCGTTCGTTCTCAAGGCGCTCCATCTCGAACAGCTCTTGTTCAAGACGCTCCTGTTCGCGACGTTCATGCTCACGGCGCTCCTGCTCGCGGCGTTCTTCTTCAAGACGCTCGAGGCGTTCTTGCTCGATTCGTTCGGCGTCGCGTCGCTCTTCTTCGCGTCGCAAGGCTTCGAGTCGCTCTTGCTCTCGTCGATGTCGCTCCTGGCGCTCAGCCTCGAACCGGGTCATCTCCTCGAGCTCGCGCTCAAGTTCCTCTTGCTCGCGGCGCTGCTTCTCCAGGCGTTCTTCTTCGAGGCGTTCGGCTTCGAGGCGTTCCATCTCTTCAAGCTCGCGCTCCAGGCGCTCCTGCTCGCGGCGTTGGAACTCTTGGCGTTCCCATTCGAGACGCTCGTCTTCGAGGCGCTGGCGTTCAAGACGCTCTTCTTCAAGACGCTCTTCTTCGAGACGCTCTTGCTCAAGGCGCTCTTGTTCAAGACGCTCTTGTTCAAGACGGGCGGCCTCTTGCTCTTCGCGCTGGCGGCGCATGGCATTGACGGCCTCAAGCTCCTCTTGTTCGTTCCGTTGGCGCTCGGCCTCGATGCGCTGGATTTCGGCGAGCTCATCTTCAAGCTCCTGCTGGCCATCCTCGGCGTAGTCGTTGATGTTAAAGTCGTTGGCCTCGTCCTGGCCTCGGGTAGACGACTGTCGCGCTTCGAGAGAGTTGAGGCGGCGGGAAAGATTGTGGGGCGAGTATTGAGGGGTGGCTTCGTCATCGTCACTCTCCCAACCGTGGCGCTCCCGGGAGGGAGTGGCCGAAGGGCGAGGTGATCGCACAGCCTCCAGGACGCGAGGGGAGGGTGCAGGCTCAGAGGCGCGCGGCTTGAAGCTCGAATCAGGGCGGCCCGTGCTGCCTTGGGTGTGCAGCATGCGAATGAACGTCTGGTATTTTGCTTCCTCGGCATAGGCAGTGCGGATCTGAGCGTAGCTGGCGACGATGGCGCTTCGCTCAGTGCCGTCAAAGGATTGGATTTCGACCAAGAGCGTATCCTCGTCGACGCTCATGACATGACCCTGGGATGAAGAGCGGAAGCGGGAGTGGGTGTCAGAGTTGCGGTGCAGTTTGAACCTCATCTGGATATACCTCCCTCCCATCCATCAAATGCCAGGAAGAGCGCTGCTGATCATGGCGACATCTGCAGATACCAAAGGTCGGCAGAGTCAAGCACACAGGCGCAGAGGGACACTTACTGGCCACCAGACATAGCTTTCGTTGGCGTAGACCACGCGCACCTCGACCTCGTCGCCTTCCTTGCAGACCGGGATGACCAGCTGCGGTTCGAGACACGGCCGCATGCGGGCAAAATCCACGTCGATGTTGCTGCCCGAGTACATCTGCACAGCGAGAAAGCCATCGTTCTCAAACTGCTCGATGCGGCCGAGGACCCAGCCGACAGCCTGCTTGTGGCCCTCGACGATCTGGCCGTCGCCCTGGATCGGCAGCGGGACAGTGTCGAGTACCTCGACCAAATCGCCCTCGCGGATATCGTCGAGACTGGCGGCGTTGCGGCCGGGAAAGTCAAAGACAATGTCGTCACGCGAGTTGACCACGACCGAGGACGACTTTGCGTACTTGGAGACCTCAAGGATGATGTGCTCGATCTTGGCGGGGGTGAGGCCGCCGCCGATGTGGATGTTGGTGGTGCCATCCAGGAGGTTCTCGAGCACGGGATTGTCCTCAAAGTAGGCGTTGGGATGCGAAATCAGAATGTTGATGAACGGGAGGCGGTTGCGGTCGATGATGTCCATGTGGGTGAGGCAAGAATCGTTCATTGAGTACTCGGGCGTCAGCAGAGCCAAGACCAGAACGGCTGTAGTATCGAGAAGGGATGGCGGATGGATGGATGGATGGATGTTGTAGTGAGAATCATAAGAACCACACTGAGTGACGGCCGTGCACCAACGATATGTGTCGCCGACTCTCCACAGTGGCCACCAGCACTGCAAGAATACTCGCGTATTGCTCACAGATTGCCGGACGGAGGAGCCCTCGCCTCGGCTTGCCAAACCACCGACCGAGCCAAACACCGGTCTCGCCTGTCATCGCCACTTACCAGCACCCAGGGCGATCTCGGCCTGATCAGTGGTGATCTTTCCGTGTGGGTCATAATCAAGATCAAACCAGACGTTGAAACCGTACATCTTGAGGAGATCCGAAACCGACTTGGGGTCGACCACGGCGGTGCCGGCAGGCCCCGAGGAGAACCTGTTATCGTGGCTGTAGCTGATAAAGACCAGATCGGAGACGTTGCTGGGGAGGATGTTGATTGAATTGTGGTGGCTCGAGTGCAGGGGTTGTTGGAACGACGTCACAGATCGCGGGGACAACAGGTCTTCGGAGGGGGGCATACAGGGTTTTATTAAGGGTTTCGTCGGGTGGAGGGTTGGATTGGACGGAGAGTGGAGGGTGGTTGGCAAAAAAAGAAACGGGGGAGGAAGGTAAAAGGAGAGGGCGGCAGGGGACGGGGGAAGGATAGAAAGAGAGACCGGTGAGTACCTAGTTTGCTTGGCACGATAGCTTGGATTGCGAAAAGAGGGAGAAGAGGTGGCGGGAAGGGAAGGAAAGGAAAGGGAAGGGAAGGAAAAAGGTAGACACTGCAAAGACTAAGGGCCTCGGGCTACATCGGATGAAAGTTGGATCGAGGCACAAAGAGCAGAGGTGAAAGTACCAGCGACAGAAACAGCCGAGGAACAGACCGGTCCGACTCCGCAGCCAGCGAATTCAGGAAACCAAAATGCGCAAGGAATACAAGGCGATGGGCAAAGGAAAGGAAATGTACAGCGGAAAGGCAAGGGAGACAGGGAGACGAGGGAGGAAGCTGGGAGATCAGAGCATGACTCTTCGTTTACCTCGAGCACCGCCAGCCTCGTGGTAGGGGGACGAGCGGCGGTTGGTCAATCCCGAAGGGGGTTCGAGGAAAATCGGATTGTCGGAGAGGGACTTGTTGTCGACCTCCATGTCCCCGAGCAGGCTGTTGTAGCTGGTTCGAGGGTCGCGAATGGACTTTGGCATGACATTGAAGGTGTCGTGGATGGGTCTCGAGATGCGGTGGGCTTCGGGATGGGTCAGGGCGATGACAGTCTGGGGGACGGTATCGAGTCCATCAGCAGGAAAGCAGGGGAAGGACAAGCAGGAGGCGAGTGAGCTAACTGGAAGCAAGCGAGGCAACAGGAGTGCCGAGTGATGTCGGTGCACACAACAAGCGAATTGTATGGACACTGCCAGTCGGAGGAGTCCAAGCTGCTCGGCTGAAAGCAATCGGCTCCCGGCCAACAGCCACAACGGATGAAGCGAACCCAGGGACCGAGCAGGGACGAGCAGGGACGAGCAGGGACGAGCAGGGACGAGCCAGGCGTCGGTTCAGGGGATGCAAGCGTACCTCTCCAGAACGCAGGATGTCGGAAATGATGTCGTCGAGGTCGATCATGTCGCCGTCGCTGGTGCGGGCGATGGTGAACGGGGTGATGGCCCCCGTGAGGTTGCCCATGGTCTCCTCAAGGCGAGTGAGCCGGTCGTGGGCTTCCGCCAGGAGCCAGCCGACGGTGGAGCCCTCCTTGCAGGGGATCAGAAGAGTGCCCATGCTGGTAGCGACACGGATGCGCAGATTGACGGGGCCAGACGGAGTCTGATTCGGGCCGGAGTTGCTGTAGAGCTGGATCTGCGACAACATGGCCTCGGTGGCGTACTGGATGACCGAGTTGCGGTTGCTCTGCTTGCTCATGCTGCGCTGGAGATGCGATGGCGATGGCGAGGCCAGCGGCTTGGTCTGGGGCGAAAGCGCCGGGGGAGTGGTCGAGGAGGCCGAAGGGGGGGCTGGTGCGTCGGTGGACGAGGAAGCAGACGATTGTTTGCTATTTCGCATAAACGACGACAACATGGCGATGGATGTGGTGGCAACCGGGATCGGCTGGAGCTCGGGCCGCTGTGGTTGCTGTGGTGGGCGTTGCTGTTGCGGCTGGAGAAGCAGCTGTGGCCGGGGTCAGTGGTGAGGCAGGCAGGCAGAGGAGCCCAGGGGATGAGTCGGGGCTTGCCGGCGATTGGAGAGTGCTCGAGAGACCCAGGGCCAGACGACGGAGGGCAAGCACGGAGCGAGGGCAGGAGGAGGAAGAAGAGAAAGATGAGCCCGCAGACGAACGACGGCGACGACGACGGCGACGACGGCGAGAGCGATCCTGGGGCAGGGCGGGTGGGGGGCCACAAGGCGAGGGCTCGCAAAAGGCAGCGAAAGGGAAAGGAGGGCTTTTTTGGGAACGTGTTGTCGGTGCCAGGAGGGCCACGGCGACGTCGCGGCCTGTGCAACGAGCGCGGCCGCGGCGAGAAGAGCGAACGATGGATGAGCGAACGATGGATGAGCGGATGGTGGATGAGCGAATGATGGGTGAGCGGATGGATGGGTGAGCGGATGGATGGGATGATGGGTGATGTATAGATGTTCAAATGTTCATAGTGTCGATGTTCGGATGTTCAGATGTTCAGATGTTCAGGTGTGGGTCTATAAATAGCGTCGCTTCTCTTGGTCCTGCATCCGCTCCAATCCGTTGTCCTGTCGCACGGCGGTAACAACGCAATCTTGTATTGGCTGGCGAAGAAACCGCAAGGGCGCATCCAACACCATGCACATTCATGGCCACAGAGACATGTCCTTGGCAGCAAGTATCGCATTCGTGGCGGCAGTCCTGCAGATGCACTCATCCACAGATACATTCCTCTACAGACGCACCCATCTACAGCGACACCACCGTCTCGGAGGGCACTTCCAGGAAGATTCCCGTCGTGTTGTCCATCACCAGCGCCCACTCAAAGGTGACGCTGCCGTGGTATCCTGCGGGCGCCGTCCACCCAAATGTTATCGGAGGTTGCTTGAACTGCGGCGAGCTGTGGGTTAGCGACGACGGGCACCCGGGCACCGTGTGAAAGCGGTTGTCGAACGGGCCCCATGTGCCAATCTCGGTCTGAGCGCTGCTGACGGCATACAGCAGGATGCCGTTGAAGATACTGTTGGCAGGGCCCTCGACGGTGACGCTGAGCCGACCAGCTTCAGGGCCAGCCGCAATCGCAAGGCTGTTGCAGCACACCATTGCAAGACCTGGTCAGCATCGTCTCGGGACTGCCCACCGGAGAGCGGCAAAGTGATGTCCAAATGCCACAGTGCAGCAGTCGATCCAGAGATATCTCACTCACCTGAATGCCGATGAGCTCTGGATGGCGGCTCTCATGCCCCGGGCAATTTCCTGGCCGCCGTTCGTGATTGTGCAAACCGGCGAGCCATTCGGCAGGGCTGTCGCCAGCACCAGCGATGCAAGCAGAGCTCCCAGTCCAACGATCAACTTGGTCATAATCACAGCCACTCGTACGGATGATACAGCAGAACGGATCGGTGCCAGGCTAGATCTTGCAGAACTGCGGAACTGCCCGGGGTTGTAGCGATGGTGGAGAGCTTCAAGGTCATCTCGAGGGATTCTGTCTTCATATCAACCTTTGCTGGTGCTTGACCGATGCCGGCCCGGCCTCAGGCTTGAGCCCGCGCGCGCCGCTCTTTGGCCTCATGCAAGTGCCAGGGACCACTGTTGCCAAGCCGAATCCCTCGACTCGCAGCAGAGTTTCCCGCGGAAGGCGATGAAACCTTGATGGCAACTGGCAGAGCGCCGACATGCGGCATTGACGGCGACGAACAGCCGCAAGATGCCGCGAAGCTTCTGCACCCGCCAAGGTGGCATATCGAGCGCCAGATCCCGCCGACTCTGTTCAGCCGATATAGGATGGCCATGAACTTGGTGCGATACCGGCTGAACGCAGTCCGGCATATCCATGTCTGTGGGCAGGTTGCATGTCCACATGCTCGCATCAGCGCATATTTGCTCGTTGCCACAGCTCCCCCGGCACCACAAGTCCATCCTGCCGACATCATGCAGCACCGGGACCAGTCAAGGTGTCTCGTCAATGGCCCGCTGCGACCGAGCCGTTTATTGCTGGTTCGGCGGCGACATTCCAATCTTGTACTTTGTGGCAATGTATGCACCCAGGAACTTGAATGTCGACACATTCTCGGGCTTGAGCTGCTCCTGGGCCTCTGTATCCAGCAGACTGAACATCTTCTTCGAAGGCATGAAGGCGATGATCCGGCTCGAATCCGAAAACGGGTACTGTGGGCGATTTGCAGCGCCCGCCCAGCACGGAAGAGTTGGCATCAGCATTCCATACGCCTCCTTGGGCAGGCCATTGCCCCGGCTCCTCAACGACAGGTGCTGTCGTCCGGCCATAACTCCCCAGCACCGCTTGCGGATGTGTTCGTGCTGACGAACCCTCTCCCAACAACGACTCACCTGAGCCTCAACCTTGTCCCCGACCAGTGCTTGGAGCGACTCGAGCTCCTTCTGTCCTTCTGCCAGCTTGGCCTGCCACTCGCCCTCGGAGAGCTCGCTGTTGGCCGTAAACTCCTCCCGTAGCCATTGCGGGGCTTGCACTTCTAATCGGTGCGCTCGGCTCTGTGGAGGCCACTGCTTGATCGACCGCAGGAGCGATCTGTACAGCGACAGCGTTTGGCTCCGGAGATGGGCTGAAGACATGTCTGCGACGGATCCGAGTGTGTCCGGTGCTCCGAGTAGGGTGGGATGTGGGGACTTGCGAGATGCCTCGGGTGCAGCTTGCGGGACCAAAGCTTGATCTGGACTGGATCTTGACGCTGGCCGTGCAAAAAAACGCAGAGAGCAAGAGCGAGAGCGTCCTCGGCGGCCTCGCCTGCGGCTCGTTTGCCGGGCGGGATAGTCACCTGGCGCCGGCAATGTATTGGCAAGCACCCATGCTCGCTGGACATGGCATGACTCTTGCATATTCCATCTGAGGTCCCACCCGACATCCCACCCGACATCCCACCCGACATCCCACCCGACATCCCACCCGACATCCCACCCGACATCCCACCCGACATCCATCTGAGATTCCATCTGATAACTACTTCTGGCACGGCCACTCATCGCAGGCGACCAAACACGCAAGATGCGCCCCGGCACCACTCGACTCTATGTCCCTGCCGATCATGCTGCCTCTGGCGGGCCATGCCATTCTGTGTGCTTGGGATCAAATGAAGCCAGCAGGGCCAGCGCCTTCACGAGCGAGGGGGAATCGCTCGCCCTCGTTGTTCTCTCGCTCGCTCACTCCCTCTTTCTCGCCCGTCTGATTGTGCCCGACCTCACCAAGGATCATCGCCGCGGCCGTCCTGTTCCTCCTCTGACCGACAGCCTCGCCTCCCAGCCTTCTTCTCTCGCGCATTTCCTGGCCTCGGCACCTCTGCACCACCACCGACGGCCATGGCAGACATTGCCCTTATCCTGACCTCGGTCATATTTGCACTCCTCGTCCTCGTGGGGGCCTTCTACTTCCTGGTCTACTTCCAGCACCCCGAGGACAAATGGACAGCCTGGTTTCCAAAAGTCGTCGTGGTAAATGTCTGTTGCAAGGGAGCAGCACCGCCGATTCGGGCAATCTAGCGCTTTGGTGCTCTGCCCGAACACTTTAGGCTCGGTATTCCGTGGGTCGGACCGGGCTTCGCTGCCTCCGCGCAGACCCAATCTCCGGTCGTGGTAGAATCGTCGCCGGTCGTGGGAATCGTGTCGACGCGCATCAGCCACAACCACAGGCCATCCAGAATCGATTCAGCAGCGGCAATATGAGCGAGCCGGACATGGAGCTTTCGCAACCGCCAGCCTCGGACGCGACTGTGCCATTCTCGACATATTGTGCTGGTCAAATCGAGCCAGATCTTTGACCTCCTTTTGTTGTGGTTGGCGATGGCTCGTGGCGCTTGAATCGGCCGATCGATCTCAACAGTCGGATTCGATTCCCAAGCGATCAGGGCCTTGGGCTACCGAGCATCACCACTCAGCCCGTCCGCTTGAACTAACCGGTGGGCTCGATTTCCCCCAATGCCGCACCGCCACTTCCACTTCCACTATCGCCAGATTCTCGGGATATCGCTCTCGGCCTACAACCTGTTTCTGCTGCCATTCGATGTCGGGAACCAAAGCGGCGAGTTCACAACCACAGGAATCCCCATGGGCCCGATTGCGAGCGGATTCTACATCACTTCGGTGGCGATCGTGCTCGTCGCCGTGCCGTTCACGGTCTACTTTTATGAAGGAGTCGATGACAGTGACGAGTCGGATGAAAAAAGGTGTGCATTTCCGTCTGCAGAGACCCTCGTGCCGGTCCAGTCACTCACGGCGGACTTGCAGGTGTGATGCTGGTCGCGAAGCACCTAGATGAGCCCGTCGCGACGTGGGCATATCTCGTTGCAGTGCAGCTGAATGTCGCTCGCACCACTGAGATTTGTAGAACGATAGCCAAAGGGACGGATGTATGCTATTGATCGTATGTGCAGATGACCGACACTTTAGGTGGCCATGCCGTCACCGGCCCGCTCTGTGGCTTCGGGCTGATTCCCTGCGCAAAACTGTCGCTCATGCTCGGCTTCGTCTCCTCTGTGATTGGGCTCCGTACTGATGCGCATGTTGCTCCGCTCCATGCTTCCAGCTCCTCCAACTCTCAGCTCGGCTATGCCCTCAAATGGCTCCTCCCGACGCTGATCTTCATCGCGGCCATCATATTTGTCATGTACTGGTTCATTCCCGGCATCGCCGATGTTCCGGCCGTGCGAGTTACGGGCACACTTACTCCGTTCGACACCACCGGCCAGATCCCAGGCTCGGTCCCGGACTACATGAGGAATCTCTGCACGGCCACGACGGTACGACGCAGATCCGATGCATATTGTATGTCTGCATATGCGGCCCCCCATCTCCCTGCGGGAGCACCTCGACAGCTTCCATGATTCGCTGGTGTTCGCTCACAAACCTCCCCGATGCTTGCGCTTGACGATCGCGCCCATCCAGTGCATTTCCCAGCCCGGGGTGTACCACGCCGGCATCTCTCCCTTTGTCTACATCGTGGCGGTGGTGTCGCTTGTGGGATGGATCATCTTTTCGATCTTTGGAGGAGTCGGCATCGTCTCCTTCCCATTTGACCTGATCATGGGCTGGGTCTATCGCCCCAAGCACATCAGTGCCACAGAGTAAGCCTTAGAGAACCGATGCAATGCCTGCACGAGAGGCGGAGCCGGGTGGGAAATGTGTGGATCGGCTGACCTGCTCCGGGGAGGCTCACCTCCCTCGCCCATTTCCAGATACGCCGAGCGCAAGAAAATGATTGGTGAGCAGTCGCAGATCCTCATGGAGGCCGGAAAGACGCTCCAGGAAGAGCTCAAGGAGGCCTCGCGCAATGGCAAATCGAACCGCATGATGCGCCGTCTCAGACTCAAGGAAAACGAGTTCCGCAAGGATGTTCTCATCCTCGAGTACCACTACCGACGGCTCGAGGATTGCTACAAGCGACAAGGCGGTAATCTGCTGCTTCAGATCCTGAAGCTGGTCGCTGGCTTGATCAGGTAAGCAGATGTGCTGGGCGCGGTCAAACAGTAATCCGAATCACGAATGCTTGCAAGAGGGCAACCGGGCTCGAAGCAAGCGGTGCTTGGTCGGGACTTTTGCCTCGCAATAACAGAATGCCTCTCGGCCGACCTCGACCGTGCGACATCCAAAACGCTCAAAGCATCGTCCTCTCGGTCGTGTGGATCATTCAAGTGTCGATCTACCAGCTTCCAAAGATCCTCGGCACCCTGCCGATCTCAGCGTTCCTGAACGACTTTCTCGAGAACGTGTCGCCCATCCCATTTATCGGCACAAGCTTCTATGCCGTCTTTGCATTCTACATCCTGGTGTGTGTCATCAAGGGCGTCGAGAAGCTTGGCATGCGAATCCTCATCATCTCCATACATCCACTGCGGTATGTGTCCAGCAGAGTGTGGGCAGTAAAGGGCCAGCGGCTGTTGGCACGAACGGCATTCCAGCTCGCTGGAGGAGCGGTCGGTGCGTTCTGTTCCAGCCCTCTTGGCTGACAGCCCCAATCGCGGGCCATCCGTATTTGCCGTGCAGCTTTGGCGAGACCATGATGAACTCGCTGGTCTTCAACACGGGCATCGTGCTGCTCTGCTCGCTCTCGGTCGCTCAGTTTTGCTCCCAGAACTTTGACAAGTACGGACGATACACGACGGTGTCAGGTGCGTTACAATTGCATTGCCATTGCATTGCGAATGCAGTGTCGCCAGGGCGGAGGTGGGGCGGCTCAAGGCCGAACGATGACTTGACGGCCAATCGCTGGATATTGACCGCTCTTGAACCCTCCTCCACAGCCGTCTTTGGATCTCAGCTCGCTTACTTTCGCGGAATCCACTATGGATACGACGCCTCGCCGTTCATCCTGCTGGGCTTTGTGGTCTTGACCTTCCTCTACACGCTGTACCGCCCCTACAAGAAGCAGCGAGAGAATGTTCTCGACTTCAAGTGGTAGCTTCTGTTGAGGATGCCGTTGCTGTGAGGAGGGGAACGAAGGGCGGGAGGGGCAACCTGGAGAAAAGTAGTGGCGGTGGTGCAGGAATCGGCCGAGCACTTTGCCCGGCAACCATGGATAGCTGCGTACCCATGTTGAAACGGGACACTTCAACACGCGGATGACTTGTGTGGATTGAATGGCGCAGATCGATCTGGCTGAATGATGTCGAATGGCGCTCGCGCTGTTGTGATGGACTCGGCCAATGCCATATCTGCGGGGCACACGACCCGAGACACCTGTGTGCACTCGGTGCAGCGTCGATTTACGGGCGATCCAATAAAAAACGGGACACCCGTGTTTTTGACCATTCATCGAATATTTTGTTACCCAATGTTATCGCGCGCTGGCCATGACCATTCGCCACACATCCGACTTTCGCACCGCCGCATTGCGATGCTACGCCCTCATCCATAGCCTGCGTAAGGTCGCCTCCATATTCAGTGTATCCAAGAGCACCATCCATCGATGGCACCGAGGATGCAAGCCAACCGAGTCACAGCTCGCAGATCCACTTTCTTCGAGCAGGCATGTCCAGTCATTCGCACCCTGATTGAACAGGACCCGTTCCAGACTGGTCCTGTGTTGCGATGCAAGCTCGAGTCCATCCTCCAGAGGAAAGTATCACTCTCACTCTGCCACACTGCCATCCAGCGAGCAGGTCTCTCACACAAGAGGGCAACACACCTCTACAAGTCCAAGCGACTGGATGAGCGAGTGGCACAGTTCAGGGACCAGGCCCGCTCCATCGACCCACGACGATTCGTTTTTGTCGATGAGACAGGGATCAGGAGATCCATTTTCCCTCTTTACGGATACTCGCCGAAGGGTGCTCCGCTTCGCCAGCGCAATCACATGAAACACAAGTCTGTCTCGGCTGCATTTGCCATCAACCACTCTGGTGTGCTGCATCGTATGTACATCCCCACATCATTCAAGACACACTCGATGGTCGAGTTCTTTGAGCGAGCGACCTTCCCAGACGACTCTGTGATTGTGATGGACAATGTGAGCATGCACAAGACAAGGGCTGTCCTGGACTGCATCGAGCGCCGAGGATGGTCAGTGATCTTCACCCCACCTGCCTCGCCCGACTTCAATCCCATCGAGAACTTCTTTGGGGTTGAGTCCCCACCGATTTGGGGTTTAGTCCCCCAATCACGCCGCCATTTTCACGCTCAAATCCCTGGCTTGAACCTCTCGGCGATTTTTGAACAGGGTCACTTCCCAACCAGCCCGCAAAGACGGGCTCCTGCTCTCGGGTATAAATGCCACACCTTCGTCCTGCTGCTTTCTTCCCTCATCTCGCCTTGATCTGATCATCGCGCTATTGTACGATAAAAAAAAGTCTCTGCTCTGACCAGTACCACTGGCAGGCATCCAGCATCCTCTGTCCCCATGCCTCCGAAGCGCAAGGGTACCGGTGATGGCCAGCCTCGGCCACCCAGGCCCAAGAAAGCCAAGTCACAGTCGGAGCCTGTCTCTGGTTCGTATTCTGACCCCACGCATGCTTGGTCGTCTGTTGCTCCGTCGCTCACCACCACTGCTTCTGCAGATCCAATGGATGTCGATCCCACCGAGCCTGGTCCATCTACTTCCTCGAGTACTGGCAAGCGATGTCGCCAGTGCGATGGCACCGATCATCAGCGAAGCAACACCAACAGGTGTCCCAAATACCGGCCCCTCAAGAGTTCTGTCGTCCCACTCGTGGATGGAAGGTCATCCGCTCCTCAGTTCAGCTGCTTCAAGCAGACGATGGATGGCTGTTGTCTCAATCCCGCTCTCCGCGACAAGATCCAGGCCACCGTCGAGGCCATGACCCAGATCCAGTTCGAGGCATCCAGGCTGCTCAACCTACATATCCTCCGGTGCATCGAGCAGGATATTCCCGTCCCCGTCATCTCCAAGGCCACCCCTGCATTCATCCGCCAATGCTTCAGGATCGTCCAGGCCGGTGCCCTCTCGACGGCCAGGGATACCAAGAAATACAACGAGCATCTGGTCGCTTCCTTTCGCGACTACCAGACCACTCGACACGCAGACCTGCCTCCGGCCCCTCGTCTGCCTGATGGTGCTCACAGTCAGCTTCTCACACTGGCTGTCAATGCCTATGCTACCAACTGCACCACCCACCTCGACCTGGCCTACTGGCGACTCCTTCGCCGCTTCTGCGCTGCCGTCTTCCCAGCCAACAAGCATAAGCACGAAGCCATCGAGGCCTGTCTCGAGCTCTTCGAGAAACCAGGGCAGACTCCACCCAAGGCCGATCTCGAGTTCCTCTATCCCGAGTTTGGCCACGTCCTGGACGAGTTTCGGTACAGCAACGACCAGGACCACTTCCGGGCCCTCCATCGCCTCTCACACCATGTGAGAATCCTCGCCCGAGACAAGATGGTCGACGATGTCCACAAGTGGATCGACTGTGACATGCCCGCCCTCCGAGTCACAGAGCTGCAGCGCCAGGCCAAGCTGGACGAGCTCACCACCCAAGGCATTCCCTCCGACGACAAGAGGTTCACCAAGGCCAAGTCTGAGCTCGGCACCACCAAGGCCAAGATCAACAAGCTGGCCGCCAGGATCAACTGGGCACTCAAGCAGCTCGCTCTGGACACTCCTCCGGCCGTGTGCACGATAGTTCCTCTCTGTACTGCGAAGGCCAAGTATGTCAAGATCGACACCGTCACTCTCTGGGAGCTCCTTGGTCCAAAGAAACGCCTTGGCCTCACCTGGGACATGCTCAAGGAAGAAGGTGAGGACGGTGTCAACAACCAGGATCGTCTCTGGCGCAGTTGCTTCAAGCTGCGTAGTTCCCTCTTCCAAGAGCGGGACGTGAACAAGAAGCTGTTCAACTACGAGATCAGCACCGATGGCATTGGATGCACCATCGGTCTCGTCAAGTTTCTGCCTCGAACCGATCACACCGAGACTTCCGAGCCTCCTCCGACTGCCGAGTAGCGCATCCAGGCCCACATCGGCGACCCAGACCCCGGTGGCACCACTTGGATTGGCATCGATCCTGGAGTCGGCTCCATCTTCACGGCGGTCATCCAAGCACCGGGCCACCAAGACGAGGTGGTCTCATTCTCCAATGGCCACTACCAGCACATGTGTGGCCATACGTCCAACACCAAGTGGCACAATACCATGAAGTATCGACTCAGCATCGAGACCTGGATGTCGACCACCCCCTCGCCCAAGGTGTCGTCCTCGGAGGCTTTCAAGGTCCATCTCACCCATGTCCTGCGACCGGAGCTGCGAGTGCAGCTCGACTTCCACCTTGGCAAGAAGGCCCGTCACCATCGCTTCACGGGCCACAAGAGGCGCCAAGTGGCCGTTGACAAGATGTGCAAGGCCGTCCTGAAGCACGCCCCGATACGGACCGATGTGGTGATCGCCTTTGGCAATGCATCATGGCGACAGGGCAAGGGCTATGCATCCAGCCCTCGGAGGCAGCGGTTCGCTCGGTACTTTGAGCAATTCGAGCACCACCGACGCCGTCCCACTCACCCTCACGGAAGCGTCAAGGTGGCCTCGACGAACGAGTTCAACACCTCGCAAGTGTGCTCCAAGTGCCTGGAGCCAGTTCGGTTGGAAGGACTCGATGCGCCCAGTGTTGCGAATTCCCACTTTGTCAGGAGCTGCAAGAATCCCAGCTGCCGGACAGTGTGGAATCGCGACGTCAATGCGGCGCGCAACATGATCACAGTATGCAAGTCGATTGTGGAGATCGGAGAGCGACCGGCGGTCTTCACTCGGAGGCTGCCAAAGTGATCTGTTTTATTTCTTGTGGCTTTGCTTGACGCAAGCACAGCACATACTACATGTTCATGGAAACGGCTATGTTGTCCCGTTTTTTTCTGAATAAAGTGTAGATGTGGACATCCAATTGTCATCCAATCGACGCTGCCTTGGATGGAACGCTGCCTTGGATGGAACATCCCTCCGCGCCGGCCAATCGCAGCAGCCGGCCCCGCCGCCAATCGCAGCGCGCCCGAGCGACCCACGTTCGGCTCCTTGCCCCTGTGCCCTTGGGCCGCGCGTGCAACAGACCAAGGGGGCAACAGACCGCGCGGCCATGCACGCAGGCCCATCACAGCCGGCAATCCTGGTTGTGCCTTTGGCAGCGAGGCATGCCCAGTCCCGCTGTGGGTGCACCAGCGTCGCTGCTGGATCGCTGTTCTGGTATCCTTTGTCGGCCCCCACATGCCGCGGCCAGAGCCAACGAGGATGATCCCCAGAATAGCCTGGACGCACGCCCAGAATCGCAAAGCGACCAGCCCCAACCAGCGAGAAAAAGTCAGCGCCTCTGCGGCTGTTCAGGAGTCTCCAGGATAGCGATTTCATTTGCCAGAGATTTTTTTTTTCCCAGTTTGCGCCAGAAGATATATTCGCTCAGCCGACTCGGCTCTGTCGCTGATCTTTCATTCCCGCCAGCAATCCAAGGCTTTCGTCTCTTGCATCCGAGCACTTCAAGCCATCCGCCAGCCCGCTCTCTGCTCCGGCTCCCTCTTCCCAGTATCCCTCCCCCGCTGCCGTCACTGTCCTGTCCTGCCTTGGCGCTCTCATCTGGACCCACACGACCCCCGCCCACATCCAAGCCCGCACTTCCTTGCATCCAACCATGACCACAACTGCCTCGACCCGCAACACACAGCTCGATTCCCACTCGGCGCTGCCGGCCCCGCAGCCAGCGCCTCTCAAGAGCTCCGACCACTATCTCGGCTCCGATGCTACTGGAGAGTCCCACCAGCTTCTGGACACTGGTATGGACCTGGGATGGTGTTTTTGTGGCAAGCAGACTCGTCAGGTGAGCAGCCACAGCATTTGATGCATTGACAGTGGTGCTGGAGTACTTGGGCGATGAAGATTTGCACCGAGGTCTGGATGGAGAAGAGATGGTCCTCTCCCACAAATGCAGCGATGGCATCGATCAAAGCCGGAATGCTGGGTGTGATGCCTGGTGGCCAGATGCGATGCCGGACTGCAGGATGCTCTGTCGGCTCTTGAGGGCCAAGTACATCTCCCCCCCCGGCTCACAGACAAGACCGTCGCTGTGGCTTGACATCGACACCCCATATCGGCTTGACATCGACGCCCCATACCGGCTAACACTCGCACCGCCATCGTCTGCAGAACCAGCTCTACTGCTCCAAGCAGTGCCTGTATTCGGACCACGCCCGCTCGGCCCAGCTTACTCCTTCCTCGTACCTCAAGCTGTCGCCGAGATTGTCGCCGATGATGTCGCCCAAGCTGGCGCTGTCGCCTCGCACTCCCCGTGCCGATTCGGCTGCTGTCGACGCCGGCGCCGGCAAGACTCCCTCGGCCCCTATGGCCGAGTTCATGCTGCCAGAGTCGCACTTTAACGAGAAGCTGTGAGCCGGCTGCCAAAGCCCAGCCGTCCTGGCCATATCGCATGTGGGGCCATGCTGTCTAATAGGCCATGCTGTCCAAAAGGACCGTGCTGGCCCCAAGCCCATCTATCGCCAGGACACAAGCGACATGGCCAGAGAGCTCCAGCAACCTAGCCCTTTGGAGATCCTCCTCCTCCATCTGGCAACTGCTGTCCAAGCTCGCAACGACCTTTCAGGCCACACTCGTCCCTCTCCGCTCATTCCCAATTTCAACATCCCACTTGTCCCTGTGCTATTTTCGCTATTGTAATCATATCCTGACCCCACTCACTCACCCACCCATCCATCCCACCTTGTAATCCGCGTCCTAATGTCGTCGCACTCTCTGTATATTCGATCAATACAGCTGCTCTGGAAATGACAGAGGGTACCTCTGTCATTCCAGGGGGATCCGTCGCTGTCAATGGGCAGAGAAGGGAGGCAGAGCAGCAAAAGGGAGCGACAGAGCAGCAGCAGGGCACTTTCGATATTCGAGAGCCGAAACCTGGATCGAAGCTGATCCAGCGCGCGGCGGACGGCAACCACAACCAAGACACCTTCGCCGCGATCTGCCCTGCTTCCCTCGACGATATGAGCCTGGTCGAGGAAGACCTCACCCACGTCAGCTTCAAAGACCCAGCCTTCCTCGGAACGGTAGCGTAGAGCCCCAGGATCGCTATGGGCAGCATGGTGGCACTCGTTGGCTCGTTATCGCCAGCACCAGCCCACTGACCCGATCATTTGCTCCAACCACCGGATCCTCGCCCCCAAAATACCATCTCATCTCCAACCACTGACCCCGCTGGCAATCGGCACCTCAGCTTGGTCTGCACGAGCACAATGCCCTCGACTACTTTGCCCTGAGCCAGTTCTACGACAAAAAGTCCATCAACGAGGAGATTATCATGCAGTCTCGATTCAACCAGCTCCAGGCAAACCAACTCAACAGAAAGTAGGCGAAGCGACCCGTCCCTCTCTCTTTCTCTCTCCCACCCACTACCTTTCCTGTGCTGATCAACGCTTCCCTGCCATCGATCCACTAACGACCAAACACAAACACAAACTCAAACTCCCGCTGACTTCACCGTCTCTGCTTCGCAACTCCCTGCGTACAATGCCCCTCCCGCGGCGATGGATGTCTTGGATCTCAAGAGCCATGAAGGGTATCGAGTACGAGCTGGGATATTTCAGCTACCAGCCCAGTCTGTTTATCATCCGCAAGCTGTATCGAACGGACGAGAGAAACGGTGAGAGGCAACCTGGATTGGCGTGACCCACACCGTCTCTTCGTCTGAGAGCTGGATGAGATCGCCGGAACTATCGCCCAGAGCCCGAAAAAGGCGGCTTGGAGTCGCATCGCACCCTGTCTGAGCGTCGGCAGCGTCGGCAGTGTCGGCAACGTCGGCAGCGTCGGCACCAGCCCGACCATGTTACCAATGCTTCATGCAACCGCCCTTTCGATGCCACAGCTGCACTCATCGGTCTCTACTACATCATCGAGGGAACAATCTACCAAGCGCCGGACCTCGCCACGCTGCTTTCCAACCACATGGTATGTATGGCCCCCCCCCTTTTCACTCGGCCGGTGCATGTGTGTCGTTTCGGAGACCTATCTGTTGCTGCCCCCTCAACTAATATGCATTTGCTCGACCATCAAACGACCATCAAACGACCATCAAACGACCATCAAATGACCATCAAACGGCCATGACAGATCACGTCGCTGCACCACGTCCAGAAAGCATTTGACGAAGCCGTGACCTCGGTTCGGTACCACCCGTCGCATGGGTACATGTGGTCGATCGACGAAGAGGCGATAGTAAAGTCTGTGGCCAAGTCCAAGGAAGAGGCAGAGGCCTCCCAGGATCCGGCCGGGACGGCGGTGGCATCGTCGGTCCACCAGCGGCTCCAAGCAATCGAGTTTGTCAACAGCGTCGATGCCATGGTCGACCAAGTCGAGTCCATCTTTGAAAATTTGAAGCAGGACGATGCGTCGCAGCAGGGGCAGACCCACTGGGAGGCAGATCTGGACGAGCTCAAGGCACGAGTGCAGGCCCGGCATGAGGTACGCATCGCCGCTCTCTTGGCGGCCCCGAATTCTCTCCAGTCGTTTACCCACCGAGTCGGTGACGAGCAGCCGGAAGAGTGATCTGACCACTTCCTCGTTGGGGCGACTTTGTCAACCACATGGCTGGCACCAGGCGCAGATGGCCGCTGCTTCATCAGGCCGCATTAAAGGTTCGTTGTCGACAGCAGTGTCCTGGCATGCCGGTGCCCCGATGATATCGGCGAGCCCTCCGTGCTGACAGATCCACTAAACCGGACATGCCTTTCCAGCCGACAGCGAGATCCGGATCAAGCGCAAGAAAAAGTCCATGTCCGAGTCGTTCCGGGTCACCGGCCCGGCCTCGCCTTTGCCGGGATCGGTCCTGGGTGGTCTTTCCAAGAAGAAAAGGCTGTGACGATCTCGTCCTCGATCGTGGTGCTCGATTGTGGTGCCTGCCGTAAGACCTATACCTGCAGCACTCTCCTGGATCACGGACGAGTCCAAGACTACAACGGCGTGGTGCATACATCCAAGCAGCAGTAATCAGTGGCGCAACATTGATCCACCCCGATCGCCGCTGCTGTTGCCATCGGTCCCAGCGGTGCGGTCTCCGCACGCAGATCGGCCATTGCTTATGAAGATCGACCCGGGCTCTGGATACGGTGCGATTTCGACTACATATTGCACACTGTAGAGCAAGATGAACGCGGAACCGGCGGCATCCTTGAATGTATCGGCGATGTGGGCGGTACAGATGTATCCAAGGCAGGGCCGATAGCCATTGTCACCAACAATATGGGTGTATTTAAGCAGGGTGAGATCGTTGGCCAAAGAGTCGAATAAAGCTTTTCATTTTGCACAAAGGAGAGGGAGAGAGAGGCGAGATCATGGTTGATTGGAGAGTGGTAGGGAGGTAGGGAGCCATATACAGAAAGGAGGGTGGGCAAGAGCAGGGCAATGCAAGATATCATATCACCAAGCTCGCGGAAGGCTGGCTTGTGGGTGAGGAACTGCAGAACAGCAGAGGAACCCCCAGAATAGCCACAGCGGAGCCGCAGAACAGCCGCGGAATGTCTTACTGCTGGACATTGACCAGGGTGTCCAGGTTGGTGCTCTCCTCGATGGGAGGGAGCTCGGAGCAGCACAGGAAGCACTTGGTGGCAAAGATGGGCACCTCCTTCAAGCAGTAAGGGCACTCTCGCTCGGTGGGCACGCCGTGCTCGTCGACCTTCTTCTTCTGGCTCTCGATGATGCGGGTGAAGGTTCGGATGATCACAAACAGGACCAGCGAAATCAGAATGAAGTTGATGACGGTCTGGATGAAGGCACCGACATCAAGCGTGACGGCACCACCTGCAGATATGGATTAAAGCACGGAGAGGGAGGGCAGCAATGGCGGACGAAGGGGATCGGACACGGTGGATCAGTAGATGGCAAACAGCGGCTCGGTCGAGACCCAGGAAGCCATTGCAACCACAGGCGACATTTGCAGGCCGTGCCGGCCCGATTGACTTACAAGCCTGCGCCTGCTGCGGGGTCTGGATGCTATGCCAGTTGTCCGCGGGGCAGATCTTTTCGTTGGGCTCGCGAAGATACAAAAAGTAGTTCTTGAGCTGGACGCCGACAATCAGCGACAGGATGGGCGAGATCAGGTCGTTGACGAACGAGGTGACGATGGCGCTGAAGGCGCCGCCAACGACGACACCGACGGCCAGGTCGACGACATTGCCGCGGCTGATGAACTTTTTAAAGTCCTCGAAGAAGGACTTTGTCGCCCGGACGGCGGGCTGGGCGGCCGAGCTGAATCGGGCGCGGCGGGCCAGGTTGAGCAGATGCCGGTTGCGCTGGCGGAGCGAGTCGTCTTGCTGGGAGGACATTGCGGGAGGGGAGATGGTGCGTGGATGCGGGTGGGAAGCCCAAGCGGAGAGATGAAGAGCCAAGCCGGAAGACTAGCAGCCAAGCCGGCTGAGGCCAGCGGGGGGAAGGTTGTCAATACCACCCAGCCCGGCCGGTGGGGGTGCCAGGACGGGGCGCCGGAGCAGCAGACCTCAGCCTGACCAGTCCTGCGCTCGACGACATGCACGCCACCGACATGGCATGGGGAGTTTGGGCATGGACATCGCGGTGGGGACGCATGGGCCGGGTCCGTCGCGGCGGCCGTGGTGGTGGCAGTCGATAGCCGAGGCCGAAGTGATTACGGCAGTTGTTACAGCACGCCTTGCTCATGAGAGCGGTGCAAAGATGTCTCGTTTCAAAGACCGATTCGCCACAAGCAACCCAAGGCTGATCACTCCGAGGAGAGTTCACGGCGATGTTCCGATGCAGCGATACGATGGGGTGTCCCGTTTGCCGTCGTTGCATTCTCTGCTTTGTCCAAGGCGATGTCTGGACTACCACACCACCGTCGTCGACGCTTCGATCGTCTCGCGGAAATGATCGGCCGGCAGTTCCATCGAATGGACGAAACCATCCGTGTTGCTGCTTTCGCATCTGCGCTCGCCTCCACACTCGCATCTGCAAGTTCGGCCGTGGAATGCGGTGGTGCCCGGCGGGCTGGGTTGGTTCGGCTGCCATCGCCGTAGCCGCCGGTAGACTCCATCGCCATCACCCTCATATCCGCTTCGGCGCACCTGGTCCTGCCCAATGCCGTCGCCATCGTCGTCGCTGCCGTCGTCGGTCGTCGTTGCGGCACTGACGATCGTCGTCCTCGCCGCAACAGCCCTCGCTGGCTCGCCGGTCTATACCGCCAGCAACTCCACCATCGACCCAACCTGCTTCAACCTCCTGCAGTCCGGCAATGTCCAAGTCCTCGACCAACTCTGCGGACTGACTCTGACCCAGTGCTCGCAGCAGTGCGGCCCGATGGGCACTCTGCGCTCATACTGTATCCCGTCGACCCTGGCCTGGGACTGTGCCTGCAAGAACACAAGCATCGCAGTCCAGGTCCATCTCTTTGCCGTCCAGACAGCCGAATGCCAGGGCGAGCAAGAGATCTGCTTCCAGAACTGCAATCCCACGTATCTCAATCTCACCGGTCTGGGGCCAGCCGGACTGCCTTCGCCCAGTCTGCTTCCCTCGCCAGCTGCTCTGCCTGTGGCGAACACCTCGGCTCCCTCGGCGACCACATCTCCATCGCCGCCGACACTGACTTTGTGCCAGCTGAGCTGCAACACCTCCTATGCCTGCGGCACTGCGAATGCCAGCGAAGAGCGGTCCTGGCAGGTCAACACCAACGTCTCGTTTTTTGGTCGACGACTGTGCTGGGGCGGCGGCGGCCAGATCGTCACCAACACCACCTGGTGGTCCAACAGCACCGGCATCGCCTTCAGTAGCTCGCCTCCTTCCCGCGGTTCAAGCATGGGTCTCTGGGGGCTCCTGGCTATTCCACTACTGCTGGTATCTCTCGGGTTCTGGTCCTGAGGCATATTGGTGAGGGTCTGGCTCGCTCCTGCCATCGATGGTAGCCCACGGAGTTCCCACGCGACCAACTGGAATCCTGTTATCCCTGCAGTCCGCACCAACATGCGCGGATGCAGATTCAATATATTCGCCGACATTAAAGTGCTGAGTATAGAACTCTCGCACCGAGACCGGCGAGACCAGGAGACTCCGCCCCGCTGTGCGATCCATTGCGCCGAGATTCATCGGTCTTTTGTTGCCCTGGCTTCATCTCCATCCAATCCGCACTACACCGCATGCACACCCCACTCTGTCGCCCGGGCCAGATACTTCTGGCAGAGTGGGGCCTCTGTCTGCGACGCCCAATCACAATCTCCCGTTGTTCGCCAGGCCAGCATCCATTATGCCTCCCTTTGACCTGTGAGAATCGTACGCACACACAAAACCCATTGGTCTGCTTCCATTATGAGCAGGCCCATGGATCAGCATGCCGATTGTTTGCTCCAATAGAATGCTGCCTCCAGACAACAGTGTAGCTGCGGATTCCTGGCTGCCTGGGTGCTGAGATTGTCGGCTACCCATAAATCAGACGGTTCCTGCCCTCCGCTAGTCTTGGACTCTCGAGATCGCTCCTCATCTGCAGCTCTCTCGTCAGCAGCTTGAGCCATTCTTTACTGGTCGCCGTCCAGAGCCGCCATCGAAGCGCCAATCCAAATCCACTGCATTTATCAAAAGTACATCCGCCAGAGTCAGGATCGCACGGTATGATATCTGCCCAGTGGCTGCCTTTGGTCGGCGCGATGCTGTCGGGAGCATTGCAAGGATGGCAAGGCTGGTGCCCGTCGAGATCCAGGTTCAAGCGTCTGAGCAATGCAAGAATCTGGTACACTTCATACTCGCCGAGTACCACTTGCATTGCTCGTATCATCTGTATCGTTCACACTGCTCACGTTATGCATATCTCATGTCTCGACCAACATTCGCCGATGGGGGGCCATCTTTCAGAATGGATTTCGAACCAGCTGACAGCTCGCCGCCCCAACAACCCAAACCCGCTGCCGGACGCCGCCAGTCCAAGGCTCAGATCAAGGCATTTGCCCGGGACCTGACCAAGGGCTACTCTGTAAGCAGCGATATTGAGCGATCGTCTGGCCGCGATCTGATCATCAAAGAGCCGATCGAAGAGAAGGAGGGCGGCAACGATATCAAGGTGAGGGAGCGTACCACTCGCTCGCATCGGTTGGTCATTGGATCGTCGAGTCCCGAACTCGGATGATGCCAGTCGCTGGTTGTGCAGCTGCATGTTTGTTGATTGCACCTGGTTCTTCTGACACGAGCACTTTTGTATGCAACAGAAGCTCCAGTACTACCACCTGGCCGTGCTGGTTGCATCGTTGCTGGCGATAGGTGCCATTGTCATCATCATTATCTATTACCTGGTCAAGAGCGCGAATGTGTCTGGCCCGTCATCGGTGTCAGTATCCAAGGTCGTCGGATCAAACTCAATGACAGCGACGGTCTCGGCATCCCCGCAACCCACGACGCCCAGCCGCACAAAGCGTCAAGAGGAAGGATTCGTCCAGTATTTTGAAGCATGTCCATCGTCCCGTGTGGTCGATATCCTCCCTGACCTGGTGGATGCCGATGCCGTCTTTGTTGCGTGTGAATCCGGCACGATCGTCCGATCCAACACCACCGACATCGAGACTCTTGTTGCTCTGGACAGCAGCAACATCACCCTCATGCGACAGCACGCCGACCTGGTCTTTGTGGGGACTTTGTCTGGGTCGGTGTATTCGGTCGCTGCTGCAGCCCTGGCCGAAGGTCTTGTGGCCCTCGACCTCGTCTATGAGCACCCCAACGGCTCGCCTGTAACGGCGCTGGGATACTGGCCCCCGACAAACACCCTAGTCTCGGGCCACCGAGACGGAAGCGTCTTTGACAGCCAAAGCTCGAACTGCACGCTGGTCTATCCCGCCATCGACAATATGACGAGCCAGGTTCTGGACCTGAAGCCCGCTCCGATGGCCCTGTCTTGGCTGGCGCTCTATGTGGACGGCGTGGTCGAGTGGCAGATCGATGCCGCTGCTACCTCTGCTGAAGCCCGGATTGTCAAAAGTCGTGCGCTGCCGGAGCTGGTGTCGCTGGATGTGCATCCGCACGAGCAGCAAGTCGCTGTCATCGATCGCCATGGCCAGGTCTTTGTCTTGAACTCGACGGACTTTGACTTGTTGCAAAGCTGGTACCTGTACTCTCCCTCCACCTCCTCCTCCTCCTCGACCCTGGCCACCGACAACAGCAGTGACAACAGCAGTGACAGCAGCAGTGCCAGCAACAACAACGATGCTGATGGTGGCAGCATTGACGCTGGTAACAGCACCGAGCCAGCGGCAGCCTTTGTCGCTGGAGCCTCGGCCGATGCCACCACGGTCACTTCCGAAACCACCACGGCTGCCGCTGCAACTTCAACCGCCGTCGCTGTCACTATCACCTCGGCCCCGCCAACCGCCGAGGCAGTCCTCCAGACAGCCGTGATCGAATCAAGCGATCCCTTCGGCGCTGCATCGGTCTCGGACAACTCGTTCGCCCCATACCCTTCCACGAGCCACCACGAACGACTGGTCTATATCCTGTACCAGTCGATGCAGTCGCTGATTTATCAGTGGGATAGCGTCGCTGGAAACTGTCTAGCCTCGCCAGTCTCGATACCGAGTCGGGTGGCATCCCTGAAGTTCTCGAAGCGACAGCAGCTTCTCTGGATCGGCCTCGAGAACGGCTTGGTTGCGCATCTAACACTGCCGAGCCAGTGCTGAGGGGAAATCGGGTGTCTGGGCAGAGCTACCTGGGTACCTGGGTAGACCTGTGTATCTGAGCAGGTGCCGTCTTGCTATCACGGAGGTTGAGTTGGACGCTGTATGCGAGCGCTTTTTATTGTCGAATATTCCCATCGTTTCTTTCTGCGATCTGCGCCCTCTGGACTACGGCCACGGCCGCGAACGATGTCGTTTGTCAGGAGGCGGGGGGCGTGGAGGAAGGAGGGATTGCAGCAGGAGCAGAGTTCGATCCAGAGCCTGGGAAGCTCCATCAAGGAACACCGGCCTCGCGACTGGCCTTGAGGCTGTGGGCATACCATTCCAGCTCCTTGCAGAATCGATCAAAGCGCTCGTGGTAGACCTTGTCGACGGGATGGCCCTCGGGGGTGAAGGCGTCCTGGATGGTCGGGACGGGGAAGAGCGTCGGAATCGAGACAGTGCCGAGCTCGCCAAGGAACGGGCGGAGGGCCATGGCGGCACGGACACCACCAAAGCTGCCCATGGAGTATGTGGCGATGGCCGAGGGTTTGTACTTGTACTCGTCAAAGAAGTAGTCCATCAGGTTGGTGAGGGCCGGGGGGATGGTATGATTGTACTCGGCCGAGACGATGACAAAGGCGTCGGATCGGCGGAGAGTATCGGCGAGCTTGTCGAGGATGGGGTCTGCGGCAGCGGCAGCAGCGCAAAGGAACATTGGCACAGGACACATCAGAATCAAGCACATTGGTATGCGGCACATCTGTGTGTGTGGTCAGGGAGCAGTATGGCCAGTAGCAGCAGCAACCAGGGAAGAGAGGCACCCCAGTTCAATCCGGCAGCACATCGCAACTCACTCTCTCCAGGCTTCATCCAGCTGTGACGGCCCGTGAACAGGGGAACGGGCGTCTCGAGCGGATCGATCAGATGGCTGTCATGACCGCGGCTGATGAGCTGCTGCTGGATGTACTTGGCCAGGCGGATGCCCATGCGGCCAGGGCGGACCGAGCCGTAAATGACAGAGATCGTCAGCTTGCTCATCTGCGAGAAGGCGAGGGAAGAGCAGCGGCGTGAGATTGACGGCTTGGGCGATCTGCCAGCAGAGGAAGAGGAGGCTTGAAACAGGGAGCCGAGTGCAACAGAAGCCATCACCGCTGCTGCCACTGCAACAGCAGGCCACTCCCGACCGGCGGGACAGGGGAGCACAGATCAAGTCGGGCGGACCGATATATACTTGGATGGATCGTTTTCGACAAAGGGAACGAGGCGGCCGTCGGCGACAGTGGAGCAGAAGGAGCAGGAGAGACGGCGCTTGCGAGGGGCGGATCTTTTATACGATGGGAGAATCGAGTGGGGCTTGGTGGAGAATCCGCACGGACGACTGAGCGGGCGGAGGCGTTGACGGGACATGCCCCTGACGAATGAATTGCCAGCAGCGCGGCGGTGTCTATTGATATGGCGGAATAGCAGGAAGCGGACAGGAGCGAGGCGACGGGGGACTGAGGATCGAACGGAGGGGTGAGGGAATATGCACACGAGGGATATGCACATGAATGCAAGTACTCATAAATGCAAGTACTCATGAATGCAAATGTACATGAATGCAAATGTACATGAATGCATTGGCGCTGTGGCCGCTGAAGATTTAGATTTATCACAGGCGATTGGGCCTGGACTTGGGGTTGCCCGTTTGAGGCGAACAGCAGCCGGCAGGATTCGTCGAAGCGGCCGTCTCGATATCATTGCAGTGCATCGGACCCTTGTTGTCGTCGGTTTGGCCACCCAGGTCGACCAGGTTCTCGAGCCAACAGCCATTGGCAAGGGCATCACAGCTCATCTTCGTTGTCGTCGTCGTTGGGAATCAGCGAGGCAAACAGCCTGCCCCATTCAGCCCGCAGGACGACTGCTCCGCCGACGGCGATCGAGGCCGCCAGCCACCCATATTGCTCAAGCTCGGACAGATTCCGGCGAGCCCAGCCAGACCAGACGACTGCGGCGATGGTGGCAGCCACGGAAACAAAGGTGAGGTAGCCGGCGAGTCGGTGGACAGACTTGAGGACTCGGACGGTGCGAGCGCTGGTTTCGCCACGGCCCAGAGCGAGGCTTACGATGCCGACGACAAAGACAGCGGTGCAGAGGACGACGGCAAGCAGCCCGAGCTGCGAATGGGCCTGGGCAAAGTGGCCCTTGCCATTCTTGAGCTTGTTCCAGACGATGGCCGCAAAGCCAGAGAGCATCAGGAGTACGCCCAGGGTCTGCAGTAGGCCATGGTGCCGGATGCCCTCGAGGCGGTCGTCGGCCGAGAGACGCTGAAAGTAGGAGCTGAGAGCCAAGCAGCCGCGAGTTGGATTGCAGCAGACAATGGAAAGCAAGGCATGGGAATGTGAATGAACATAGAGGTGAGCATCGCTGGGGGGAGGGACGGCGCAGCGAGAATGCAAACGAGCGTGGACATACATGGCGCTGGTGATAACGACAAAGGACAGGGCCATGGAATAGACATGGATTTGGAACAGCAGCTCGGCCTGCCGGTTGCGAGAGAGCGCCAGGAACACAATCCAGGCAAGACCCGTCCCGACGACTGCCAAGGAGAATGCATTCCAGAGGCGGGAGCGGAGCCCCACTTGCGGTTCGGCATGCGGGTCGGCATGGCTGCGGTCTCGGTGATGGTGCAGCAGCGGCGTAGACTCGTTCGAGGACGGGGACGTCATGTCGGCGCTGAGAAGGAGGTTGGTGATCAGATGCCGGCAAAAGGCAGGGCAAGCGGAGGGCAAGAGCGATATGCTGAGACTGAAAGAGAGGCAGCCAAGTCGGAATGCACACTGGGATGCACACTGGGATGCAGAGTGAAATGCAGAATGGATCGCACACTTGGATGCAGGCCCCCATCGGAGGACCGAATCATTGGGCAGCGGTTTCGCAATTCCAGGACACATGTTGGATCACACACCAGCGTCGGTGCTGGGCCACACGCCACGCCGCAAGTTGCCTCGATTTTGGCTTGCTTCGGGTAAAGTCAAGCCAAGCAAGTCAAGTCAAGCAAGTCCAGTCCAGCCAAGTCAAGTACCTCGGAGTATCCCGCAAAGAGAGAGAGAGAGAGAGGGTGCGAGAAGCGATTCGGCAACGCAAGCCAAATTTCGGTGGCAAGAAACCGGGGCGAGTGGATAGGACCGATCGGCCAATCAGCGACGGCAGAGCAGACGGCGCGGCGATTGGTCGAGGCTCCGGGTGGCTGGAATGCGACTGGCTCGAGTGTGGCTGGACGGATGGAGCCGGCTGCGTGGGTGGCGTGTCGTACATGATTTGCCGCAAGGAAGACTGTGGCGCTGCGCGTGACTGCGCGCGGGGTGCGGGTGGCGTCGGGGTGCGGCCGGCCAATCAGCGAGGCCGCCTTGATCTGCGCTTTCCTTTGGAGCGCTTTCCTTGGAGTGCTTGCTTTGGAGTGCTTGCTTTGGAGTGCTTGCTTTCGGGGGCTCTGCCAGCCAGCCACGCGCGTCTGCGGGTTGTTGTATGAACGATGCCATCCGATCTTTGTTGTCGCTGGTGTCGTTGTTCTTTGCGCTTTTGCTGTTGCCTGCCTCGGATGTATCCGCGTCTGCCATCTGCTCAGCTATCTCTGCTCGCTGCATCGCTCCATCGCTGCATCGCTGCCAAGAATTGCCGACGGGCGGCGACCGAACCGACGACCCGCAAGCGACACTCGATGTCGAGGTCGGTGCCTCGGCCGACCGACATGCGTCGTTGCTGGTGCATCGCATCTGTGGCGTGGCGGGTACAGGCCGTGACATCGTTGCTTGCTGGGAGCTGTGTCGGCTGGCACATCCAGTCAACCCAGAGCCACCGCAGCAGCACACGGGCAGTGACTGTGCGCCGACAAGGGACGAGATCCCACGTCGCTGCTGGCTCGCCTGTCGAGCAGATCTGCAGCAACCTGTGCCGCAACCTGCTGTGCCGGTTGGTGCGTTCTCCTGGCCGCTCGTGGTTGGTGCTGGCCCGATGGCCGTGGTTGGTGCTGGCTCGGCGGTGTCGCCTCGGTGGCATTGTGTTTGGGGGAACATTGCTGGCTGGCTGGCTGGGCAGCGCCCCAGATCGACATGTTCCCCAGCCGGTGCAGCGTGATATGAAAAAGTGCCTGTGCTGATGATGCCAAGCCACGAGATGCATGTCTGTCAGCAATACGCTGCTGCCGATGCAACTGCGAGTATGCAATCCCGCGCTCGGGTGGTCGTCGGCAGCGCCTTGCTCTGCGACTGCAACTGCAACTGCAACTGCAACTGCAAATGCAAATGCAAATGCAACTGCCATCGATCACCCACCACCACCACCACCACCACCACCACCGCACCCGCTGCACCCATTCGTGCCTTGCTGGCAGCCACACCCCTGTGTTCGCTCTTGATGCCCGTTCCCTTGCCAGGTTCATCGGCGCCGTCTCCCCCCGCTTGTTGGATGCACAAAGGTGTTCAAGTCGTTCTTGTGGCTCTGGATGTGGCAGCACATGCTTGCGCGGTTGGCTCCATCCAGCCTGGGTCGTTCAATCTGTGCAATTGACTCTCTTGAGCATTCAACCCATTCAACCCACTCAACCCATTTCAACCCATTTCATTCTCGTTGGTCTATTTCCGTCGCTCGCTGCTTTGAGCACATCCTCATGCCCGTCGCCGTCTTTCGTTTGCTGACGCCTGCTGTCCACCTGCCCATCCTTGCTGCCCCCCAGCCACCGCGGCCGTTCACACGCTCATCAACCACCCTGCCTTTCTCTGCGCATTCGCGGCACAGACGCCGCCCCCCACATGCTCCAGCGATCCCCCTTCCCGGCTCAGCCGCCTCATCCACGCCGCCCGCTTGATGTTGTCGGCCACCGGGCACAAAAAGGAAAGAGGCCGCTGGCCACAGGGCCGTCGCTTTGCCTTGCGGCATCGCCGCCTGGATACAACATTTCGAGCTTGCCTCTTCTGCGCTCCGCACACGGGCGGTGCTTCTTTGTGGTGATGTGCTTGTCGCGGCGGCCGCCCCCTCTCCTCGCGCGAACCGGCCGGGGGCTGCCCAAAGCCGCTGTCGCCGCTCGTATCTGGCCCGGTACCACTGTCGCCGATGCAATTTTGCAGGATCCAACAAGATCCCTGCAGGCCAAGGGCCCACCTGGCCAGAGCCCCCCAGCGCGAATCGGAAAGGAGTCGACAGAGCCTCTAAATACCTTGCCTCCCGATCCCCTCTCGATCCCAATGGCTTTGGCCCCCAACTCGCCTGCATCCCCCCTGCATCCCCCTGCATCGCCTGCATCGCCTGCATCGTTCGCATCGCTTGCATCGCCTGCGTCTCTGTCGCTGCCTCGACCCCCTCCCATGACCCCGGACCTCGCCGGCTCCCCTCTTCAACCGTCGCCGGTCCAGTCAAAGGCCGGCCCCTCCCACCGCATCAACCTCAATCTCTCGCACAAGGCCGAGTTTGACCGCAAGCCCTCGGGCTCGACGTACGCATTCTTCCTCGACGCCCTGCTCGAGAACCTGGTCAAGCTCCAGGACCAGCACGGCCTCCCATGCTTCTCCCGTTCTGCTGTCCTCTCGCTGCGGGCCCAACGCTCAAGTGCCCGGGCACTGGCCGATAAGGCCGTGCCTGCTGGCCCTCGCCCCAAGGATGACAAGTGGCGGGTCTGGATCGACGACGCCGTCATGAACAAGATGATGTATCTGCGCAAGTACTGTGTCCCCGAGGCCGTGCAGGTCAACAACCACGAGTTTGTCGATCTGCTGCTACTCCTGAACCAGATGGTCGTCACCGGCTCCCTGCGACGCGGCTTCTTTGAGAACCGAGGCACAGACCTGCCCCCGACCTTTGGCTCCTCGTCCACGGACCTGCTCGTCGGCGATCTGGCCCCTGTTGGATCGCGGTCGTTCTCGTCGTCCATGTCCATCGACCCCGACTCGTTCTCGTCCCTCAACTCGACCCTTTCAGCGTCTCCCACCCTCAGCGCTTCGTCGTCCAGCCCCGAGTCGCCCATCATGTTCTCACCCGACGACATGGCCTCGCCTGCCTTCTTCGAGGATGCATGCAAGTGGGAGTCCCTCGCCAGCTTCTTTCAGGTCCGTGACAGGCGACAGCCCACATTCGGTTTCTTCTGGCACCGAGAATATCGTCTGCCGTGGTCATACACCCATCCGCATCTGGGGCCCGTTGCTTGGTCGCTCCTGTACTTGGATCGGGGATCGATGATCAGTGATCGGGGATCGGTGGCTGCCCATGAGTTCGTCACCAGCCACCCAGCGGCAATGAGTACCGATCGCCTGGCTAACTCTTTATCTCCCCCAAACGTCGGTCTCCAGGTCGCCGCCGGCCGCTATCTCCCCTTCGACATCATTCACGAGATTCACTTTCGACACACCTTCCACACCCAGCCGGAACACTTGCGGCTCGCTCTCTGCGCTCTGGGGCGAGGCATTCGCTGCGAAGACTCCCGGTCGAACTACAAGAGCCTGCTTTACTTTGAACGATCTCGGCGGCTGGTCCATCCGCTCCTGGGCTCCCCATCGCTGGATGTCGCGCAGACCCTGGTCCTTCTGAGTCGATTTGCGGATGGTACGGATTTATCGGTGGATGCTGTCAGTTGTTCTGTTCAAAGATGCAATCGATGCTCTCGTGGCGAGGAGGTGCAGCGGTGTCGCTCTCCACACGCAGACAGGGCCCGATGCTGGTCGGAGCCTGGTGTCGATCCCATGGAATGTGCTCGCTGACTGGTTGTTTGCATTTGGCACCCTTGTCTCTCCATGTGTCTTGTGCTGCCAACCAACTCTGCGCCACGATGGTGCTGTAGCTATCGGAAACGGTACGTGGCGGGCTATCTCCTTGAATCGCATACCGGACCGATCAGCAACCTCGATCAGAGGACCCTCCGGTGACTTGCAACTCCACTGGGATATGTGCAGTCCCCGCATGTCAATGCGCTTTCCCGACAAGAAACGGCTCCGTCATGTCCTAACCCGTCCTTCAACTGCGCTCCGTCCCTCATTCCCCTCATTCCCCTCATTCCCTGGCTCGAATCCGCATTTGCCACCGCTGCCGGTGTCGATGCTGCCGGTGTCGATGCTGCCGGTGTTGGCCCCGATACAGAGGAATCCTCGCGCCATCTGCTTGCCTTGGCCTTGCGCCAGGTGCAGTACATGCAATCAAGCGATGTCCTCGCGGCCGCTGCCAGGGACAATCTGACACACGAACTTTGGAAGCGCCTGCATCTCGTCTGCTTTTACTTTTCAAAAAAGTCTCTCAGCGAGCAGCAGTCACCCAAGGACTCGATGCTCTTGCTTTCCGCCAGCGAGCTCCTCCACCTTGCCAATGACCCGCTCCAAAGCGACTCGGAGTGGTACCGCTCGACCGTTGGGATGTCGTTCCTCGTCGATCCTTCCGATGCCACAGCCGTTGCCCAAATCTGCCAGCGCTGGTCGTTTGCAGAGTGTGGCGCCGATCTCCTGCGCTTTGCCAGTATCGAACACGACAGCATGGAGTTCTGGACACTGTTCAAGTTCGGGCCACCGCAAGCGAGGCCCCAGTCCCAGTCCCAGTCCGACAGCGATGACCTGGACCCCATTCTGACCGACCTGCTGGACGCATCCCCGCTGGAGGAGCGGTATCTCATGTGGTCGCAGCTGCAGACGGATCGGCTGTGGAAGTGGTATGGGGCTTCTCCGTCGCGGGCGACCGAGATTGTTCGTTGGCTCGACCACGGCGGGCCCAAGCAAGACCCCATCGGCTTCGAAAAGATCCTGAACTGGCACATACTCTTCCACGCAAGCCTGGTCCTGGTCCACTATCCTGCGATGATCAAGGGTAAGTTAAGTTCTTGGCACAACCATAGTATCTCTTCTGGAGGCTCTCGGACCGGTCGTTGCTCCAGCCAGCAAATCGAGCTGCTGCCCCTCACCCAAACGCCACCAAGCTGACTTTTGCTTCCTTTTCGTACCCGGTGTCCTCGTCCGTGCGCCTGTGGAATCCAGAGCTTTGGCTGCACCCGGATGCCAGTCCCGAGTCTCTGCCCGGATACTCGGCATGTCACACTGCGGCCGGGAACGTCAAGACCCTGATGAATCTGCTCGGCTCGACTCGAGCCCCGGGATCGACCAGCTACTACGAGTGTCTGCCCTTTCTCGGGTGCCTCGTATTGACACCGCTGGTGAGTCGATGGGCTCGATGGGTGCATCGCTGTTGCGCCAGATCCAAATGCATATCGGCCCAGGGCGGGTCGCAGTCCGCACTGCATCGTTTCATTCGTCCTCTGGCTCACCCTTGCCCTATCTTAACCCGCTTTCGCCCGACTCATACGCATCCGTCCATCCATCCATCCATCCATCCATCCATCCCGCAAGGTACTGCACCTCGCTGCTCATGCGGGCTGCAGTCATCCGCCCCAGAGCCCCGAGTCTGCGTTTCCTGACGAGCTGTACCAGGCATGGGTCGGCCCGCTCTACATGCACCTGAACAAGCGCCTCTCCCGGTTCCGCACGGCCATGGATTTCCTGGGCTCTGAGCAGAAGATGCGTTCCGAGTTCACCAGGCTGTCGGGGCACGATGACCCTGGCCGCATCCGCAAGGCCGTCACCGTATATCAGGACGAGCTGCCCCTTCCTTTCGACCTGTCGCTGGGACCGTGGGTGCCCTCTCGGCTCTGGGTCTCTCTTGCTGGCGATGAGTGATCTTCCTCACCGGCTGGTCGGCTAGCCGGCTTGCTGGCTCACTTGCCCCTTCACACCCTCTACCACCACCGTTACCACCGTTACCACGGTCTTCTCCCGTTTCACTTGCCCGGCGGTGCTTTCGCACAGCCCATTCCTGCCCGGGCCCGGGCCATATCATACCAAATCCCTGCCATACCACTGACTTTGCCGCATATTTCATCGATCCCCCTCCCCCCTCCTCCCCATGTTCTCTCTTCTGATGCATTCCGCACATGGATGTGTATGTGTTGACCCTCTCCCGGCTCCAAAGCCATCAATCCGGATTTGTCGCTCTGACTGTTCCTCTCGTTGCATTAGGCGTTCCCATCCACGGCTGCCCTTTGTTTCGATATGTATACCCGTGTGGTTGACCTGCGGGGCCCTCACTTCTCCCCCTCTCCTCCTCGTCTGCTCCTGCCTTTCTCCCAGCCATCCTCGCTTGATGACCAAGCTCTGGGCCAGGAGCAGCAAAGCCAATACACGAGCAAACGCTGCTCTCTCCCCTTGGCTGTTATCTTTGGAATGGCCAGTTGGCAGCAAGTAGGAGCTGAGCGGCAGCAGCAGCTGTGAAAGTGGTATCGATTTCAGTATCCAGAAACGCCCCAGAGTCACTCTAGAACGAGTCACTCCAGAACGAGTCCCTCCACGGATCCAGAACCCACGGTGTGTCTCACATAACCAGACACTTGGATTTCGTCGTGGTCGGCGCAGTGCTGACGTCGCTCGGATACACCTTGTTGGAGACATTCTGGAGCGACGGAGCCTTGGCGACCGATGCCCTGCCTTCCGCAGCGCTGTATGCCGCCCGCGCCTGCTTGTACATAAAGTTCAGCTCCTGGATGGTTCCCTTCAGCGCCGTCTCGAGCTCCTTGGCCGTTGCCAAGCGGCCCCGCGCAATCTCGAGCTCTTTCTTCAGATCCGAGATTTCGACTTCGGCTGCCTGGCTCTGGGACCTGAGAACCGCCAGCTCCTGCTCGGCATTGGGGTTGGGACCGCTGGTGGGCGAGTTTGGTCGGGTTTGCTCCAGGAGAGCCTTTCGCAGCTTCTCGGCGGACTCAACCAAGGCAACGAGGCGGACTTGCTCCCCGCGCAGCACCGCTATCTCTTCCTGCAGATCCTCCTTCTCTTTGAGTCCCTGGGCAATCTTTTGGTTCTTGTCAACGATCTGGTCGGTCAGTCGCTGGTACTCTTTCCGGTGGTCCTCGCTGCGCTGATCGATGATGACGTTGAGCCGCTCAATCTCCTCTCGCATCCTTTGCAGCGAGAGCTGTGTCGTCTTGGAGGACGACTCGAGCTCGTCGCCACGCTCGACCTGCCGCTTGATCATGCTCTGGAGGTGGTTCATGCGATCGACTTGCTCCTTCAGCTGGTTCTCGGCCGTTGCCAGAACAGACATGGTCTCGCCAATCTTCTTCTCGCGCATGGCAGCCGCCTCGCTCTCGGCCCCCATATCGCCGCTCAGCCGCTCAATCTCCTTGCGCATGTACTCGATCTCGACCATGAGCTTGTTGGACTGCTCCTGGAGGGTGTCGGTCTTGGCCACTCCGCTCTGCGTTGCTTTGGCGAGTCGCTCGGCCTGGATCTTGTGCTGCTGGACCACATCCTCCAAGACCCGGATGTTGTCCTGTCCGTTCATGCCCTTGCTCTGGATCTTGGTCTCGAGTTCGGCACGCCGGGTCTGGTCTTCGGGAGAGAGCGGTTCAGCCGTGCTCTGCGCGTCGGATATCTTGGCAACGTCACCGACGACTTTGGCCACCGACTCGACCCGCTCGGTCTCTGCCTTGAGGGCCTTCTCGCAGCTGTCGAGGACGGCCGCGCTGGGGTAGCCCTTGGAATCGACCGCGGGCGGCACTGCGACGATGGTCTTGGTGATTGCGTCCAGGTGCTTCTCGATCTCCTGGAGCTGCGCGGGGGTCACCGCGGTCCGGAGAACCTTCAGGAGCTGCTGGTTGATTTCGTTCGAGCGCTTTTGCAGCGCCAGCGTCGCTTCGTTGAGCTTCTCGCGGCGCTGGAGAAGGTCCGGGGCAACCTTGGGTGGACTGGTGACATTCTTGGTCAGGGTGTCGTTGATGCCATTGAGTTCCTTGACGATCTTATCGTAGTCCTCCTTGCTCTGGGCCGACCCAAGCTCGGCGGCGTGGATGCTCTTGATCTTGGCGGTGGCATCGCTGATGGCCTGCTGCTTGATCTCCAGCGCAGGGTCCTGCTTGTCCTCGGCCGAGAGCTGGGCTTTGTTGACGGCCGCGAGCTTTTCGATGCCGCTCATCACAAAGACCGCGAGCTCCTCCTTGGCCTTCTTGGGATCTTTGATCTTTTGTATCTTGGCGATCATGGCCACGAGCGCCTTGACATAGTCCTGCACCGTCTTTTTGTTCCCGTCCATGACCTCATCTGGGGTCTTGGGCGGCGGCGCGGGAGCGAGCCCGAGGTTCTTTTGGATCTGCGAGACGGTCGCAGCCAGCTCCTTGCGCACCTTCTCGATCTCCTCCTTGGATTGCGACTTGAGGATCCGCTCGGAGAGCTGCTCGAGTTTGCTCTTGTATTCCTCCGAGGGCGATGCGGTCACAGGCCGCTCTGGAGCCAGGTTCGCCGGCAGCGGCGTGTCGCCATAGACCTGCTTGATGGCCTCGAGATTGTGGATCCCAAAGATGGAGACGACCAGCGGCTGGCTCTGCAGCGCACCAAGACACTCTTGTGTGATCGTGAACTTGGTGGCGTATCCGTCGTCGAACTGTGGGTTGCTTGTGTTGGAGATGGCTTTGGTCTGGTGGACGGCCTTGGCCGGCTCTTTGACCTGGAACGGCAGCTGATAGCGGGCATAGATCTCACCTTTCTTCCAGCGGATGCCCATCGCCGAGTGCAGGGTCACTTGAATCTCTCCTGTCCGCGTGAGGAGTTGATTTGGGTCGGAGCCCAGCTCGGCCTTGTCTCCCTTGGCGCGGTCGACGATCTTGAGAGAGATGCTCACTTTGAGGATGCCCTCGTTGCCGCCCACGAGGTTGTTGATCATGACTGCGCCATACGAATCGAGAAGCCTGGTTACCGGCCAGTCACCGCATGTCCGACGTGTGTCGCATGGTATCGATGCGAGCGAGCGAGCGAGCCGACAGGACGCCGGCGAGACCCACCTGTATCCCGGATGTCGATCAAATAGGGCAGGTTCTTGAGCGACACACTCGCATTGCCAATGTGCCAATCCACCGGCTCGACCTCAAATGGATCCTGTCGTAGAGCGCACAAGTGTGAGATCGAAGCCGACCAAGGCACCCAAGCGCTTCTACAGCCCCGTTTCATATGCGCCTCCCCTCCCTTCACATGCACACATTCGTGCACCGAACCAGTCTGGCGCATTACCTTGTCTTTGGTCCACTTTTGCAGCGCCTCGAGGCCACCTTCGACAAAGGAAGTGTACCTGCGTTGGTGTGTGGCAATCATCCGTCAGCGGTTTAGATATGCACTCAGCAAAGCTCCTCGATTCAGCAGTGTGCTCTTCGGCTCGACGCAGCTCTTGCGCTTACATTTCCTGCATTCTGACGCGCATGTCCATGAACTTGGACTTGTCCCAGATCCACTTGATGTGACGGTAAAAGTCGTTGATCTGCACACAAACAGCCTCGCTGTTCTTTAGCCTGTCGATGTGGGAGTGACGACATTCAGACGCCGGAATAGCACAGTCCGTTGATGCAAATGAGTGAGCATGGACAATGAAAAGTCTGACTTGAGCTCCAAAGCACACTCGCTTGGTTTGTCAAAGTACAGCGCTGACAATCGGTTGACAGTAGGAATGGGGGCCGGGGCAACACATGACGCTCCCTGGCTGCGATCTACTGCGGCGCTATTAAGGGAACGTCGGCTGGAGGCCAGGGCAGCAAACGCACGGCAACATACTCCTTGGAAATCATCTCCTTTGTCTTGAGCAGCAACTCAAACTTCTTGGTCTTCTTCAGCGCCTCAGCGATGGCGTTGATCTCGCGGATTGCGGGAAGAATCTCAGTAATGTCGTTGTAAATGAGCTGCATGGCCTGGCTGGCGAGCTCGTCCTTCCCAAAGCCAGAGGCACGGGCGATTTCCTCCTGGGCACTCTCCCACGTGGGCTCGGCGGTGGGATCATCGGCGACGCTGGGCAGCTTCAGTACAAAGAGGTGCTGCGTGCCTATCAGGATGCGTGCGTTGTGTTCGAGTGGAAGGGACTCGGTGTTCTTGGTCAGCGGGCGACCGTTGACAATGACGGTGGCGTCGTCTACCGAAGTCAAGGTGATTTTGTCGTACTTTGGGAGCACGCGACGATTGCGTGGTTGGCGCGGATGCTGGCCATCCAGACAGGCGCAGAGCCCAGAAACAGTTTGTGAGCGAGCGCAGCCCCGTGCGTATCGTGGTTTTCCTTTGCCCGATGTCTGCCCTTTGGTACGCGCCACGAGATTGACTTGCTTACCTCAGTCCGCTCAGCGGGATATCCGCTTTGCCCGTTCGCTTCAGACCGATGGTCATTTTGCCGGGCTGAATAAAGTAAATCATCATGCCGGAAAGCAGCGGATCTTCGTTGATGTTCTTCAGATATGGCTCCGCGTTCTTGCGGTTCTCCTTGGCTTTCTCGGCCTTGGTATCCTCCTCCTTCTGCTTCTGCACCTCCTCGAGACGCTGCTGCCAGCTCTTGTTGAGATCAGCGATGGCCTTGTCATACTCCATGATTTGCTGTCGCAGCTGGGCATCTGTTCCAACCGCAACCACGATAGTTTGTGAGTGCTGCCGATTCGGTCAACTGGTGGCGGGATCGTCACGAGCGACACTCCAGTGTCGGTGTGCGATTGTATCGTGCACAATTGCGATGCATTTCCCAGTGTAGACGGCTTCCATAGCGGTCTCGCTGCCAACGCACCTTCGCCGGATCCGCCCTTGCCGCCTGCCTCGACCATCTTGCGCTTGAGAGCTTCGTTCTCCTCCTTGAGCTCTCGTATCACTGTTCAATGGCAATAGAAACAAACGGTATGAGCCTTCCCGAAGCACACGCCAAGACAGAGTGCGGCCCAGCCGAGAATACACGCTGCCCCAAGACTCCAGGATTCGCATAACATACGCTTGTCGATCGGGCTTTCGTTGACAACGGCCTGCGTCTTGATCTGCTTGGCTCGGTCCATGAATCTCAGGGTCGACAGCGTCTCTTCGTAATTGATATCGGCCGGAGACAGGGCGGCAATCTGAATCCACATGGAAAGAGATAGTGGTGCTCAACTATCGACGTGGACTCGAAGATGAAATGCCCGAGAGTCGGCACTCAAACAGCACGATCGCGCATTGCCGAATGCTCGTCCACCCCTGTCCGCACAGCCAAAGATACGACACAGGCAGTGCAAGACATCCCTTTCATAGAGCGGCTCGTTCGCTGAGCAAGGCGGTGCACCCGCTTGCTGAAGCGGAACACTCCCAGTAAGGAAGCGTGCCCGAGCACCTACCATAACTGTCTTGCTGTTTCCACCGAGCGCATTGGCAAGCAGCTTGGTCAGAGTCGAGTCACGGTACTGTCGGTTTGGATGAGAGTATCCATCCCAGCGGGTTAACGGCCACCGTTTTAGTCCAGACATATCGAGTGACAGATGGTAGGGCAAGCTGGTGAGGCCTCGACAAACTCATACCGGGACGACAGCGGTTTTGTTCTTGCCGCTCTGTTTGGCAACAAGGGCTGCGATGACTTGACCGAGAACAGACAGCGACGAGTTGATGTTGACTCCTTCCTTGAGGCGCTCGCCTTCCGTTCCAGCCGAGTCTGTCCTCTCGGATCTAGAGGAGACATCCGTCAGCCGTGCAGCAATACACACTTCAAGCAGACATGGGCGAAGGGCCGCTGCTTTGTTCGTGGCATCTCGACATGTCCGCCGTCACTCGATCCATCCGCCCACTCGGCAGCTCACCCGGCCAAATCAACAAGATTGATAATCGACCGCTTCTCTGTGTTGTCGGCCTTGGAGACTTGGATAAAAGTGATCATGATGATGGTATGGGAGCGAGAGGAGGTGGCGTTCATTCGGGTCGCGGCAATGGTGCGGTTGCGAGTGCCCTTCTCGGAGAGCATCTCGATTTCCTTGTAGTTCTGGACAGGAACTGATTTGAGATCCTGGAGGCATAATGGAGAGGAGGAAGCGTTGGCAACGGACGGGATCGAGGTGGCTCGAAACAGCACCACTTGCAAATGGCGATTTCCGACTTGCCGCCTGTGCTGCCTGTAGGCGATCTTGCGGCCGCTCGATATCCGTGCTGGCTTACCTCGACATAAAAGCCAATCGTTGGATTGTGTCGGACCTTGAGCGACTCCTGAGAGCCAGTGATCAGATCCCGGACCTTCTCCTGATAGATCTCGATCATCGAGAACAGCACCCGGAACTGAACATCCTCACTTCCCTTCTTTGCCATGCTGGTGAACAGCTCGTCACAGATCATCGGAATCAGACCCTTGTTGGCGCCGTAGCCAAACATGGAGTAACTGGGTCCCGGAAGGTCCGCATGTCGAGTGGATTGACAACAGGCGAGGAAGCGACGGATGAGACAGTGGTTGATCGCGGAAATGGAATCGGGATCAGATGCTGGGGCCTGATTCATCTGAACGCAGAATAGTGCCTCTACCGGCTCAGCCATAATCACCTCTTGCCCGAACCGGTCTGGCCATAGGCGAGCAGGGAGGTATTGAAGCCGTCCCAGGCGTTTTGCACGATGGCTCGTCCGAGATCTTCAAAGACCCGTTTCTAAATGGCAATCGACGCGCGGAGCAGAACCATGAAAACTCATCGGCATGAGACCCAGCAGACCCAGCAGACCCAGCAGAGGCAGCAGCGGGTCGATTGTCTTTTGCTGCCTCGCTTGCGCCGAACCTGGCGGCAACTGACTCACCTGGTCGGCATAGTGCGACTGCGACTTTGGCACACACAGACCGTCCTCCTTCTCGTCAAACCCGTCGTGGCTCCAGTACGAGTAGTCGAACGTGAACTTTTTTTCTTCGTCTCCCTCCCGCTTGAGGATGGTCGTTGCGCCGTCCATGCTCACGGAGAGCTTTGCCTGCCGTTCGATCTCGCGGGTGTTGAACGGCCGGACCTGAATCGAAGCATATTGGTTCGTCATGGACATACATACAGACTGGGTGGCCTTGAATGGTCGGTACGCTCCATATGCCTGTCACAGGCTCTGGCTTCGACGTCGGGCCACGGCGGCCCGCACTACAAACCCACCCGAACGGCGATTTTGATGCTCGTGTCTGCCATGGCTGGGAGAAGAGTTTGCCGGATGCACTCCTGCGATTGACTGCGCTACAGCGACGAGCCAATGATGAATCCAAGAGTTGGTGGCTTTTGTAGGTCAGAAGCTTGTCTGCACGAGCTACGAGAGCAGCTGGCGAGGGCAAGGGGATCGAAGCCGGCCGGAGCCGCCGCACCGCTATTGCTGCCATATCTTCCGGCGGACGTCATTGGGGCCTTCAAAAGCCCCGCCGGGAAGATGAGGATCTCGGGCGACAGAGGAGATGATGTCACTGGCTCGGCGTGATCGCACTCTTGCTGTTGCGGTCGAGCTGTCGGCCTGCCACAACCGACTTGCACCCATCGCCGCACTTTTTGTCCGACGGCGGAGAGATGATGTTGCGATGGTGGGGCGATCGTGCTGCGATTTCGATATGGTGTATTGGACCGGCGCTATGCTCAAGGGATTGTCTCAGCCCACAGTTGGAGGCAAGATGTTTACACACAAATGAAGAGCTTTTCTCCGTTTGCAAGCGTGCTGGAACCCAAGTGCGTCTGCGACATGCCTGCGAGAGACGCAGAAGCGAGCGCCGACTCGATGACGACGGACGATCAGGCGAGTATCGATATCCAGTCGAGCTAGTGCTTCTTGAGCTTGGACGGCAAAGAAGGCACAGACCAGCCCAAAGTGCACCGGTACAGCATCACCAGAGGGAGGATGAAAAACACAACGTTGGCAATGGCAATGGTGACGGTTTGGTCATAGGGAAGATCCCGGTGCTCGGTCAGGAGGCTGTAGAGGATGATGGGCACAGTCGTAACGCACTGGGTGGCATAGATCACACCAGGGATCTGCCAGCTTGGTGAATCTGGAGGGGCGAGGACAAGCAGGCGGTGTGAGCAAGCAACCGCTGTGTAGCTGAAAACACTCTATCGAGCAAGATGGGGACTCGCCTGCCGCTGGTGCGGCAGAGACACCGAGACCGATGGATGGCCAGGGAGCAATGATGCAGACAGAATCCAAAGCAGACGCACCTGTCCAGATGGCCCAGATGCAATAGAGCATCAGTGGGACCTCCATAAATAGCTCGCTGGCCATGATGGCGGCATACCACTTGGGGCCGGTGCCCCGAACGAACGCGGAAACGAAGGGATCGGCCGACATCTCGAGCCATCGGTCCACGGCACCATTGGCGGCGGCAGTCAGAGGCGAGGGCGGCAGATAGATGGCCGAGTTGATGAGGACGCACGGGAGGAGATGGAGGAGGAGATAGACCAGAAGGGTCAGGTCCAGGGGACGGGAGAGCAGCGGTCGCTTCGTCATGGATGCGATGGAGGCAGATGCGAGTCAAAGGCGGATGTGAGCCAAAGGCCAGATGCGAGCCAATTGTCATAGTGGCGTGGGGGCTCGAGAGACCGTCCCCACCCAGAGCGACTTGTATTCATCTATAGCATGTAGACATATCCAGCGGAGCAGCAGCAGCAAGGGCGAAGCAGTGGCCGGCCGGACCGACAGTGGATGTGCATGCCGGGGCTGGCGCAGATCTATTGGGCATTCTTGGTGTCGATCCACTGGCGATGGCCCTGCTCCATCTGCTGGATCAAGGTCTGGTTGACCTTGCCCATGCCCCACGACGACGGCAGAGGCGAGCCGTAGCCCAAGGGCTCGGCAGCAAGGAACGACGAGGTCGCCGACGTCTGTGGATCGGTGTAGTCGACGCAGAGGGCGAGCGAATCCAGGACCATGCTGACGGTGACCGACGAGAAGCTGTGGAGGGTGTCGGAGGGCGAGACCGGGCCGTTGAGCCCGGTGCCGGTGTACTGGCCAGCGACCTGGGGGTTGACGGTCTGCCAGCGGCGCCAGATGCGGTCGATGTTGCTGCAACCAGAGCCAAAAGCCGAGTTAGCTATGCTCCAGCAAGCTCTTCTCGTATGAGAGCAAACGGAGAGAGAGAACTTACGCGTGATGGAGGAAGAACAGAGGGTCGTTCGGCGAGTACATCTGGGTCATGTCGCCGTTGTCGCCGCCGACATGGACTGGATCAAGATCAAGCAAGCACTTGTCAGTACCGCATCGCCAGCGCAGCAGCAGCAGACCGACTGGAACATTGCCGCACACGGACGACGGCTTACCATGTGGATAGCCATGGACAATCTCGAACTGCTGGCGGAACGAATCATAGTCGGGATTGCTGACATTGATGAGGGTCTGGTCGATTTCATCGTTGCTCCAGATCGAATCGGTGTCGATGCTGTTGGCATTGTCCCATTGACGCATGATGCATTCGCCGCGGTGGTTGCCGAAGTTGGGATCGTTGGGCCCGGGATAGACCTTCTTCCAGTCTGCGGGGAGAGGCGAACGTGTGAGCGTCGTGTATCGAAATGCCCTACCGATGTCCATTTGGGCGCCTTTGACGAGATGCCACAACATTGGAAACGGCCGCAGCGACACTCACTCTTGGCAACGCCGTCCAACAGACAGTATCCGGTCGATGCATCAAAGTTGTGGGTGCCGAAGGTGTTGGGCGAGAAGACCGCAGCCTGACTGGGAAGGTGCGAGTCGGCGCCCCAGTTCCAGTAGGGCAGAACAACCGTGGGATCGATGTGTTGCAGATGCTTCTCGAAGAGCCAGATGTACCACCTGTGCCATGGGAGAAACTCGGGCTGGATCGCGGTGCGGGATGGATGAGCACATTGTCAGTTAGCGAGTGTGATCGAGATGGCGGTGCAGACCAGCGAACACGATCGAGATTCAACGCCAGGCGGCTGTCATGCACTGCTTGGGGCCGGTACTCACCTCAAAGTGGACATTGTTGACGTTGATGACATGGAAGTTCACAAAGTCGTCGTAGTTATAGAGGTTGCCATATTTGCGTTTGTCGTCCGTCTTGAGCAGGCCAACGGCGGTGATGAAGCGCTGCTGCTGGTCCGGAGTCATGTCGACCCAATTGGGGCGGGTGACCGAGATGCCGTTGCATGAGGCAGGGATGCCGAAGGTGATGGGAGTCGAGGTGGGGCCGCCGGTCGTGGTCGTGGTCGTTGTGGTGGTGGGCTTGGTAGTTGTCTTGGTGGTGGTGGTGGTGGTGGTGGGCTTGGTTGTCGCCGTGGATTTCGTGGTGGTTGTCGTCGTGGTAGTAGTAGTTGTGGTTTTGGTTGTTGTGGTTTTGGTTGTAGTGGTTGTCGTGGTTGTAGTCGATTTGATGGTGGTGGTCATCGGCGGAATGCTGACAGCCTGAATCGACTTTCCTGTAAGGCCGATACTGATTCTCCAAGCCCCGCCGCACTTGTCCGAGGACTTGCCCGCGCAGGGCATGCTGCAGTCCGAGCTCATGCCGAGAGCAGGAGCACCCGATGATGAATAGAGCTGGTTGCCGCAGTAGCACTCGTTTCCGTTCTCGACGCCGTAGTACCTGGCACATCAGAGGCAAGAGCGAGAGTCGAGTCAGAGACAGCCCACTCGATGGTCGCTGTGATGGAGGTCCTCCCGTCCCTGGCATTCTCACGCTTGGGCTGCATGGCGGCATATTCGACTGATTGTCACTTACAAAAAGTTGCGTTGCTGGCAGTAGCCCAGGCACGAGGCGACTGTGAGCGAGTTGTCGATTTTGGGAGCAGCATCTCGCAGAACCCGGCTGGGGCTGTCGACGTAGCAACCGGCATCGGCGGACAGATACACCGACAGTCGCCACGAGGCACCGCACTTTTGGCCCGAGTTGCCCAAGCAGGCCATGGTACACTGAGTCTCGGGCAGCTTGAGGCCAGAGGCAGAGCCGTCACCAAGGCCGGATTGGCCGCCTGTCTGCAGCTGGTTGCCACACCAGCACTCGCCGCCGTACTCTGCACCGGCGATGCTAAGGACGGGTGAGATTGACCACGAACATCAGTAACGAGCCATGTCGCCATGTCCCTCGAGAAGCGACAACTCGATTCGATCGCTCAGTCTGCATCTTGGTGGATGGTCTTGCTGGCGCACATTTGCTGGTGTCGCCTTTGCACTGGCTCGCAGATGCCTACCTGTATCCCTGGCCAAGACAGAAGCTTCTGCACGAGGTCGTAGACATCTGGCTGTTGGCTTGGTAGGGACCGCTGAGAGCCCGAGACGAACCAGTGCCGTCCGAGTAGCAGCCTTGGTAAGTGCTGTACGTCGCCACAGCGGTTGAAGTTGGAGCGGGTACAGTCTTGGTCGTCGTTGTCGTCGTCGTTGTCGTCGTCGTCGTTGTCGTCGTGGTCGTGGTCTTGGCCGGAAGGGCGGGGATACTGCTGATGGGCAGAGTGTATCCGGTATATCCCAGACTCAGACGGCTCCATCCACCGCAGCTCTCGGTAAAGTCGCCGAGGCAGGGAAGCTGGCATTCGCTGCTGGGACGGAGACTGCCCGGGATGGGGCTGACACCGGACGAGGCGCTCCCATAGTACAGAGTGTTGCCACACATGCACGAGTAACCCGATTCGAGGCCATAGTACCTGGCGATATTATCAAGCAGCGTTAATTGCAGCCACAGATCCCGTGTCATGCGTTGCATCCAAAGTCAAGTCGCATCCGGGTGTGGCTGCAGCAACAGGGCAGGGCTTGGGAGAGTCGTGGCACACGACGATGCAGGCGAAATATTGGTACACACATGTAGTTCTTGGAGAGACAGAGACTTTGGCAGCTGTCGACGCTTTGGAAGAGGCTGAAGGACTGGATCGGGAAAGTGCTCCATGTGAGCGCCACGGATATGCGGGGCACTTGGCCGGCAGTGGTGTGGCTGTGCGATCCACACACAAAACCTACCTGGACATAGTCCCGGAGAATGGCGCGGCCACCGTCGGCATAGCAGCCGCTGACGGCCGAAAGACTGATGCGCATGCGCCATGGGCCACCGCAGAGCTGAGACGAGTCTCCATTACACGGAATGCCGCACTGGCTGTCATCAACCTGCAGTCCGCCGGTCAGGCTATCGCCTCCGTTGGTGTTGCCGACGTTGATGGTATTGCCGCAGTAGCACTCGCTCGACATTTCGATGCCAGAGTATCTGGAGAAGGAGGACAGCGTGAGCGAATGTGTGAGCGAATGTGCGAGCGAATGTGTGAGAGTGGCAGAGGCGCAATGGAATAGATCATGCATGCACAGACTGACTGCTGCAGACTGGTTGCTGCAGACTGACTGCTGTAGACTGCGACTTACCGGAAGTTATTTTGCAGACAGAACTGGGCACATGTGGCAGGGGTAGTCACGCCGAGGTTATACTGGAGGAAGGTATGTTCCGGAACACAAGTCAGTGGTTGATCCTGGACAGCAAAGGCCGGAGCGCCGGCCATGTCGGGGGACAGTCGCGACTGACCGAGAAGGCACCGCTGAGGATGCGGCTGGGCTTGTCGACATAACAGCCTTGGAAGGCCGGGACTTGGGCTGAGCAGGATGGCAAAGATGCAGTCAGTACATGAGCGTAGGTGCTGCAGGATGGACATGTGCTCCAAGGGAACTACTGGGGTTTGTGAGCCAAGAAACCGAGTGCCATGAAGATACGTGGGGTCCGCCAGACCACGGACACGATTGGCCAAATGCCGTGCAGCTTGGCGAGTGCAGAACTGTGGGAGAATCCGCGGACAACACTTACCCGCAGCCATTGCCCAGGCGGCACCAAAGAGCAGGGCGACAGAGGCGGTCTTGGCCATGTGGGTAACTGGGCTGAGGAGGATAGGCCACGCAGAAACGCAGCGACGAGCCAACGCTTTTAAATGGTGGAGCCCGAAAAAAATGCGGCGCAGAGCGATTGGTCACCAAGATCGCAAGGAAGGGCAGCTGGCACCAGCAAGCACATGGGAATGGGTGGGCAAACAAACGCGCAGCGGAGGCCCTTGGGAGCACAGCCTGAAATTGCAGAATTGCAGGGCGCAGACACATGGGTAGGACAGCACGATCAACCCAGGCCCGAGCGGTACCAACCAGCGCGGGGGATGCAGTGCAGGCGAGGGAAGGCGCAAGCCAGCCGCAGATATACAAACAGGCGCCATAAGGGAGGTATGTCGTGCAGGTGGGTCATGTTTGTTTGCCGACGAGTCCACAAGGTGAGTTCCTTGCAATCCCGCGTCAGGGCCACAACTTTGTGGCAGATGGGCCCTGCCGGGAACGCAGCTGGTTGGTGCGGTGGATGGAAGGAGGCTCGCAGAGGGCAGCTGGTTGGTACTGTCGGTGAGGGACTGGGGGGGGGTGGCCCGTGTGGCTGCAGAGCGTGAGAAATGAAATGCACCCTTGAGAAGCATCCGTCGCATTCTCAAGTGAAGACGGGGCTCTATTACTCACGCGGTCTGCGATAGTCCAAGAGGCCATTTGCAATGAAACGGATAGTCTCCGAGAAGCGATCGGCCCGTTCTCTGGTCTCTGCAATCGACCTGCACACAGTGGTCATGTCGCTGGGCAGCACCGCCGGGGAACTGCGCCACGATGGTGTGCGATGCGATATGTCGTGGATGATACGACGAGCACGATGATGGGCTTTGGATGGCCATCCACGGCATTCGGCGAGCCAGGACGACCCAGAGTCGACAGCTATTGGCTGTGTCGGGACGAATCAGGCTGTGGAGCGAGGTCTTGGTGCCGGCAACGTTCGATCAAGGCCTCGGCCATTCGGGCCAGCAGGGCAAGCCGATCATCCCACAGAGATCGACGAACGACAGCCACGAAATGCGACATCCAGCGACACCGCCAAGGGTTTCTCCGCGACGGAGATGTCAACGGCCGTGCTGGTGGCTGCCCGGCGACTGACAGCTGAGGGGGTCCGTGTTGGCGGATCACTGCAGTGCTGCGCTGATCGCGCAAGTCTGTGTTCCCCTGGCGGGCGGATTGTGGTTGGCTGCTGGTGGCTGAACGTGGGTCGGTGGGTCTGGCTTGGATGCGAGGTTTGCCTTGGAGCTGCGCCAGCCACCCAGCGATTGCACCATCTGCCCAGATGTGCTCGCCTTTGGTCGTCGCAGCGTGAATGCTGCGACATGGTCCACGACGAGGGCGAAACGAGCGATATACCACCCGCAATGACACCCGCAATGCCACTCGCCATTCCACTCGCAATTCCACTCGCAACAGCCGGCGCCGGCTTGGCGCAATGACCCCCCATCCTGGTCGTGGCGCAGCCGACGCGACTGCTCAGCAACCCCACAGGGCAAAGTCCCGTTGCTCCTGGCGTGTCCCCCTCTCGGACATGTTCCTGCCTGGCTGTTAGACACTTATTCTTGCGCTTTCCTGTTATTATGCGATATCTCAATTGCATGGGGGCGGCTGCTGTTGCGCACTGCATTTTCCATCAGACACGCCATCACATCCCACAGACACAACCGCCACTCGCCACTCGCCACACAGGCACCGCTTTCTCCTGCGCGAGACTGCCGGTCACGCCCCTCCCGGCATCCTCGCACAGACCGTCTGTACCCTCTGCTCCTTGTCGCCGCCGCACCAATTGCCGTCGAGCCATGCACTGGTCCCGGCGCCCGGACGATGGCCTGGTGCGGCATGGATTGCTGTTCCCGTGAGTTCTCCTGCGAGTCCTTCCTGCAAGTCGTTCCTGCGGGCCCTTCTCACTCGCCTTTGGCCGCTCTGGCTTCGTCTCTTCGCTCTTCTCTGGCGCTTTTCCCCTCTCCACCGTCGCTCTTCGCTGCGTGCCCTCCCTCCGGCTTCTCCAGTCGCCGGGGTGCCCGCCGGTGCCCACTTCTCCAACCAACTGCCGTCCCACATCCCCGGCTCTCCCGCTCCTCGCTCCAGCCGCACACCTGGTGCCCTTCCATCTCCTCTCCGCCCAAATCACCTCCCATCCCTCCCTCCAGCCGCGGTTGCCATGAGCTTCAATCCGAAGCCCCTCGTCCGCAACAGGATCGCCTCGACCGACAACCTCAGGATCCTCACCACCTCGATCTACCACAACTTCACCGAGCGCTTCGGCTCGCCCTCCTCCCCCAACCCCCGGCGCCGCAACAGCCCCGCCTTCCTGGCCCAGCAGCAGCAGACCCGTCTCCGCGACCTCGAGGGCCTCTGCAGCCAGGCCGAGAGCTTTCTGGACCTGCTGATCGGCGTCATTGAGCCCCTATCGCCCTCATCTCCCCTGACACCCGAGCGCGATACCGACACCATCCGCCGCACCATCCAGGATGAGCGCCTCTTTATCGAAAAATGCAGAGGCTCTCGCATTGTCCTCAGCCTGCAGGCCTTTGACGAGCTCTGCGGCGTCATTGACCAAAAGATCGCCAACATCCAGTCCCAGGTCCAGAATCTCAAGTTAGCCTATGCCCAACACTCGCGCTGCCCAGTGCTTCAGCCCCGGCGGCTGAGCCCAAGCACCACCGGCAGCCTCTGCTCCATCGATCCTCCCGACGATGCCCCTCCAGAGCTCGAAAGATCCGCATCGCAGCCGGCGTTGTCGTGCCCTCGTCGGCTTGCTCCTCGTCCAAGCACCCCACGGCTGATTCCTCCGATCCAAGTTCGTTGCGCCTCCGTGACGCCCGCCATCGGACACATCCACATCCCTGAACAGACCATCAAGTTCATATTCGACTCGACGCCACAGGTGCTCGTTCCTTCCGAGGACTGCCTCGCCAAGTCTGTCTAAGAACAGCCGCAGCCAATCCGACCACACGAGGCTGAGCAATATCAAATCGCCCCTGACGAGGGCATTCGTGCTTCATCGGAGAGCATTCGTGCTTCATCGGAGGGCGCTCGTGCTTCATCAATCCGCATCTTTCCTCTCATGTCTCCATTGCTTCGCTGGCTTCGGTCACAAACCTGACTATTCGGCAAACTCACAGACGGTCCTCATCTCGGTCTGCTTGATGCGGCCTTCTCTCGCTTGCCGGCCTGCTCTGGCCTCTAATGCCGATATCCTCATGTCTATCTCCTGCACGCCTTCCTGTCCATCTGCCCTGCCATCCAAGTATCCCGTGCTCATTTTCTCTGCGCATCCGTCTTGCAACCCATTTCTGCTGTTCTTTGCTGTGTTGTTTCAAATCCTGTTCTGCCCTGCTTTTCTGCCTTACTTTCTGTCTTGCTTTCTGCTGTCCATGTCGTTGTTTCTGCCAGCTGCATCCCTGCCTGCTCATTCCCTGCATCGTCAGCCGCATTCCTGGCTGCTCGCTACGCTTCCAGCTGCCTCCTCATTCCAGCCAGGTGCAATATATTTTTCTCGGTGCTTTTTGCAATGCTCGCTGTTTACTGCTCGCTGCGGAGGGTGTGATTCGCACCCCGCTGTGCTCTCGACGAGGTTGTGAGAGCGCGCTTGAAACCAACCGGTGTTGCGAGACAGCGCCGTCGCTCCGCCCGCCTCGTCCATCTGCATCTCACCCGACCGATCCACCTCCTCTGCTCCGTCCACTCACCCAGCGATATGAAAGACGACCGCCACAGAGACTCGCCAAGCGGCCTCTCGCACCGGCGCCGCGATCAGTCTCCAGACAGATCCCGCGATCGGAGCAGAAGCAGAAGCAGAAGTAGGAGCAGGAGCAGGAGTCCCCGCAGAGACCGGGACCGCAAGCGCTCTGGCTACCAGAGTCCTGAACGGCACCGATCCGACCGCGAGGACAGCCGTCGTGGTATGACCCTGCTCTCTCGCATAGCCTGCTCGACCATCGAGTCTGCATGGTCCGCTGGGTCGTCACTCCCACAAAGCTAAAGAATCTTTCTGCCCAACGTCGGCCCCGTCTCCCTTCCACCCACGCCGATTTACTCCAACCAACCAACCAACTCTCGCTTTCACCCGGCCCATTTCGGCTTGTCACCCCATTTATCTTTGGTTCCGCCGATTCCTGTATCCATGGCAATCTCGATGCAATCGCAAACCCGGCCCCGATTCTTCATCGCATCCGATATGCCACCACACGCTTCCATTCCTTTGAGAATGATCCATTGTTGGGCAACCCACTTGCGGCGCCTCGGTGGTTGGGGCAATGACGCACTTCAATTGCGGTCATCCGATGGCTGGCTGAATCGCCTGCGGTTGCGGGATGGTCTCTGTGGGGACGATCCCTCTCCCACTGTCCTTCGTGGATGATACCCAATCGACGATGGTGTGGGCCGGTTCGGCATTCATCTCGCCATTGACGATCGTCGGCCATCCTCAACCAACTGCTCGGCCGTTGCTTGCTATATGCCTCGTCGGTGTGTCGGAATGCGGAACATTGCCGACAACCATCAACGACACCATGTCCTGCTTGCTGCACCTCCACCAAATGTTCGACATGACGAACCGCCAATCGGATCGGACCGGGACATCGGGTTCCTACCATCCCGCCGTATCAATATCGATCTTAATCCGCCAGATCCCGAACGCCGCAGCCACAAAAAGAAACGCTCGAGCCGAGCGTCCGGTGATGATTCGAGCAGCGCGAGCGAGTCCGATGGTAATTGCACGATCGAGAACGCCTGTCGATGCGATGGCATGCCCTTCTGCTCTCTGCCTGCCCGGACTGTGAAGCAAGGATGTCTCGGTTTTTGACCATCAACGCGAATGTCGTATCGCCGCATCGTCCCAATAGACCGTCGATCGTCTCACGCAAGAAAGAAGGACAGAAAGCACAAGAAGGAGAAGAAAGAAAAGAAGGACAAGAAGGTGGGTGGGTGCAGAGACTGACGAGGCCAAGATACGTTTTTCCCTCCCATCCCTGTTTGTGTCGTCGTACGGACGTCCCTGATATCGTTCCCCCCAAATGCCATCCGTATCGGGCTCCTCCAGAAGAAGAGCAAGAAGAGCAAGAAAGAGAGCAGCTCCGACAGCAGCGATGGCGACAGCGACGGCCCACGCAGCGCCATCACCGGCAAGAAGATCAAGCTCAAGGTAAGTCTGGAACGCCGCTGATCGGCAGTGCTGGAGACCATTGCATCCCTGCAGCTCCGAGTTCCCGCCCAGCATCGTCTCCTCACTGACGTCACATCTTTGGCGGCATTGGTGCATGGTCTGGCCTGACTCATGCAGGTATCCAAGTCCTCGGAGGACAAGGCTCGGGATAAGAACCGCCAGGATCTGCTGCTGCATCTGAACCAGATGTACGACTAAGGCCTAGCAATGCCTCGGTGGCAGATCCCCGCGGGCTGATATCGGCGCAGTAGTGGTCTTGCTGCGTATCCCCTCGTGGATTCGGATATGTTTGGCGTTGCTGGCTAGATCTCGAATATACGCTCGTGCCTGGGCTTGTGCCATCCTTCGAACTTGGTCGGATCGTATCAAAAATGATTGTGGCCTTTCGTGCTCATAATACTGCCTCTCTCTTGCCGACGTGTTTGAAAGCAGTGAGGCGAATGATCCAATGGCTCATGTATTCAGCCGATATCAACTCAACAGTATGGATCCACTCCGTCATGACCCGCACACGTCAACTGGGTTCAGAATGCTCCGCAGCAACAAGTGAAGCAAACTTGGGCCTGGACGTGGAACTGGGCATGGAACTGGGCATGGAACTGGAATAGGCTTTGGAATAGGACTTGGAATAGGACTTGGACTTGATCAGCCAGCCAGCCGGCCGGCCGGCCGGCCGGCCAGCTTAGAGTGCGGTAACGGGCTTGCCGCTCTTGCGGATGGCCTCCAGAACGGCCTCCTTCGGGATCGACGCCGTCACGGTCACCAGCTGCTTCTCGAGATTGACTTCGAACTTGTCGACACCGGGGGTCTATTGCGAAATGCATCGGCGACAGATGGCCGTCGAGAGAGCGGTCCGGTTAGTGTGGAGGATGTGAAGCGGTTGGCGCTGGCCAATACTCAATTTCGCTAGCCCATAGACAAGGAGGGAGAGCTCAGGAAAGGCAGATAGTCCAAGCCTCGAGCAGCATTCCAGACATCCGGCCGAGGATGGGACATGGTGCGGGTGCAGTGCTCTTCTTCCTTCACAGCTCTCCGAGATTCACAACACCGCCAACGTCCACTCATTAATTGCCTGGGCCCTTGCGTATGCGATGGTCAGACACAAACCTTGGTCAGGATGCGGCTGACGGCGCCGCTGCAGCCAGAGCAGGTCATCTGGACGTTGTATTGGTAGACCTGGAGGGGGGAAGCGGGGGGAAGATCGAACCGTGGGCGGTGGAATCAGTCCGGTTGCTTGGGAAACAGAGCTGGTGCCCCGCCATGCACAAAGACCATGGCCGCCAACGCCCTCTCATGCTTCTTTCTGACACCAGCCTCCCGATTTCCCACTCTGACACCATCCTCGGCCACACCAACCCGCTGCTCTCCTCGTCCTGCGATCCAGTGCGCACTTACGTTCTGTGCAGATTCCATTGTGTCCAGGACTCTTTTTGTCTCTTCGGAGGAGGATGTGGGATGCGACGGGTGCGACGGGCTGCTTTCGGCGGGGCTGCTGGCGGGGCCAGGGTATTTTGATGTTCGATGGACAGGAGGGAAAGGAGGGTGTCGAGAGCTCCCGGAGGCAATTTTGCGGGTTGCGGACAGACGGACAAATCAGGCGGCTGCTGACAAAGATCACGTGGCGCAGCGGAAACAGCGCACATCGCGCCAGCAAACGAGGGGCGAGCGAATATGGAGCACGATGTCCGACCCGCATCCATTGAAAGGATGGATGGATGGATGGATGCAGCAGCTCAAAGGCATGCAGCAGCAGTGGCGGCACTGTTGATTGAAAAAAAGTCTATATTGTTTCATTTTACACAGCTCATTCGCAAATTGACACAAGAAAGTTGAAAGTTTATCGAAACGGAGGGGAGCAGGAAACAGGGAATCGATGGGTGTCGGCTGCAGAGGACCGGGGCGGGTACATATGTGTGGTTCAATGTTGGGGATGGGTCCGATCGCAGGTGTTGGTGGTGATGTGAGACCAAGCAGCCGCCTTAGACGGTCATGAGCGAGAAGCGGGTGGCAGTGGCATCGCCGCGGCCGAGGTTGCCAAGGGACCAGGTATCCTCGACACTGTTCCGTTTCGAACCAATACAAAGAGGTTAGAGCCAAGCTCGTTTGGATGCACCTTGGATGCGCGTGCCCATTTTGCTCTCGTAACGTAGACTCACCTCTTGAGGAGAGAGTAGTGGTTGTAGGCGGTGCCGTCGGTGGTGCCCTTCTTGGCATTGGCAGGGCCACCAATGAGCAGGGTGTAGACCTGGTTGGGAGTGATGCCAGCGTTCTCATCAAAGGTGATGGCAAAGAGAGTGTTGGCGTAGATGGGGTTGGCGAGCTTGGGCTCGAGCTAGATGAGAGCGGTATGTCAGCCAGACAGCGCACGGAGCGAGTTAGTATGTCGGCACATATGACGTGGCTATACCGAAAGTACTCTCTTGGAGATTTGCGTAGCGGCTTCAATCTCGGTGCATTTCCTCGAGCCACCGCTTCCATCGTCCGCCCGCCTGCCTGCTTTCCTCGCGCAAAAGACTTACCCAGCCCTTGAGCCAGTTGCTAGCATAGGTAACACCGGTGTCGTGGCCGTCGTTGTTGAGGTCGGGGGTGTAGAAGACGTACTTAGGAACGGCGTTGTTGGCCTCGTCAACAGCCATCTGGGTGGCCGGAACGATCTTGGCGCAGCGGGTCGAGTTGGTGCGGACATCGTTGAAGCTGATAAACTGCCAAGGAGATGCATCGCAGCGGGAAGGGGCGTTGGCAAACACAGGAAATGCCCTGGCAAGGACGCGATTGCCTATTCACAGTCAGACACGAGCAGAGCGGCACTTACGGGGTTGTGCTTGCGGGCGTAGGTGCCGGAGGTGGAGCCGGTGTAGCTGAGTGGTGGCATCAGTTTGGCATTCGGGCGGCGGATGATTTTCACGGACGAACGATGGGGCGCTGGGTTTAGTACGAATCGTCCTTCTGTGGCACTGAACATGCGTACGGCCCAGCATAGTCACAAGGCTCAGATCCTTACCAAGCAGAGGGCATGGCATCCTGGTAGGTCTTCCAGGAGATGAACTTGGCCTCGAGAAGATCGACGAGGCTGGTGTAGGCGAGGTTGACGGTGCTGTCGGAGGTGACACCGAGGGTGGAGCCGCCTGGTCAACCAAACCACGAGTGAGTGTGGGAACGGACGGCATCCCATGTGGGAGCACAATCTCCAGCTGTGTCAACCATGCAAGCGAACATAGAATATGCAAACTCACCGATCAGAGCAACGTAGCTGGCCAGGCCGAAAGAGTGGTCAACAGCGGATTGTACGGTTAGCCGGGCTAAAGCAGTCTCAAGACCAGAGTGCAGAGCGCCGGACAGCAGCCATGCGCTTACTTGGGCTGCGAGGGGTGAGTAATAGCCTGGTAGTTGGTCAGCAGCTGGCCACGAGCGGTGAGGTTGGTGCCGAGATAGGGATCAGCCATGGCAGAGGCGTAGTTGGTGTTCTCGAGCAGGACAGTAACCCATCGCTGGGGATAGGCAGCCTGGGCCGAGGCGGCAAGGGCGAGGACAGAGAGGGCGATCTTGGCAATCATTTGCGGCGAGAGGGGTTTGAGTCCAAAGTGCTCGAGGGAGTGCTGGTGCAGATTGAGCTTGGGACTCGGCGGGGGGGGGGCTATTTATGTCCTTTTCAGATCGGATCGGTTCGAAGGGTATCGGCAGATTGAACCCTCGCATGAATCAGCTGCTCGTCCTGGCCAACGATGGCTCCCAGGCCAATCTGCGCGTGCTTTCCGGGACCCGTTCGACCGGGTGGGCGCCACCAGCGCCCTCTGGTTCCCATCACGAAGAAGAGCGATGGAAGCGCAGATGCTCAGCAAGAAAAAGCAAGGTTGGAGCCCACAGGGACCAAACCCGATCCGCATGCCAAACTGGGGTCAGACCCGCAGAGTCGCTCAGGTCGCTGGGGCATTGGGCGGAGCTTGGGTGGCGACTCTGGCGGTGATTGCATGCGCCGACCCACGCGCTCCCTTCCGCCTGCGTGCTTTGGAGTCGCTGTCGGCAAGGCGCTTGATCGGGCAGCGGCTCGGGTTGATGGGACCGGTTGGGCCGGCAGCAGCAGCGATCGGCGGTGTATATTCGTTCAGCGGGAGCTGCTTGCGGTCGTGGCGGTGGTGGAGAAGGCTGTCGAACATCCAGTCGAACCCTGTGGTATCGGGTGAAGGAGCAATGATCTGCCACGTTGCTGTCCCTTCCACTATCATACACTCGCACGCAGACGGCGAGCGGCGCGATGCATCGGTATCGTGCAGGCAGAGAACAAGGCCCATCGCGGATCCGATCGATACGGGCCGTGGCTGATTACGGTCGAGGCTGTGTCGGCGGGACTGGTCCTTTCTCTCTCCATCATCCCGCGAGCAACGAGTGGTCGTTCGAGACGAGAGCAGCATTTGGGGGCAGGGCATGGTGATTGCGAGCACAATCGACGCTGCGGGTGTGGTGGACATGCCACAATTCAAACAGATTGGTCGGGAGCAACACCATGGGATGCAGCCTCGATGCATGCTGTTGGTTCCCATGTCGCCCCGGGGTGCAGCGGCCATCGCACGATAAAGGTGGCCGAGTTGCCTGATACCAGCAACAGCAACAGCACCAGCACCAGCACCAGCAACAGCAACAGCACCAGCACCAGCACCAGCACCAGCACCAGCACCAGCACCAGCACCAGCAACAGCAACAGCACCAGCACCAGCAGAGGGACCAAGCGGCTCGTCGTAGATCCTCTTTATTCTGGCAGAGTGCCCTTCGTTCCTGCCCCGCAACCCTGCATCATTCCGGGAACGTCCCGCAGCAACTCGATGGTGAGAATGTTTCGCTATTCAAGCCGGGCTTGACCGCCTGCTCTCCCGAGTTATGATCGTCTCAAGCCATTCGCGCTCCGAGGGCCATATCGCCAAGGCTATCGAGGAGCAACCCTCTGCAGTTTGGACCGCGAATGCCAAGACGAGCCCAGGGTCAGGCACAGCCGGAACTCCTGTTGCTCCCCCCCCCCACACAGCCCGTCGGCCAACCAGGCATCATCCAGAAGCCAGGGCCGTGCCAAGACCCGGCGTCGCGTGCAACGTGGGCAATCCCGCCGCCAATCGGCCCGTTGGCCGCTCGCCAGCCCCCTCTGCATAAAAGCCTGGCGACAGCCAAAGCACCTCTCCTCATCAGCAACACCCGCGCATCAGCATCAGCAACAGCAACAGCATCAGCATCAGCAACAGCATCAACATGAAGGCCCTCATTGTCGGCGGAACCGGAAACGTCGGAAAGCTCGTCGTCGAGCAGCTTCTGCAGCGCAACGTCCATGTCCAGGCAATCGTGCGCTCGCCCGACCGCATCCCGTCGCAGCTCGTCGCAAACCCGAGCCTGACTCTCATCAAAGCAAGCCTTCTCGAGCTCAGCATCGACGAGCTCGCGGAGCATCTGCGCGGCTGCGATGTCGTCATCTCGACCCTGGGCCACAACCTGAGCTACAACGGCATCCCGGCTCTCGGTAAGCTCATCGCACCGACGCGGACTCGGTGTTGGGTGTTGGGTGTTGGGTCGGCTTCGTTGAGAGGACGAGCTCGGTTCTGGATCTGCAGCAATTGACTTTTCATCACCGGCCGATGCATGTGAAGGCGTCTGGGCACCTCCTCAGGATCTGGTTGAACAGGCCTCCAGAAACATCTGCCACGCCATCGAGAAGCTCCAACCATCGTCGCCAATCCGTTACATCATGCTCAACACTGTCGGCGTCGCTAACCCGGACGGATCCGACACCCACACCCGCAGCACATTCGAAAGAAGCATGGTTTCTCTGATGACTACCGTGTTGCCGCCATACCGGGACAGCGTCATGTCGGCCGCTTACCTCGGCAAGGAAGTTGGCACCAGCAACAAGTACATCGAATGGGTGGCTGTCCGTCCAGACGGCTTCATTGACGGTGAAGTGAGCTCGTACAGTCTGTTTGAGTCGATCCGACATCCGTTCTATGCTCCCGAAAAGGTCACCAAGGCCAATATTGCGCACTTTATGGGTGAGCTGGTGACCAAGCCAGAGACATGGAACCAGTGGAAGTTCAAGATGCCAGTCATCATCGACGAGAAGCAGTAGGCATGAGCACACGAGTGAACGCAAAACGAAACCAAGCTCCTGTTTTGTCGTCGGGAAGCACTCCCTTTCTGGATCATGAATACACCCGCTCGTCAGTATCACCATGCATGAGCCCATCGCAGCAGTAGAGACCAGTCGCGTGTCCCGATGTCGCAGTCATATGGCATCGGGCAGCATATCAAACTGAAACTCGACACCGCCAGAGTGTGTCGCAGCCTCCGGCTGGGTGGTGCGTGAGAATGTGGCAGAATTGTATTCAGTATGTATGATGCCAGCTGCAGCAGGTGATTTCCTGGCGATCGAGCCTGAGCTGCAGAGTGGCGGATAGTGCAGATTGATGATGATGGCGGGCAGTGTTTGGTTGCAAGGAGAATACAAAGACCAAGCACTGTAGATCTTGGCGATGTTGATGATATCATTGTGTGTGTCTGTCGCTGCAGAGGGTCGCTTCGGCTTGCTTGGCCTTTTCTAGTATGTCTGCGATTCCTTTTCTCGAACTTGGGCCCGCCGAAATGCTGTCGCTCGGTTTGCCTTTCATCGGGACAGCTGCGCCTCGACTTGGGCCGGTCCATCTCGCCATCGGCCCATCAGCTCCTCGATCACATCTTCTTGTCATCCTCTTCATAAGTGTGGAAGCTGTAGGGGGCTCCTCCTTCGTATGAGCCTATCTCATCGTACGGCTCCTGTTTCATTGCCTCCTCTTTCCGGATTTGCGCCTTGCGAACGATCTTGACCACTCCCTGGTCGACAAAATGCTGAGTCAGGGGGGTAATCTCTGTGGCAGTCGGAGATGCGTCGGCGACAATCAAGTCTCGTTAGCATTGTCAGCCCGCAGGAGCAGTCGGGCCCAGCAAAGTGCAACACTGCGATCGCTCCAGGTCGATCGCCGCAATGCAATCTTGCTCGCTGCCCTCCACCACAGCTTGCACTCTCGGTCCCACTCTCTCTGCGGCTTCGTGCTGCTTCGTCGCTCGATCCTGTTCGATACTCTTTCTAGCCCGCTGTTGGTCATGGCGCAGTCCTGAGTTGATGCTTTCGTCTGTCGAACGGTCGACCAAGGGATGCAGCAGACGCCGGCCCATCCCATCCCCCAAAAGGTCCACATTGCCCAAATGTCCGGGTTGCCTCGCTTTCTTGATGTCTTCGATACTGTCGCTGCTTAGGTCGATGTTGATGCTGCCACAATCGCCAAGCATCACATTCAGAGTCAAAGACAGCTTGCGCTGTCGATGGGGCTTTGCAGATCCGAGCTGCATCTGCATTGATGCTCTCGAGATGCACATCATTGCCGACCGGCGACGTCGAACACTTCCCGATCGACGGCTGCGTCTCGGGGATATACCTGCAAACCGTTCGGTCTTCGTCTCGGCATCGTTGCCAACGCCTCCGGCCCAGCACCGGATATTTGATTTGTCGCCTGCGGTACTGCCCGTGGTTGCTGCTCGCTTCCTGTCCCATCTGCCCTCCCTTCCCTTGGGTCCGATATCGCAGCTGTGCTCAGTCCGTCCTTGAAACCCCGGTGACAATCGTCGTCCGTCTGCGCGATCCGCAATTCTGGCTTCGGTCATGTCGCTGCACTCGTTTGCTCCTTCGTTGATCACTGCCTCGCCTTGTTCATCAGCCTATCCTTCCGGTACGCCTCTCGAGCCTGTTCCGACGCTGGACTCTACCATCCGCTCGCTCTCTGTGATATAAACTCAGCGGCCGAGGACCAACACGTACTTGTCATGCCAGGAAACGTTCTCCAACTGTGCGAGACAAAGATGTCCGACATGGCCGAAGCCAGCACCTTTGGTCTGGGTATCCGTTCGAGTCTGTCAATGATAGATGGCCCCGTTTCCGCCATACGGCGGTGGAAGGTGGGAGAGAGCGAGAGAAACAACATGGGGTCAGTTTCGTGAGCCTGCTCCGCAACGGCTTGTTCCCACATCTCACCGCCATATCTATTCCCTTCGAGCCTGCGCTGTCCCGCCTCGATGCTCTTTCTCTCCATCTCCCATTTGGCTCTCATATCCGAGACTCGCTCCTCCTGTTCGGGATTCAAATCGCGATCAGAAGGCTTACGGCGCCTGGTAATGCTTTGGCGTTACATCCAACAGAGCCGCTCCTCTGGCGAGATCGGCCACGAGAGGATTTGCATGGTTCCAACAGCACGAGTCGCCAAGGAGTAAGAAAAGAGGATCGGAGACTGGTCGTCGCCCGCCATCCACCTCGCCGTGCCTGTTGCTCGTTCGTTCGACTCAATTCGACCGAGCCGCCGAGCCCCGCCGAGCGCCTTCTATCCGTTCGGCATGTGGCCTCGCTTACCGCCATCCCATCTCCCTCTATGAGGACCCAACGATTCCGCTTGCGCAGAGTCGCCGAGCCTATAGTCGGGCAATGACGAACAGGGTAGGGCACAGCAGCACCAACACCAACACCAGCAGCAACACCAGCATCAGCAACACCATCTCCAGCGAGGTGGCTCCAGGACCGGCCTGCTCTACGGATCGTTGACGATCGCCGTCGCTAGATCGCAGCAACATGGCCCGTAGAATATCCCTTCCACGGCCGAAATAGCAGTCGTCGCCATCGAAATGCGTCCCTCCTGCAAAAAGTGCCACCCCAAACGATAGCACACCACACTCGCTACCAGGTCCACAAAATCCGCAAGCAGACGGCATGCACAGGCATGGACTTACAGCTGTAGATCTACCAGGGTAAATTGCAGCCGGAACGAGCCTTCCATTCGAATGCACAGGTTGCTGAAGATGAAAAAGACGCCCGTCGCGTGGTCAAGCCCCTGTGCAAACTGGCTTGGGGAAACCAGGTTCCCAAAGAGCGGAGGCATCTCGCCAAGCGACTCATTTGACGACGAGCACATCGGGGCACGGCCTTGATCTTGAACCTGATCTTGAATCTGATCTTGAACCTGATCTTGGCCTAGATCTTGGACTTGATCTTGGCTTTGGTCGGGCCATGCTGTGCTGCCAGCAGCAGCAATTGACGGGGCACGCTGCTGACTGCTCGAGTCGCCAGGTGTTTCGAGAGACAGTGGCTCAGGGCCTCGGCAGCCCCGGATCTCGGTCCTCGCTTGGACGGATTGACCCCCAAGACGACGATCAAGGCGGTCTCGGGTTTTTACGGCACCTGGCCCCTGTGTCGACGCCGTCAGAGTGCGTTGCGGCTCGTGTTGGATCGGCACGACCAGGGACGATGGTGCCTGCGAACCCGCTGCAATCGACGAGCGCCGAACCATCGAGTCGATCGATCGCTTTGGAGCCTTGATCTTTGGAATGTCGCGGATTCCATCGGCCGAAAACAGCTTGACATGAACGACGAACGAGGCGGCTGCGGCGAGCGGACGCTGGCTGCAGCTGTGGCCGGAAACGCAGGGCGGACGAGCATGCCATATAGGCGAGATGTTCAAGGGAACGCAAGGATGTCATGCATGACCACGATGTGCACGACAAGCAGGAGATGTGGTTGTCCCATCGATTAATGTCGATTCAGGATTTCATGCAACCAACCGACCAACCAACCGACCAACCAATCAACCAACGTCAGGTGGAATGCAGACCAGAGGCCGTGTCGAGCAGTACATTGTCGAGCCATGTCGAGCAGTGCAGGCAGCCCATGCCGGACCCAGGGACAGAGTGGCGGCACAGGATCGTGGTGTTCGCCCCAGGTTTGCGATCGAGACGGTTGTTGCAAGCAGATCGCCGAAAGATCCGATGCGTGTAATGATATGCGTTGCATACAATCCGCGAGTGCCGATCCACGACAGATGTCGACGATAGCCAAGAGATTCGCAAGGTATCGGGGTGAGAGACAGAAAATGTGAAACTGGTCAGTCCTATGTCTTCTGCAGTAACAGCTGGCTCAAGGCCACGCGGGCTTGGAACGATGCCTGCTTGGCAAGCAACAGGCCACTCCGCCTCTCTGGCCGCATCGAAACCCAATCTGACCGAGTCTCGGTATTTGTGGCCCAATCTTGCCCAAAGTGCCTACAGATCAACCAGACTCAGGTCCAAACACAAGCACAAGCACAAGATCGCACACTGCGACCATGAATCGGCTACAAGCTCGCCTCCACCGCAGTATTAGGCGTGACAAGAAGGTGAATTGCGGCAGAAAAGCGGACAGCAACAGCGACAAGCAGATGTGGCCAAGCCCGGGCTCAAGTCGAATCGATTGTTCACCGAATCCAGGCGATGGCGACGAGAGCGAGACGGTCGGATCTTTGAGCAAGTAGTTGGCTTACAGAAGCACAAGACACAAGCCAAAGCCCTTCGTGTCTCCGAAAGCGCATAGTGCGCAGATGCAGATTGCAGGAGTTTCGAAGCTGGTCAATCGATCAAAGCCAAGGCCAAGCCTGAAGCCTCCCCCCACAAACAGCAGGGCTGGTGGTCCAGATCCAGCGACAGACATTGATGCGAACGACTTCGAGTGCTGCCTCGTGCCCAACTCCGGCCGAATCGTGCAGATATGCGCTTCATACGGTTGTCTAACGACTTGCATGCCGTCCCTGTAATGGCGGCTCGTCGCATGCATTGGTGCCCAATTGCCGTTCGCCAGGCCAAGGTTCGTCCGCTCGAACGACCCGATCGACTGGCTCGATCAACCGACAGCATGTCACATCCCCCGACCTTCCTGTCTCCAGGGAGCTCCGATCGATTTCATCGCAGACTGATTGCCCCTGCTGTCGTCTATCCGATACAACGTTGGCGGATGGCCGGTGAGCACGTTTGTGTTCTCTGATGTCAATCAGCCCGCCTCCAGCTGATCGAGTCGAGTCGAATCGATTGGGTTCATTCGATGCGAGGCAATGGCTCGGTTCGTGACCATGGATCCAGTCCCAAGTCGCTCGTATCGCAGCCCCTCCAGCCAACGACGCTTTGTTGGCCCGTTCGCCTTGGATTGGGGTGGCCTGGTTGCCTCCATCAAGATGTGCTGCGACTCCGTCCTGGCCCGTTCGCTTGTACATGAATTGCCCAAGCATGCGAACTAATGAAAGCAGTGGCGCAAGGAAGGGAAACCCTGGCAAACAGCAACTTTCTCGGAGGCCAAGAGCGAAACTTGCCCTTCGTCTTTGGGCTGGCAACCGACAGACAGGCAAAGAGACACACAGACAGCCAAGCAAGCATGCGCTTCGTCGGGAAACCGAGTGCGAGCCCTGCTGTGGTCGGTGCAAACGGTATCGGCCGTCCAGGAGCAACGCCCCACCCGAACTGGCGTCTTGGGGTATCCACTCGCAAGCGAAGACAAGGAACAGCAACTCACTCGGTAATGATTGCCCCGGATGCATCTCGGAAAGATAGCTGCAGGATTGGGACCGGGTCCATGGATCTGCCGATGATCGTGGGCGTGTACCCGGACGTCCTGACCCGCCTCGGCTGCTCCAAAATCGACAGGATATACTGGGACTGCTCGGCGGTGAGCGCCGTTCGTTGCCCATGCGGAGACACCGGGGAAGGCGGGTTAGTTTTACACCGGTATCGCGGTCCGTGGCCGCCTTGGTGCATAAGCGATCGAGCACAACAGCCATCCAAAACAAAATCGTAGGTCTCTTGTCTTGCTTTCTCTCTACCTGGTCGATCGGCGGCACGGCGTTTTGCCTCGATCTCCAAATCACCCAGCTACACGACTCGACCTTACCATCGGCTTGGACGATAGCGTTTGGATTCGAAAGCAGGAGGCAAGTCGATCGGGGGCGATCAAATGGCACAAAGAGGAGTAGCGATATCCCGGCGGTTGCCAAGCTGCAGCGACCATTGAAGGGATGAGAGTACGGGCGACGAGATGATGAGCAGAACAAGCACTTTAGCACACGGGGCTCATTCGACGTGGCCGAAAGACCCGTAGCCAGTGGTGACTCCTCCCCAGGGTATGCCGCTCCTTTTCGCTCTAAACAAACTGCGCTCTTGCCGACCATCCGACCGAGGCTATGCAACAAGTAATGACTTGGCGACTCCGAAGCTCTGGGACTGCATCTCTCAAGAGTGGGGCAGTGGACCACTGCATAGCCTCCACAATGGCAGAGGCAAGGAGCAGAGAATGGATGTGGTGGTCGCGCTGGTGATAGGGAAGGCAGCGCTGAACAACGATCGACGGCAATGGAGAGCCAAACGAAGCCCGGCCGGCCGTCCTCTTGATCACCATCGGCCACGTTCGACTCCAACAATGCGGCGATCGTCTTCCCAAATCACTCAGACCCCTCATCGGTGCTCGGGCTTACGGTGAGTAGATCCAGGGAACTCGGGAAGCGCCCGGCGAGTAACTGTGAGAGCAGTGAAGACAGGAGCCGAGGAACCGGTCAGAGCGGAGCCGACGTGGATCAAGGCAAAGTGGCGGCCAAGCGACAGTGACAGACACGACAAGCCAGGACAAATGACAACTGCCCACCACGACGAACGAATAAGCCCAACGAAGCGACTGGGATCAAGCTGACACTGCAAGGCTGATAACGATCAGGCGGCGACAGCGACGCCCGAGCCAAGTTGGCCGCCCTGTCGGGCCTGGAGTCGTGCACTCTAAAGCGAACGGCGAGGCGGAGATGCAGCAGCGACAGGAGCAGCGCCGATCAGAGAGGACCGAGACGAGGATACGAGAGGCTGGACATTCCGAGGCGGGCTCTGGCATGCAGACGGATCATCGCGGAAAGACGAGTGGCTCTGGACAAGCCGCCTGTGTGATTCTCTTTGGTCGTACCTTTGGCGCTGCTCCTGACCAACGAAGCGCCGAGACTGAAGCAACTTGAACTGGACGATGGAAGACGATGGCGAGGCGGTTCTGTCCAGAGACGGCCGACTTTCGACTGGCAATGGATGTCTCTCACCGTCTTGGTGCAGCAGGATGGTTAGTCGGAACCCCCCTTCTGAGCGGAAGAACGGCACCATGTACCTTGAAGTTGCAGTTGCAGGACGACAGTATCTGCGGGAGGGTGGTGGTTGCTCATGGGACACGACAGGGGCACTTGAACTCGTCTGCAGGACGCCTGGTGGACAAGCGGCGACTGTGTGCTGGGTGGGAGATACTGTCTTAGCCAATGGGAGCGGAAAGACAGCACAGCAAGCTTGCTCCCCCCCCCACGACCTGCAAGCAACGGCAGAAATTGACTGCTGCCAAAGACGGCTTGTCAACACGAAGGCCCAGATTCCCCTGCTCGCCCTGCTCGCTTCCCACACCCAGCACTAGCCCGGCCAAAGGTCCTTCTCGGTCGGAGATGCAACCATCTCATCTTGCTGGTGGTTGGTTGGCAGGATCAGTCTTGCAGGATCAGTCTTGCAGGATCAGTCTTGCAGGATCAGCCTTGCTGGATCCACGTTGCGGCGCCCTCACCACCGCCATTTACGCCGGGCCCAGTGACCCACACCAGACCCATCGCGATTCCCACCCACCCACCATTGCCACACAAGATCCAGCCGCACAGGACCTCGTCTGCCCAAAACAACGTCTCCCCCCGCACCACGGTCGTGGCCGCCCTTGCTGTCCTTCGTCGTCATGTGCGTGCGCTTGCCCGCCTTGGATTGCGGAGCCATGGTGGTCCCTCTGACGGGCTGCCGCGCCTGCCTGGCCAACATCGGGCCGGGGTGCTGCCGAGCCAGCAAGGGGACCGACGGTGGCTGTGCACGATCCCCATCGTGCGCAGCCTGATGATGGCATGCGGACAACCCGTGGTTGGTCGCCCTGGTGCCACCAAGACAGCAAGGCCGGCGGCCAAGGGCGGTGTCCCCAAGGGCAGCAATCAGACATCAAGGAAGAAAAATTAGCCGTTCGCTCCACGGCGAGCCTATTTTGAAACGGCACCTTCACACGCAGTGGCTTGTGGCTCGGTTGACGTTGACGATCTGGCTGAACGGCTTTGATCGGTACTCAAACCAGCCATACTGCTCCTTGCCCTGACTTCCTCCTCACCCCAGCCATGTCTTCATGCTTTGACCTGCAGCGACTGCATCTGCAGCGACTCGCTGGCCCCGTCGTGCTCACTCACTCACTCACTCCATGCGTCTCCCTCACACAGGGAAATGATTTGATCCACTTGACCGGGTGTACGATATAATCCGACTACGCCGTGTTTGTCCGAATGAAACCATGTGTCTCATTGTTCTTCAACGCGCTGTGTTGCCTCCTTCGCCAAAGTTGGTGCATGTGCTCAAGTCTGGGTACCACCCTCGCACGATAATCCGCCCATCGCGCTGTACTTGTTTCTCCAAGCAGCGTTCTGGTTCGACCGGATCGCGGCATCGACCCGGGTCCTTTCCCCCCGACGCCCTGATCCGAGCAAGTCTCTCCGTCCCCTCTCAGCCCATTGCCCTATTCATTTGGTTTCGCTTCGAGGGACGCTCTCTGCCGTTCCAACGTACTGCATGAACTCCTCCAGGATCTCCTGGTCGTAGAGACGCAGCAGGACCGATTCTTGCTGCTGAAACCCGAGCCGGACCTCGTTTTCGCCTTTGATCTCGGCCAAGCACCGGCTGATCGGGTAGAAGCTGTATGCCTGCAAAGCGCATGTCATTAGTCGACGGTTCCCCTCCCTCCACCTCGCTGCCGCGCTCTCTCCCACTCTCTCTCTGTGTGAATTCGCCATCGTCGTCACCCACCTCTGGGATTGTTGTTGCCGACCGCTTGGAGGTCTTCTCCGTGACCGGAACCAGCACCAAGTGGTTTTGGACAATCCACAAGGTGCAGCTCCGGTACTCGGAGATTCCAGGCAATCTCATCGCGACTGGATAGTATCTCTTGATGAGGAAACCCTCGACGAATCCACTCTTGCTCGTCGGGATGTTCCAGGATTCGGCAAACGCCTTTGATTCTTCCATCGTGGACTTCTTCACCTCAAACGCCACCGCCAAGATGATCGGGATGGCAACCGCCGTCGGGATCAGGAGGCAGGATAAGATGCCGATGAGGTATGTGTACCTCAGCAGCGACGCCATCGAATCGAGCCCGATGGCAATGGCGCTGAGCGCAATCAGGTGACTTTGTCGCCCCGAAAACATAAAGAAAAAATATCAGCCCTACTGCAGCCAAACAGGACAGGTGCGGCATACCACTATCCAGGGGGAGATAGCAACCAGTCTTACCCAGCGGACAGAACGAGCATTACGGCTTGGGTTCTGCGCGTCCCAGGCATGGATTAGAGGAGCGGGGGACCAGGGTATGTGAGCGATCGACTCGACAGAAGCAGGGCAGTAGCAAGAATATGTGCGCTTGTTTGCTCACCTGAACTCGGCAAACCTCGCCGAGTACTCCAAGTTCCTCAGTGTCAAGAGGAGCAGGAGAGCCAAGATGCCGAAAAATGCAGCAAAGGCCTCCAGGCTCACTTGCGACGGCACGCAGGCGACATAGACGGTAATGCCGGAGATAACCAGGTTGGAGACCACAGCAGGGCTCTGGATGTAGGAGGCACCACACATGATCTGCAGCCGAGCACAGTCAGTCATATCCGTAGCGACTTGGGGATGCAACCGGCTCCTACGTAACTGCTTTCGGGATGCAAACACCGCCATCCCCCTCATCAGCCTTGCTGATCCGACTTACCCAACCGAGCACCACGATGGCGGCCGCTGTCAGTGCCATGTACTTTGGGCTGATTGACTCGCGCAACTTGCCCTTTGCGCGGCACGGGGCCAGGATTCTGAGTTCTAGAGAACGACGGCGACAGTGTGAGTTGGGCTCTGGCATTAGCGCCATCAGAGAGTGCTGCGCCTCAGCCAACTTACCGAAAGACCGCACAAGGTGTGCCCTTGGAGCGAACAGAGGGCAAAGGCATGTCAGACGAGATCGTTGCGAGCTATGCTTGAGACTGCCATTGCATTCTTACCCAATACTGATCGCATATGCCGTCGCCACGCAGTACGATTTGGCCAAACACGACGTAGAGCTCGGAGTGCCGATGTGGAAGAGAAGGGTGACGTAGCCTATGATTGCGGCAAGTAGATCTAGACGAATGACGAAACGGGGGCTGAGTCACTCGAGTCGAGGCATGGCTCACCCACCCCTCTCTCACGGCATGCAATCTTGTCGCACGTACTCAGCCTGAGGAACATTGCCGTTGTCGGATTGATGCGCTCATTGAAAATCACTGAGAACACGAGGACAAGGACGACCAAGCCACAGAGAAAGGCGCCGATGCACAGAAATGCCACTGCGTCTTTGTACCCGGGATTGATTTGGTTGAGTGGCGGAAAGTCCACGGGAACTGGGAAGGCTACAGGGTCGAGCGACGAGGGAAGGTTGTATCGGATCGGAACGTTAGAGGATGCAAATCTGGTGGCTCCCGCCACTGCATCAGAGGCCAAGACAGCGAGGCTGGCACAAACCCATGTCATTTGCATAGATGTGGAAAATGTCGTTGATGGTGTAGTTGTTCTCGTATCGAACATTGAGCGTGTAGTTGTACGTTGACTGGATGAGGGCCGTTTGAAAGACCATTGTGAGGTTGTTGGTCTGCAACAGAAGCGAGGATAAGTAAAGCTGCCACAACACGGCCGCTCTAGCAGACAGTGCAAAGCTCTCCCTTACCATCAAGTAGATGTGCAGCCCTCTGGTTCGTTGAGGAAACTGGTGTTAGAACGAAGCAGGTCACGCCGACCCGATTGAAACCACCAAACAGCCGACTTACCCCGACGTTGAGTCACCCAGTTCTGCCAGACGAGAAAGAGAGACGACCGTGTTAGGTCGAGGGCGACTCTGAGTTCAGCCGCTCATTCATTTGCTCGACGACATCCTGAGTCATGCTCTGCCCGTCACACCAGCATAGTCGCCATCGTACCATCAAACTGAAGCGGACCGCATGACCCCGGCTGGGGCACAGAGAAGTTGGCCGGCGTCAGGAAGGAGGGATCGAGTTCTCGGTTGAGGATTTTGTCGAGTGTGACTTGTGTTGGATAGTCTCGGAGCATCTGCATGGTGGCAGGCATGTACCAACGATGGCCAGTCAACAATCAATTCATCAGTCCGGTTGCTTGCCGGGCCGCGGTATCCGTAGTGTGCGATCGAGTGAGCTCGCACGCGGTCAGTCCATCATGCCAACCCTGCCCCTCCGCCAAGGTTTCCGCCTGGACGCTTCTTGAAGGTCTATGCAGCTTGTCCAAGACACCGTACCCGATCATATCCGTAGAGCATCGCCAAGGTGCAGTCATATATCATCCTGAGGACACAAGTAGTTCGCGACACAAATCAACAAACGTTTGGCACATTCATGGCGTGGGTTCGGCTGCCGATCCAATCACTTACGGCATGGCAACATGTTGGTGGTTCACGGGATAGGTGAGGCTCCTTTGGCCATAGGTCGACCATGTGGTGTTGAACCGGATCCAAGTGGGGTTGGTGGGCCAGTAGCTCACCGGGCCCTCCCTGTCGATGGTGCGCATAGCATCAGTATCAAGCGTACATCGCAGCGATCCCCTCCCCAAAGCGGCGACACATTGCCGTGATTGAATCCGAGACCAGCAACAAGCCATACATGCAAAAGTATCTAGGTTTGGATGGCGTCCCGACGTCGGCATGACATTGTGTGTTTGGGCCCGATTCGATTATGGTTGTAGTTTAATTGATAGAGTCGCGGAGTACCGGTCCATATCAAAAGCACCACCACACTCCATTGCTCTTGTGATCATGTGCAAATGCTGCCACTCCTGATCGCGAGCAACTGCGGCAGCTCGCTCACCCATTTAAATCCGACTCGGTCACGTTTCGCCCCAAGTAGTAGCTCGCTGCTTGATTGCTGGGATCCTGGAAAAACTGCTCGTAGTCGCTGACATAGAACCTCGCCGAGCTCGTGAACCAAATGTACTGCTCCTGGTTCAGCCCGGCTTTGCTGTGGCACCGGATACAAGCCAAGATTGAAGGAGGATGGATATTAGCCGGAGTTTAGTCTACGCGATCGAGAGCGACTTGTGTGCGCGGCGACATGTACTCACATGCCCTGTTGCATATGGTAGCAGACAAAGTTGTCGTTGAGTGTGGATGTCAGACATAGAGGCATAGAGACATCGAGACATCGAGACATAGTCGGCGCGCTGCCTTCCCTCCCCCCCACCGATGGCAAGTACACACTCGACAGCCCCGACCTGGAGATAGAGCGCTGAGACCACATCGATTCGCCCAAACACAACAAAGATACGGCCATAGGTTGCCAGCATTCTGTTCACCGGAGTGACAAAGTCGTTGTCGCTAAGGGCCATCGAGGTGCCGCAGTAGAAGTATATGGTGTCGAGGATGGTGATGCCCAGAAAGGGAGCGCGCTGGATGAAGCCGTTGACGAACAAGCCGCCGTAAAAATCGTTTTGCGAGCACTGGGTCGACGATTTAAGACACTGTGAGTCATCGCAGTTCGTCGTGGCTCTGCGGTGAATCGGGCTGGGAGGTGGAAGGGACCCTCTGCCGGATGACCCACCGTGATGAGCAACACGACCTTGGTCCAGCCCATGGATGCCACCCAGTCGGCAATTCCTGTCGATTGCATCCAAGCCTATTCTCATTAGAAACCCATTCGGGGGTGGAGGTATCGGTAAGTCCAAGAGCAAGCGGGTGTGGCTGAATGCACTTGCCTGATCCAGCTGTGTCGGTTCTGGACATGGTTCGGAAGAAGGTCGGGAAGGTCTTGCGGTCTTCGAACTGGCGAAGGTAGTTTGATCAGATCCAAGCTCGGCTTACCCCGACTCCCAGAGAGATGCGTCCCTCTTCCTCCTCCTTCTCTCCTGGACTTCTCTTCTCCTCCAACGCTTCACCTCCCTCTCAGAGGAAAGCATACTCACTGCACTACCAACAGCTGTTCCGGAGCAGTACTGAGGAGAGAAAGCATCGGCATATTGACAAAGATAAGCGATCAGCACTACTATGGCACAAACGCAGAGTCAGTGCAACAGCCACCTCGACAGCAGTGAGTACATACGGGTAAATTGAACTTGCCAGCCATCATGGCTTGAGAGAACAATGGTGCGGTGCTCATCGAAACGACATCGGTCGTGTCGCCTGGTGGACGGAAATGATGCGTGAGCCGAAGGTGACGCCGTGCTCATACCCAATGCATGCAGTCTGCGGCGCCACCAGAGTCTCGACCGTGCCTATAAATCCAGCATATTTGTTCATGAAGATGGCGTTCTCGGCTTTGATGAACTGGACGTGCGCGGCCAACGGGAGGTGAGTAGGCGTCTGTGTGGCTTGGCGCAGTGGGCGGGAGGAAGATAACTCCCCTCTCAATCATCTCCACCGAGCAAGGGCTCACGTACTCAACTCACCGAGTTGGCAGTCATGCCGATGTCTGACACGTCGTATATGTCGATGGCGTCGACAGCCACTTTCTACACACACCCGATTTCCACAGCCAAATGAAGCATTCGGTTCATCAGAAAGGCCAAACCAGTTTTCAGCAACGCATGGGCGAAACAACAACGGTCTGGGAACACTCACGATCCCGGGAAGAAGGGTGTTGCTGAGGACACGAGTGGTGTTAGCGAATCAGCGGCGTGCAAACTCCGAGCCACCCAATGAGACCGACATGCTCCTTCACGCTGAGATGAATCCAAAGGACGCCCTCGGGATCCGCCCGGGGCTTACTTTGCATTGAACTCGTCTGCGGCAGCTTGAACAGACAGATATCTGAGGCGGTGGACGGCAGAGCCGGTCAGTAACTATCGGGTTCATTTGCGCGACGCAGCGACAGAATCAACGCGCGGCTCTCGGGCTTGATCAGACCGTGCACGTACAGCTGAACAGCGTCCTCGACACCGGCGGCCCAGGTGCCGAAATCATCGGGGAGCACCGGAGACGTGAACCACCCAAAGACCCCAATAGTCAGGACGCGCGTGCTCTGGTTCTTTGCCGGGTCGAGCGGGTACGCCGGAGGATATGACTGGTAGTATGGATTGGGTCGGTTGAAGACCGCGGCAGCCAACTGCAGACCCAGCGCGGCAACCAGCAAAGCCCGTATCATGGTCGGTAGTGGATAGCGACGAAGCTGCGATTACTGGGCGAGAGACTGGAAAGAGGGCTTGGAAGAGACGGCCTCCGTTACAGAGTGCGAGTTGGCCCGGTGAATTTGCCAAGAGTCGCGGCGACCAGCGCTCTCGATCCGGCGGCCTTCGGGGCGGGCTGGCCCTGGCAACAACACCACCCATGAATGCGGTCATCCGGCCATGTACACGCACGTATGAGCGCCGACACTGGCGATCGGCTCAATCAGCCAAGGCCAGGCCTGGCCCGATTGCCCGCACAGAGCAAGAGCAGCGCATACTTGATACCACTGCATTCTCAGTATGTATCAGGACTGTGTGGCGGTGCAGCCCACCCGCCCCGGTTTTAGCCATGCGCCTCCGTCCAAACACCCTGCCCTGCTCTCTGTCCCGCATCTCCCTCCCGCATCTGCCTCCCGCATCTGCCTCCTGCATCGGCCTCCTGCTCTCGCTCTGCTCCCATCCATCCGCCTTCCTCCGGTATCCCCTGCGCTCGTGCCCACAGGATGTCGTCCCTCGCAAAGCGGAAAATGACGACTGTCTCTCGCTCGGCGCAGAGACAGAACCCGCCGCAGCAGCTCGGCGCTGTCCTGCCCCAGCCCGCCAGGCTCGATGCCCCGCTGCCGCAAGTCCCTTCCGAGGCTGAGACGGCCGAGCAGTTCGAGAAAAACGTCTTCCAAGCCGCACTTCGATGTGCCATCTCTCCTCTGCTCGAGACCAGCGCCAAAAAGCCCGAGGTGCCCATCGTGGCTGCCCCTGTCCCGGCGCCGTCGACGGCAGATGACATGTCGGCGCTCTACTCTGACTTCCAGGACTTTCTGTCTCTCGGCTCAACGGCTCCGGCCGCACCGACGGTGCTTTGCCAAATAATTGGCGAGAGCCTGATTATGGATCCGAGGGTCATCAGCGAGCTGACGCAGGGTCTGGAGACCAAAGCCAAGATTTTCTCCCAGATATCAAACCGCCCGAACCTGGCTGTGTTTTGCGGCACCGTCGAGCGGTAAGTTGCGACTGCTGCTCGTCACTCGCGGAGGGAAGGGCGAGGTCTCCTTGCGGACCCATGTCTGAGGGCACGGCGCCTCCAGCTTTGATGGGACATGAAGCAGTCGTGCGCTGTTGGCTCTGGCTCTGGCTCTGGCTCTGGCTCTGGCTCACTCATTCGGTTTCATCACCGGTTTCGCATGCGCTGCGGCGCTTCCTGATACCTTGGCTCTGCATGTCTAGTTTGCGGCCGATGCTCCACAACAAGAGCCTTGTCACGATGCTGGGCGACCTCTTGCGATTGCTGGAGCTGATTGCCACCATGGCCGATAAGAGCATCTCCGAGCCTAACGAGGAGAAGCGTGACGAGCTGCTGCTCGAGACTGTCAGGCTGTTTGTCGCCCAAATCAAGGAGGCCATCTCCACCTCCGAGGCCCGTCTCAATGTTCCCACCAAGAACTCTGGGCGAGAATTCTTCCTCCTGAAGAATGAACAGCTGCTGGCCAAGCACCTGAGCAAGTTCTACAAGTCCAACAAGATGATCAACTCTGTCCTGGGCAGCACAACCTCGGGCGAATCCAAGACCTACAGCACTGGCGTGAGCCTCGCGGCCTGGCTGCGAGTCGTCTTTGATGTCCCACAGCAGGCGCACACCGACGCCGAAATCCATGCTAAGAAGCTCGGAAGCGAGAAAATCGCCTTCGCGGAGCTGCTCAAGATCAAGGAATATCTGGACAGAGACGCCACGCCTTCGTCGAAGCCGGACGACTTTCCATCCATCGTCACCTATCAAGCTTGGAAGACGGCCAAGATGCAGTTAACCGAGTCACTCATCAAGGTTCACCAGCTCCAGAACCCCGTCCTCCGATCGGCCCAGGCCGCGCCCCAGCTGTATCTGCCCGACGATCCGCGCGAGTACTTCAAAACTCTGGTGGCGAAGTGTCTCGTTCACGATATCAACAGCTATCCGAACGAGAAGATTGGTCTGTCCAAGACCTCCAAGCTCCTCGTCAACGAATGTGCCCTCCGCTGGTGCATCTCGGAGGACTACAAGAAAATCGCACAGCTCGAGATCCTCGTTGAGAGCTACTCCGCCAAGGAGATCGAGCTGAAGGACATCTTTGAGAGCTTTATGGAAATTGCAAAGTCGCTTGGAGACCCCCAAACGTTCAATGTTCTTGACGTAGGTGGCATGTCTTGCATCGTCGCTGGCTCTGGTCGCTCGTTGGTGCTTTGACAGTAAACTAACGCCTTGCGTATGCGCCACTAGTGCTCCATCTACTTGACTCTGATGAACACGCTTCGGAAGCAGCTGCTCCAAGAGTTTGAGCTGTTTCCCAACCGCCTCCGCATCAAGGGCAGCAAGCCCGAGGACTCGGCAAAGTGGCTCTACGGCGTCACTGAGCTGCTGGGTCGCATCCATGCGGATCCTGCCTGGCTCACGGCCCACCCCGAGAAACGCAACCCTAACGTCCTGAAAAGCGAGATCGAGGACATTATATGCGTAAGCTGACGGCCGCCATACGCTCCGCTCTTGGTCTATGATCAACGGTCGACGAGTTCACAGCGCCGCTGCTCTGTAGCGCGCTCTCTAACATCAGCCGATTCTTCTCCCGTCGGTAGACTGTTCTCAACAAAGAGTACCAAGTCATGGCCGCCGACATTGAGAAAAAGGAAGACGATCTGGACCGCCAAAGCGCTTATGCTGAGCAGATCAGCGCGACCCTGTCGGCCTACGCCTGGCACTTCCCCGATCCGATCATGGAAACACTTTCGCTTCGGAACCTGGCTTGCCGAATCTGGTCCAACTACTTCCTTTGTGACATGGAGTCCATGTTCCTTGGCGGTGGCCGCGACGGCACCATGGCGCAGCGCTATATCCAGGGCAGCACCTTTTCGCTCAACATCATCCTGGACCTGTACAAGGATGTCAAGGCGCTCAAGGAAAATTGCCAAACTGCTGGCCTCACCGAGTAAGTCGATATACCGGCTTTGTTGAGCACCAGAATCGCCAGTGTGTGTATGAGGATATGCTGTATGCGCCGCGACTTGCACTAACGCCGAGCAACACCCCTGCGGCGCCAGTATGGTCGAGCGATTCCAGCTGGAGCGGTGGTTCTTGCCTTTCATTGAAAAGTGGCTGAGCGTCACCGATGAGAAGTGGATCGAGTGGGTGCGCAACTCGGTTGCCATAGAAACCGTAAGTGCATCGGCTGCGGCCCCGCCCCCATCGCGGCTCTGGATCGGCAGTCACCGGTGTTGGCAGCACAGTTGTCAGTTTGCACCAAACGCCTGGGCCGACAATTCATTGAGATGACTCGGTCCTTGCACTGCACGGTCATTCCCGTTTGCAACATGACGTTGGGCCCACAGTTCGCAGGCGACTCTCCCTAACATGCCTGTCAGTGGTACTCAATGTAACTTACTAACGCTCCCTGACCCGCTTTCAAACACAAACACACAAACACACAAATGACTGCCCTGCAATAATTTCATCGCTGCAGTATACACCGTTGACTCCGCCCAACTGCATGAACTCGACGTCGGTCACAGATCTGTTCTCGTGCTTCCACGGTGGTCTGGGCTTCATCAGCCAGCTTGAGTGGAAGGACGAGAAGCGCAAAGAGATTTTGATCAAGAACTTCATCAGAGTATGTCGAGGCATTTGACAAATGGATGGCTCTGACGAGGCGTTGTGGGCGTGAGTGAGCCCCGAGAGGATTCTGAGACGCCTTATTGGACTCTTCCCTTACGCACTCACATGTGTTCATGTCCTCACAACCGCACGGAAGATGATGAGCAAGACCCTCGAGGTTTATCGCGCCATGATGTTGCAAGAGTTCCAGGACCTGGAACGTCGAGCAAACGACAAGGGCAGCGATGTTGCGTCCCTCGAATTCTCGACCAGCGTAAGCATCTGTCCATGTGGCTAGTCTGAATAAGGAGTAGCGACTCCACAACGATCGGGACTGGACACTCCGATTGGTCTGGGCAGACCGGGAAGGGGTCAGAGCCCTCCCCTCGCTCTGTCTCAGCACCCTGCTTACACAGAAGGATTCATTATGCCTGTCCACCCGCCACCACAGTCCTTTATCAAGGTCAACAATATCTTTGCCTGTCTGACCAAGCTGGAGGAAGTCCTGAGTCTTCTCAAAGTCAAGGAATTCGCCCAGGACGACGCCGGCTTTGACGCCGCCAAGCATGTCGCCCCTGACGTTCCCAAATATACAATCACGGTGGTGTCGGCCTACAACCTGCAGATCTGCGACGTGACGACTTCGGACCCTTACGTCGTCATCAACATCGGCGACAAGAAGCTCAAGACCCGCATCATCGAGAAAACCTTGAATCCCGCCTGGAACGAAACCTTTGAGCTCACCCTCCCGGGCGTGTCGCCGCTCCTGGATGTGATCGTATACGACTACGACTGGCCCGGCAAGGACGATGTCTGTGGAACAGGCGTGCTGGACCTGTCGGCGGGCACGTATGACGACTTTTTGACGCACGACGTAACATGTCCACTCAAGCCCCAAGGCAGGCTGACTCTGCGGGTCCGAAAGGAGGGCATCGTCGACGACGTTGCTTGGTTTGTCTGCAAGGCGACGGAGGTGATCAGGTTCGGTCTTGAAGACATGCTCCGAATCTACGTCGAGCAGGTGCGTTCCGACCTTGTAGCCGACATGGGGTAGCGCGGCCGGGCTGTAGATGGCCGCTGCGGTCGTCTGGAGTTGCTTCGGGCCACTGTTCCCGAATCGCCTGCGTCCCACTGAACGCTGTTCTGTATGTCTTCGCTCAACCGCTCATCCAGGTGGCTCGAGTTGCCCGAGCGCTACTCGGCGACATGAGCAAGCCCCAAACCAGCCAAAACTTCTTCATGAAGCGCAGTGCCACCAAGTACACGACCGAGGACGAGGTTGAGGACGGCATGGTCGAGCTCTTCCGGTATCTCGACACCATGCTGGGCAACATCAACGAGTTCCTCGATCCAGCCATGACTCGGTTTTTGTATCAACGCTACCCGCTGCTCATGAATATCGGCCAGGACGCAACCTTCCTTGATCTCCAGAGCATCCCTGCCGACTCGGCCCTGACCATCAACGCGCACAAGCCGCACATGATGGTCAAGGTGATCTGGCAGGAGCTCGTGAAGCTGCTGACGACGGAGGTGAACGCCTTTGGCACGCAGGGCGAAGGCGCCAAGCAGCTCAAAGCCAAAACAATCAAGATGGGCGGCAGCATCAAGCTCACAGGCGAGGAAAGAGAGGCGCTCTACATCTACAGCGTCGCCCTGGAGCTGATCAAGTCGTTCTTCTATTGCAACGTCAACGGCACGCGCATGGGTTTCAAGCTGGAGGAGCTCGAAGACAGCCGCTACATCAAGCTGCGAAAGCTGATGGACAATAGCCTGGCTGCGCGAGACTAGTTGCCGCGCGGGAGACGTGCGATCTGTGGCGGGCATTGTGAGCGACGACCGCACGCGTTCCCTTCTGGTTGTGAATCCCAACAAGAACTGCAGTTCATCAAACGATATCGGGGCTGTTGGTGCGGAGGAGCACAACGGCCGCAGAGTGCGGGGCATGAATGAGATCCAGGGAACGTGTGGAGCTTGGCCGGTGCAATGGCGTTCCGAGGACCCGGCTGCAGGCCGACAAAATGGGGCAGATGGACCCACAGTATCAGGGCTTGTGCGCCGGGGCGCATTTGCTTGTTTGGCAACAGAGAGATGTTTGAAATCTGCTGCTGCGACACCCACGGGCACGGGCTGGCCTCTCGCTCGCATCCACATCGCCCGGCTGCTCTCTGGTTCCGATCGCACTGCGGATCTGCCCCCCCTCCATCGATCCACTCCCATCGCTCCCTGTCATCGAATCCAGCATGGCCTCCACGCAGCAACAGCAGCAGCCACAGCGGCCCGAGATTGTCGGCCCCGAATCGCCGGCCGATCCCTTCCCGCTGATGCTCAAGGGCGATGTCGCTCGTGGCTTTGGCCGAGGTGGCAAGGAGCTCGGCATCCCCACAGGTTCGATTTAGAGTCTGTCGCCAGCGAGCGGGGCATGGTTGTTCCCGATGCCAGCTATTCCCGTGCTGATGGCCAGCAGCCAGGACCTCCTGTCTATCCAAGAGATTGGCTGATTCGGAAGTGTCATATCGCTAGTAGACTGCAGCATTCTGACGTCTGCACTGGCCACTGCCTGTCCTGTCCTGCCCCCGCCTTAATCGCACCTCCCAGCCAACATGCCCGAACCGGTGGCCGAATCAGCCGGAAGCGCTCTCGACTCTGGTATCTACTACGGATGGTCGTCGATTGGCGACAGCTCGGCGGTCTGGCCGATGGTGATGAGCTTTGGCTGGAACCCTTATTACAAGAACGAGAAGCGCTCGATGGAAGTCCATATCCTGAACAAGTTTGAAGCAGATTTCTACGGCGAGGAGCTGAGGATCATCATCACCGGCTTTATTCGGCCCGAGAAGGACTACAGCTCGCTGGGTAAGCCGTGGGCGACCCGAGGCGGGTTGCTGCCAATGTCCGCAGTATCGCTCTCTGCCGTCGTCACCCATCGCATGCAGCACCTTCTCCAAGCCCGATCGCTGCTTGGTCAAGCCTTAGTCAAGCCTTGGTCAAGCCTTGGCTCTGCACACCTGCGCTTGTGTCTGCCGACTCACACCGGTGTCCATCGGCTTGCGTTGCGGGCCTGCGCTGTCGGATCTGTTGTCCATTAGATGCCCTCATCGACGACATCAACTTTGACATCAAGGTCGCCCGAAACTCGCTGGGTCGCCCCGCATACAACGCTTTATCGGAGCACAGCTTCCTCGCCCCTTCCAACTGACAACCGACGCCAAGGAATGCATCTCAGGATCGAGACGGCCCACGATCGGACGGAAGGAGCCAGGGTTTCATGTCGGTGCGGGGCTGAGGCGGCATACAACTGAATGCAATTGCACTCTTGGAATACACAGGTCCACACGGCGCTGTCCACTGCATCGATCTGAGCTCAGTATCTCCTCAGTATCTCCTCGGCATCCCCTCGGCATCCCCTCGACATTCCCTCGGTATCCCCTTTCATCCGCCGCATCCGCCGCATACGGGTACTGGCGGCATATGCTCCCTCTCGACTCAGTCCACCAGGCCCGAGCCTGCTCTGCCCGGGGGAGGGGGGGATCTCCTGGGCTACAGCGTCCGCCACAGACGCAGCATGCTCAAGCTTCGTCGGGCCGCCGCATTGCCTTGTGCAGCCGATCGCCGGTAGCACTCCATGGCCATTTGGAAGTTCCTGTCGACGCCGATGCCGTTCTGGTAGCAATTTCCAAGCTTGTTTTGTGCGTTGGCGTTGCCCTGTTCGGCCGCCCGGCGATACCACCGGATGGCTTGGGCATAGTCCCGGTCGACTCCCTGGCCGGTGTAGTAGCGGTTGGCGAGCCTGGTCTGGGCGCTGGCGTTGCCCTGGTCGGATGCAGCTTGGTAGAGCTCGGTGGCCTTGAGCGGATCGGCCTCGGTGCCGTACCCGGCAGAGTAGCAGTCCGCCAGACAGAGCTGGCCCCAAAAGTCAAGCTGGTCGGCGGACCGGGAAAACCAGGCAAAGGCCAGATGGTCGTCTTGCTCGATGCCGATGCCGCAGTGGTAGCATGATCCCAGGGCAATCTGGCTGGGTGCGAATCCGTCGGTGGCGAGCTCCTGCAGGGCCGCTGCTGCCTTGGGCTGGTCCTTGGTGGTCCCAAACCCGTACAGCGAACACATGGCAAGAAGATGATCCAGGAGCATGTTGGTTCCGTCGCTGCTGACGGCACAGCACCGATAGAACCGTGTGGCGATGGCAGATAGCGACTCGAGCTCGTCGAGAGGGCTTCCCCAGCTCCAGTCCATGGTCCATTTGCCACCCAGCAGCAGTCCCTGTTCCCGGCTCTGGCCGAACAGGCGGAACCCCTCTGCCGAGTCCTGCCGGGTGCCTCGTCCGAGGTAGCAGCACCATCCCACCATGAAGGTCGATATGGGCTTGAGCACGGCGTCGGTCGAGCGGACATGCACATGGTACCAGTAGTCGAAGGCCTCTTCGTCGCTCTGTTGCACGCCGAGACCGCCAAAGTGCAGCCATGCCATCCAGAAGGCGGCTTCCAAGTTGCCGGCATCGGCGCTCGATCGGTAGAGAATGCCGGCGAGCATCCAGTCGGGATCGGCGTCAAGTCTGTTCTCCGAGACCAGACTGGCGGCCCGGACAAGAGCCGTCGGATCGCCTCGCCGCACCCCCTGGAGTGTTGCGCGAGACAGGATATGGGCCGTCTCGAGCTCTTGGGCAATGTCGAGGATGAGTCTGTCTTGCTGTATCAGCCAGTCGATGCGGTTGCGAAGGGTCCTCTCGCCCGTTTCGTCCTCGGCGATGGCTCGGGCCAGCTCGGCCAGCGGATTCTGGGTCGATTCGGAAGAAATGGCCAGGGCCAGCCGCATACTGTGCCATAGGACGTCGAGATCGGCGCAAAACTGTCGGATCTTTGAGCGAATGCTCCGGCCGTGGATGATTCGCTCGAGCCTGGTGCGGGGCCAGACATGCTCGGCATAAAAGGCACGAACTTCGCGATGGAAGGCCGAGAGGCGAGCGATCTGGGCATCGAATGCGGGGCCAGTGTGTCGATATCGGGCGAGGGCTTGAATGATACCACACGAGTGGCCGGCGAGGACAGCCCAGGAGCGCTTGTTCTCCTCGGCCGCAACGATGTCGTTGAATATATCGAGCGCCAGAACGACGAGTTGATGGAGAGCGGATGGCAGCGAATGCTGCCGGATCAAGCCGGCAAGGTCCGAAAGAGCGGCGGCGGTCTCAGGCATGGCTCCAGGAGCGCACGGCACTTGGATGTTCTAATCGAGTGCAAACGGAGGCAGACACGATCAAGTAAACGAGGAGGGACGGCCTGGCGAGGGTGTTGGGTTGGAGGAAGATGGTGGCGTTGTGCCAGCGGCGGCATTCGGGATCAGTCGGGCCTGCATTATCGAAAGCGCTCTTGGGCGGCAGAGACTGTGCTTTTCAGGGCGGATGGATCATTTGGCGTTGACGGCAGCCGCGAAAGTGGAGGTGATGGGTCAATGGACGTGGGTCATATTGACCCTAGATCTGACGAAGCAACCTGGAGCACGATCGTCAATCGTGAGATCGCTGATCCAGCAGGCTTCATGTCCACTTGCGCGTGGGGCGATCCTTGCTGTATCGCTCGCTCGAGACGATGATCCTCCAGCTGAATGAAAATTGACAATCGATTGTCAATGGACGTGTGTATTCAGGAAGTCCGATAAAGACAACGGGGGCCGTCATTCTTCAAGCAAAACCCAGGGAGCCCAGGGGTGTTCCCTTCCATTGCCCCTCTCCTTCCTCCTGCTTCTCCTCCAGGAGCACACAGTGGCCCCCGCACGAAACGAAAAAAAAAAAAAGGAAGGTACAAAGCAGACCAGAGGGTGACGGGGGGAGGCGGGCGAATGAAGCCGCAGCAAAGTGCAGAACCAAGATTGAGCGCATGAAATGAGAGAGGATTGCACGCCACTTGGGGGTTTACTTCTTCAGCTCGTAAGACAGATTGCAGGGCTTCTTGGGCAGCACAACCAGCGAGGTAAAGTCGGCCTCGGGGAAGATGGGCTTGCCATTTTTGTCTTTCGGCAGCTCGAGCTGAATGCGGCGCAGCATCATCGAGATGATGGTCTTGACCTGGACAAAGGCAAAGGCCTCGCCGATGCAGCGGTGGCGGCCGGCACCAAAGGGCAGGAAGTGGCTCTTGGCGCTCTTCTGGGAGATGTCGACGCCGTTGATGGTCCACTCGCCAGCGCCCTCAGTCGAGTTGACGTGGCGGGTGGGGTCGAAGGTTTCGGGATCGGGGAAGCGAGTGGAGTCATACTGCGAGACGGTTGGGGACATACACAAAAAGTGGCCCTTGGGGATGGTGTAGCCTTGGAACTCGCAGTTCTTGACGACCTTGCGCATGAGCGTGTGGAGGGGTGAGTGCATGCGCAGGGTTTCCTTCATGGTGTTGTCGAGATAGGTGAGCTGTCGGAGACTGTCGTAGTCCAGAGGAGGGAGCTGATCAGCAGGAGTGTCCGGGCGGCCGGTCAGGACCATGGACTGCTCGCGCATAATCTCCTGCGCGATCTTGGGGTTCTGGGCCAGGTGTAAGAGGATCCAGGTGGTGGTGGTGGAGCTCGTGTGCTGGCCGGCCATAAGCAGGGCAATCATCAAACGGGCAGCCTCCATGTCGGTGAGGGGCTTGCCGTCCTTGTAGGACGAGTTCATCAAGTTCTGCAGGACATCGTAGTTGTCCGACTTGTTGTTGGTGCGACGGTCCTTCATGATGTCGAGGAAGAGCTTGGTCATTTCGCGGTTAGCGTGGTCACGGCGAATGTAGGCGGGCAGAGGGAGCCACTCGAAAAAGACGTTGATGGGAGCAAAGCCTTCATCGAGGTGCTTGTAGTGGATGGCGACTATGATGGAGCCAGTGATTAGCTCAAGAGCAGGCAAAGTGGCGCAAGCGATGCCATGCTGCCAAGTGGCGACGTTGAGGCCCGATTCTGTTGGGGGACGATCCAAGAGGAGGCACAGCCGGGGCACCAAGAGGGCAATAGAGCACGCCACACAGCTGCAAATTACCTTCGGAGTGGAGCTTCGAGCGGACGTCAGAGCCCATGAGACAGTGCGAGGCTGTGCGGATGGTCAGTTCAGCCATGGCCGGGAAGATCTCGAAGGAGTCAGACTTGGGCGCCCAGCTGTCCAAGAAATCGTTGGTTTCCTGAGCGATGATGGAGATGTACTCGCGGAAGGCGGCGGTGGTCAAGCTGTCCTTGATGAACCTGCGAGGCAAGCAGAGCAGATGGATGTGGGATGCAAAGTGAGCATATGGACGGCAAGGGATCTCGGATGACATGGCCAAGGTCGCCAGAGGTCGCCAGAGATCGGATGCCGAAAGAGATGTTGGATACCGCTGGATCTGACGCTGTGTCGGCACAGCCCGCTGGGAGCAAAGGGGACATACTTTTTCTGTTCCATAAAGACGGGGTTGGGCACGTCGTAGACGACTTCACGGCCAAAGACAGGGGCCGTCAGTTTGCGATAGGCATCCTCGGCGCTGGCCTCGGCGAGTTTGATATTGAAGCCAAAGTTGTTTCCGTCGGGGCCGAGGCAGTAGGTCATGTTTCTGCCCATCATGGTGAAGGTGAAGCAGTCGCCGTACTTGGCCTGGCACTCTTGCAGGAACTTGATGGGCTGGACGCCGAACTGGACGGCGGCGCCAAAGAAGGGGATGGCAGTGGGGACATGCGGGGGCAGCTTGGCGCCCTTGGGCAGCGGCTCGGCCTCAGACTGCCGGAGAGTCGTTCGGAAGTCGATTCCGGAGCAGGATCCCGCATGCCAGCGCAACATTGGAGAGATTTGGTTGCCGCGGAGTGGAAGGCCGCCGAACAAGAAATGGCCGAACGATCGAGTGCGGTGCGCAGCACGGAGGCAATTGAAGCAATCAACGAGGGCAGTGAGGTTGGATCAGTTAGATTCCGAGGCGGTATAGACCCATAGCCCCAGCCCAAACTGCCTGCCGACCCGATGTATTCACTCGATGGATCCAAGCAGCTTTGTCGGTACGTCGCCGGCCTGTCCGTGCTTGGCGACGACTGCACGACAGCGAGCCGATGGTGACGAGACTCCCGGACAGAGATGCACACCAACCTTGGAAGTCAGCAGCGAGATGAAGACGACGACAGCCAGGGCAGCAAAGATCAGCTGAACGGTCTGATCTGACAGCCCGGAGACAGCAGCCAGCTTGGCAACGATAAGATGGAAGCGGGCGCTGGCGCCGTGGACGACATCGGCGACGGGGGCCGGGAGACGGTCGAGGGCCGAGGCGAGCAGGCCCTTGGTGTGGATGTGTTCCAGGAAACTCATGGGAGCGGCGGCGACGACGACGACGACAGCGATCCAGGACCAGCGAAAGGCAGAGCGAAGGACAGCGAACGGGAGGGCAGGGGGCGGGTTAAAAAGGGCGCGACGGGAGGGCACACAGACGACCAGATCGGTGCCAGCCCAGGGCAGCCGGGATCGCGACGGCCGATGTCATGATTGCAGTTTGGCGGGATGGTCGGCTGTGAGTGCCGCTGCGAATGTTGATGCAGTCCCGGCTGTTATCGCTCGGCCGGTGGCGGTAAGTGTTAGCAACGTCGATTGACAGCATCGATTAACAACATCAGTTGACAACATCAGTTGACAACATTGGTTGACAACATTGGTTGACAGTGCAAACGAACGACCTGGCGCTGATGCTGTACCAGCAGCACTATAACAGCAGCACTATAACAGCAGCACTATAACAGCAGCACTACAACAACGGCTATTGCACAACAGCGATCCACAACGCCCCAGATCGGCAACCCGATCCAGAGTCGAAAATGGTACAATTACTGCCAAATGAGGCAGGATGTGAGCGGGGGTGAGGCGATGCGAGTCACGCCCCCGTCTGCCAGTCAGCCCGCCTCTCGCCGTGGCCTCGTCTCGCCCGAGCGAGATGCAACTCGGGGGATGGCTCGCATGCCTGCCTCGGATGGTGCAGACGGCCAGACATGCTTGCAGCAGGTCGGCTGGGAATCGTATGGAGCAAGTGCAGTGCAGGACCATTGCAGGACTGCGTGCAGAGCCGTCGGCTTCCCGGCCAGCGAGGCGAGAAGCGAGGCGAGAAGCGAGAAATGAGACGAGGACGATGACATCACTGTGAGCCTGCGCGGCACCCGAAATGCGAAAAAACCATTGGCTGTGGCGCGAGTGGGCCGATCTGGCGGCAATCCGGCTCCAGGCCAGCCACGGACTGGCTGCCGTTCCGTGCACGGCTTCCTTTTTTGGCTGCGCGGGCAACACAATGGCCCCGCCAATCGATATTGCGGGCGTGTGTGTGTGGCGGCCAATCAGGGACACAGACACGTGTTCACAAGACACACAGACACAGCACAGACACAGCACAGACACAGCACAGACACAGAACGCGGACACAGGCGGACACGCCCACCCCTCGCCGACCAACCATAATTCGCCCTGCGCTTGCGCTTTTTCTGTTGGTCCGTGTCGCTTGCCGCCCAACCGATAAGGCCCTCCTGGCCTGTGCGACTCCCCAAAACGGGCATCGGCCTCGGCAATCGCCTTCCAGTTGTTCTCTGGCCACTTCCGCCATATAAGCCTGCCTGGCCTTGCTCGTCTTGCTCCTCCATCCTGAGTCTGCTGTCGCCCCAGCCGTCTGCTCCCGCTCCATCCGCACCTGTCTCTGCCGCCATGCTGTCCTCTGCCTCCAAGAAGAACGAAGCCACCAACGTCGGCATTGTCGCCATCGAGTTCTACTTCCCCAAGAAGGTACATGTCTGTCACCTTGCGATCTGCTGGCTGCCATGCGATCCCTTGGCCGTGCTGCCAACTCGCCAGAACCCATGATCGCCGCCGGGCTCGGCAACAGTCGCACCCTTTTCGCTTGCCGGGAATTGCATTTGCTGCAGCTTTCCCATCCGCTCTCTGCAATGGGCTCTCGCGGCTGTGGCCAGCACCGCATCAGCACTGCGTTTGCTGCTCCGCCCGTCAGCGATTCTGGACTGACGTTTCGATTCGTGTCTCGATCCCCATCCTCCATTCAGTTTGTTGACCAGGCCGAGCTCGGTAAGTCGATCCAGCCGTGTCGCGGCCCTCACGTCCATCTCCGTGGGCGATTCGTCGGCTTCCGGGTTGCAATTGTGTGCCATCCAGCTCTCTACCAGTGGCACGATCGGCCCTGCTAGATCAGCCTTGCTAGATCAGCTCGGAGCAGCGTGCTGTGGACCCAAATGACTCACCCGTAGTCGCTCTCGGACCACAGAGCAGTTCGATGGCGTCAGCGCCGGCAAGTATACCATCGGTCTTGGACAGACCCGCATGGCCGTTTGCGATGATCGCGAGGACATCCACTCTCTGGCTCTCACCGGTTTGTATTCCTCCAGTCTCTTGGGAGTCGTGCATTGCGAATGTGGGGGCCTTGCCTGCGGTGACGGCCCATCCGTCTGCACATCCGTCTGCACATCCGTCTGCGCATCCTGACGACCTGCGTGCTCTGTTTCCCTGCAGCCGTCCAGAACTTGATGGAAAAGTACAACATTGCCTACACCGACGTCGGCCGCATCGAGGTCGGCACCGAGACCATCATCGACAAGTCAAAGTCCGTCAAGTCCGTCCTCATGACCCTCTTTGAGGAGTCTGGCAACACCGACATCGAGGGCATCGACACCACCAACGCCTGCTACGGCGGCACCAACGCCCTCTTCAACTCGATCAACTGGATCGAGTCCTCTGCCTGGGACGGCCGCTACGCCCTCGTTATCGCCGGCGACATTGCCGTCTACGCTTCCGGCAACGCTCGTCCCACCGGCGGTGCTGGTGTGGCCGCCATCCTCCTTGGCAAGGACGCTCCCATTGTCTTCGATGCCGGTGTCCGTGCCACGCACATGCGCCACGTCTACGATTTTTATAAGGCCGATCTCCACTCCGAGTTCCCCCAGGTCGACGGCCCGCTCTCCAACACCTGCTACATCAGCGCCGTCGACACTTGCTACCAGCGCTACCTCAACAAGCTGCAAAAGTTCGACTCGGCCCTCCCCGCCCCCACCCTCGACGACATTGACTTTTTCCTCTTCCATTCGCCCTACACCAAGCTCGTCCAAAAGTCCTTTGGCCGTCTCGCCTACAACGACTTTTTGCGCGATCCCGAGAACCCCAAGTACGCCGACTATGCCCGCTTCAAGGACGAGTCCGTCGAGGGCTCCTACACCAACCGCGACCTCGAGAAGGCCTTTGTCGAGTTCACCAAGGCCAGCTACGCCAAGAAGGTTGTCCCGTCGCTGCTGCTGTCCAAGAACCTCGGCAACAGCTACTGCGGCTCCCTCTACAGTGGTCTTGCCAGCTTGCTGTCGGAAGTGCCCTCGGAGCAGCTGGTATGTGTCTTTGGCATATGTATATATATGTGTGTGTGCAAACGAGCGAAATCCCCAGCTCGATGCTTTGGCAACATTCACTCGTCCTGTGGCTGCCCCCTCTAATGCGCCCTGCTCTCCTTGGTCTGTGTTTGGCCATGGCCGCCTCTGCCCCTCCAGCAAAACAAGCGTGTCGTCCTGTTCTCGTACGGCTCTGGTCTGGCCTCCTCCATGTTCTCCTTCACCGTCCGCGGCTCCACCGAGGTGATTGCCGAGAAGCTCTCTCTCAAGAGCAGACTCGAGGCCCGCACCAAGATCTCGCCCCAGCGCTTCGACGAGGTCATGGCCCTTCGCGAAAAGGTCCACAACGTCAAGGACTACGATCCCATCGGCCCTGTTGACGAGGAGAACTTCTTCCCTGGATCCTTCTACCTCGAGCGGATCGACGAGAAGTTCCGCCGTGCCTATGGCCGCACCCCCACTGCCTAAGCGCCGTCGGACCTGCCAGACCCCGGCCGACCGACTCCTGGACATGGCCTGTCCGCTGCGCCGCACTTCCCTGTATCCCAGCACACTCTCACCATCATGACCCCTTGTATTCCTCGTTTCTGGGCGCTCTCGCTTGCCGCCCGGTGGTTGCTCCTTTGCGCTTTGTCGGCTCCTCCCCTCGAACCCTGCCCTTCTGTCCTCGCCCTCGACACACATACGCACACTGGCTTTGCTTCATAGATCCTGCCTGCCTTCTGTGCTCCTCCGCCCCAGAGCCCGGCTGCGCAGGTCCGAGATTCGATCAAGCTCCTTTGCACACGTTTCTTTGGCTTTGCTTGCTATTCCCATCCCCGTCCGTAATGCGCGGCAACTGCATTTCCTCGCTCGGCCCCCATGTATAAAGTTTTTGTTCACAGATACGAGAGCGCACCCATTGCTCCCATAGGATTGATTCTGGTTGGGTGGAGGGGTGCCAGGGTCCACCGTCATGTCCCAACGTCCGGTCTGTCCGGGTGCTGGCAGCGTCCGCCTGGCATTTGCATGGCCGCCGCTCAGATCCCGAATCGCCTGTGGCCCCACAGGAACGACTGGCCAACAAAGTCCATCCTGCGGATGCATGTCGCTCATGATCACAACACAGCCAGCGATCGATCCGCTCGTCGGATGCACGATCGGAAGCACTCTGCGCACTACTGCCCCGCACAACATCAGCGCTGCTCAGGGTGCCGTTTCATTTCGAGCTTCATCTTGCCGTTCATCTCTGGCTCGCCACTGCTCGACAATCGTTCCCCTTCTCTCGCTACCCACACTGATCACCACTCCGTGAACCGATCGCCGTCCGTTTCCGCAAGGTATAGCCAATGAAGAAGAGCCGCATGGGAGATGCGGTCGAGGCTGCGTCCTACCGCTGTGCACGACACAGATCTGTCTCTGGCGGGTGCTGCCTCCAGCATCTCGCTCGTTTGCGAGCAGGAGAATGCAGCGATGCTGTCTGGGCTGCCGCGTGCGCCGTCGCAGTCTCGGCTCAGTTTTTTTTTTTCCCTCCTTTCTGACGGACTCGATCTCCCTTCTTCTTGCCCGCCCCTCCACCCAATCTGCCCTCTGCCTCCCGCCATGAAGATTTCCCCGACCATGTTCTCTCGCTACATCCCAATCATCTCGTCCAAGGTGCCCTCGCATGGCCCTCAGCTGCTGCTGGGCACCAGCTCGAGGATGATGAGAGTGGGCAAGTATCCTCATCATCGTGACTCGACAGCGATGCTCGACCGCTGTTGGGCCTCGGCCCGATCAGTCTGCCCTGAATTCGTCGAGTCGCTGCTGGTCAGATCCCTGGAATATGGAAACCGGTCCGCTGATGCTTCTCGCCCCATCTCCATCGTCACCGTCGATATTTGGCGATGGGTCGCTTTGGATCAACCAACTCGTTCCGGGCGCATGCCTTTGGCACCTCCGACCTGTCCCCGAACGCATCCGCAACCAACCCTGGCTCTCGATCGCTTGCGCCGTTAGTCTGGCATCCCTCCAACAACCTCGCCAGTAAGTCTCGATCTCTGCACCTTGCCCTGGTCAACAAACTCCTCTCCTGGCCCTGCTGCCTCTTCCCCTGCCATTTGCAATCGATCTTATCGGCTGTCACGGATTCTCGCTCACGCAAACCGGCGCTCTCTTCTGCGGCTCACAACAGAGGCTGCCGTTCGCTATGCATCGCATGCTGCCTCGCCCTCAAGCGGCGCTGCTGGATTTGCGACCTCGGATCCTATGGCCGAGAAGGCGCAAGAGTGGTTCGAGCACGGCCACAAGCTCTGGAACGAGGGAGTAAGTGCACCTCGGCCCTGGAGGATCGTACATAGCGACCATCCTTCTTCGCATGGTGCTGTGGCATCCTAGAACATGACGCCGTCCCCACAGCATTATCCAGACACTCACCCCACCCCTTGTCTCTGCAACTCTGCCGCTTCTGCAGGACTGTGCCGGTGCCCTGGAGGCCTATGAAAAGTCGGTCTTTTCCAAGCCTACTGGCGATGGCTACTACAATGTGGCCAACTGCTACTACTCGCTCGGCAAGCACGAGAAGGCCATCTCGGCCTGGAAGCGCTCGCTGGAGATGTCCCCGCGAGCAGATGCCCATGTGAACCTGGCCAACGTCTTTGCCCTCGTCATGAAGGACGCTGACCAGGCTGTCTTTCATTACAAGGAGGCTCTCTTGATCGAGCCTCTTGACGGCGAGATCCACTATAACTGTGAGTACACTTCGAGCGATCCTGTGCGATCGCCGAGGCTTTCGTCGCTCGTGCACACTGTGCCCGGTCCGCAATCTCATTCTTCCGTGCTGAATCTCGTCCTTCACTTGCCGCGTTTCTCTTTCGCAATCGACTCGCTCATCGCTGCACCTGGAAAATGATGGGACTGGATCTCGCTCAGATGCCGTCGTTCTGGATTCCCTTGGACGTATCACCGAGGCCATCGAGGAGTACCAGCTTGCCCAGCGCGCGGGCATCGATGCTTCCAAAAATCTGAGAAACGCCCAGGCCAAGCTCAAGGCCCAGGAGCTCAAGGACCAGGAGCCCGACGACAAAAAATAGTCTTGTGTTGACTCGAGCCATACACGCATCTCGGTCGGCGAGTCGATCATCCACATTCAACTGCATCTGCACTTTCTCGTTCCCCCGCTCGTCGGCCTTTGGTCCAGTCGCCGCACACCCTTCCACCTCCGCATGGTCCAGCAGAACATTTGCTGTCGCGCTCATTCTGCATCTTGTCCGACATCGCGACGCTTTGACAACATCCTTCGAATTCCAATATAATCTGTGCACTGAGCCTTCATACTGTCCAAAGCGTCCCAAAGCCGGAGAGCACCGGCTCCGATGTCGATCGCTGCGGCCACCGCCTGATTGCGTGCCGACAAGACCATCATCCGAGCAGCTGACTCATCAGCAAGGGTTTCCGCACAGCATTCGAGAATCCTTCGTTGAACTTGTAGGTAACCTGGGGCTTGGGATCCGCATTTGCTGCCGCATCTGTTGGCCACCGCAGTTCGGAAATCGGGCTGAGTCACTGTCTTTACCATGCAGATTGCGCTCTTGATTTGGAGGTTGGACTTTGCAGTTGGTGCAAGCCGCAGTAACCCTCTCGCCATCTTCTCAAGACAGAGCCATATTTCCTCCCCCCCTGAGCTACACTCCCTCCCTGCGTAACGCAATACAATCCGATTCGCGAGTCGCAGGCATGCTTACTCTCTTTCTCCTGCTTCTTCTGATCCACCAGAATCGGCCGGCCGAAAAAGTCTCTCGCAACCTGTATGCATTTTGGATACACCGGGTTACTTTTGCCTGGAAAGCACCTCTTGCTCCCAGCCACATTCTCACTTGCACGGGCGAATTCACTTACAGCCTCTGACTCAATGTCGAGCTTCTTGGGGACCAACTTGGGCGACTTGAGCCTTAGAAGTAGAAGGAAAAGCGGAGCAGGATATTGAGCATCCAAATGCAGTCGGCAACGGTGGCAATCATGACGACGGCAGCACAACGGCATCATAAGTGCTCCCGCCTTTGCTTGGTGGCGACCCTGATCCAGCAATCGCTGATGATTATCGCTACTCAGAGAGCGACAAAAGCCCAACTCACCCCGCCGGGGCGTGCGCTGCTCTTGACTTGGTTGGAGAACCAAACTTTGCACTTGACGACCCAGCAACGACTCGCTTGCCACCAGTGATCCCCCTTTCGTCGACTGCGGGTGCTGCAGTGCCCGCTCGTTCGCGAGTGTGGAGCTCTGTCCGGATCAGTCGCTCTTTTTCGATCTGGGCGAGGACAGCGGAACGTTACTTTCATCAACCGATGACATATCAAGGAAGTTGCTCCGGCCAATCATATGCCAAAGCCGTCTCGCGTCCAACAAACCTCCTGAGCGATCATTTGCTTGATGGCGTATGGCCACGGTAAAATATTCTTTGGCGCCGCAATGCTGTCGAATCCAACCGAGCCATTCGAAAATGACTGGATGAAAGTATCGATCGGCCTGCGCAGGAGAAGTGTTTAGTGGGTTTGTCGATTGTGGGAGGCTCGCGTCGGTTCGTCGGTGAAGGTTGGAGAGCAAAGATATCCCAGCCTCCAAAAGCAGATCCGCCAGATCAACTTACGGATCCAAGCGATAGCTGTATGCTGCCTCGTCAGAGCGCTTCTGCTGGCGGAACTGGAGGCCAAAGTCGATCATGATGTCCACCAGGCGGTCCAGGACTGCCTTCTCCTCGGCCTTGAGAAGCTGCACGTTTCCCTGCAGAGCCAGTAGCCACGAGCAAGCCACCGATGTGTCAGCCCTGTCGCTTGCGTATGTCGCCCCGCTTCCCACGCTGTCGCGCGCAACACCCCCATCTGGGGTTCATGATGCAAGAAAGGCCGCTGTGTGTACTCACTTGCCGCATCTCTGGCGAGACGATGCGCAACAAGAAGGGCAGCAACTCCATGATGACCATGGGTTCGTTGGTCCAGCGCCGCCGGCTTCCTGACGACATGCTGTGGAGGAATGACTGCGAGATGTTCTGCAAGCCCGCCGTCTTTTGGAGATTCTGTGGGAAGAGATCACAGCTTTAGTCATGAAGGCCATCGCTTACATCCAAGGTGACCCGGCCCTTGGTTTCGGCTGGCGGACAAAGATTGGCTCGGGCTCGAGCCCTGTGTTTCTAGATCTCCATCATCCTCGCTGTGCAACCAACCTCGAGCTCTCGCCGTGGGTATTCGATCGCTGGCGGCAAGGTCGTCGAAAATAGCCGATGGAAGGTTGCGATGACGGACGGGTAGTACGCCGCAAAGTCGTACTGGTGGTGCTGGACGCGACGATGGACTTGATCATAAAAGTACATCCAGTCCAGAGCCTGCTCGATCTTTGAGGGCGCGCCGCTGTTGAGGGTGCTTGTGGTGTCGAACACGTTCATGCGGGGATAGTTATGGAAGCAGCCTGGGGGCAAAGCAGGCCGTCAGCTGCGTCCTGTCCGGGGCGAGGCAGCATGCCATTGATCGCCGCGCTGCCCTCCAACACTGCATAGTGTTGCTCTCCTTACCCATCATGACCTTGTCATACTCTCCGCTGGCATGGACAAGCGCAAAGATCCGCGAGATGAAGCGATTCGACAGGTCCTCGGCTGGTACAGCAGCACAGCGCCTCGAGTTAGTCAGGGGCACGATGATCCCAAAGGCTGTCGAGATCTGCGCTACCATGCACGATGGGATGCGATGCAATGCAGAGTGCCGGCGGTGAGGGGACATGCTAAACCTTTTGGATCGACTCGCACGGCCGAGTCGTGATCGGGCCGGCGCCCTAAACTGGATCGCTTCGAGGCGCTCGTGATGGTGAAGACGTCATCCCACACTCGGAATAGCGAGCGCTGCATATCTTTGTGACCAACGTCGACCGTTTTCAGCGTATCCATGTTCATGACCGAGAACTTTTTCTGGATGAATTGAATCGTATTCAGCGAGCTGCGAATATCGCCCTCGGTCATTTCGCAGAGCGCCATGGAGGCCCGCAGGTCCGTCTGGATCCCCTCGTATCGGCAAATGTCGTAGATGCGCTTGGCCAGGAGCTTCATTGCCGGTTTCTGGAAGTTGACCATGTGTGCGATCATACGCAGATTTCGGAGGACCGGGGCATACCTGAGTGTGTTTTTTGTATCCGCCAACGAGAGAGCCACATCAAGTCAGTATCCTGCTGGGCATGCCTCCAGCTTCGCCTCCAAAGCGAGCGAGCTTTGGTGTGACTTACGGGTCGTTGCAAATGCAGATGATGGGTCGCAGGAGACCAGTGCCCTTCTTTTTCTTTCCTTTATCCGCTGCGGAGCCATCTGGTTCATGATCGCAAGATGCGTTGGAAGACACGTCGTCAGATGGTGAATCCAGGATTTGCTTCACAAGCACTCAATGTCGCTGTGATGCATCTCAGAAACCAGGAACACTCGGGGCGCATCCATTACCTCCGTCGGCGGGGGCCTTGCTGTCTGAGTTGACCAGATCGGTCAGGACTTTGATAAAGTTCTAGAACGCAGGAGGAGAAGCGTCGGTCACAGTTGGCCACAGTCGGTTACAGTCGGCCACAGTCGGCCACAGTCGGTTACAAGCAGCAGCAAAATTATAGGCTTGAGGTGCGCGCATCAGCACTGCAGCAACCGAGCCGTCCGATTAATCCATTGCTTCTTCTCCCCAAAACCTTCACACCCCACGCTCTAAACTCGCGTTCAGAGTAGCCAGCAAGATCCATACCTGATCACCAGCGCCCGATGCGCTCGCGCCGTCAATCTCGTCAATAATAATCAAGTTTGGCCTAGATCCGCTGATGGAATGCGATTCGAGTGCACCCTTGAGCTTCCTCGATAGCATGTCCCCGGTGCGGTCGTCGCTACATCGCGTGAAAAGTCGTTGGCACAGATGTCAGAGTCTGGACTGGTGGGGCGGACTGCACGCGATGCTTGGGCCAAGAGCCATCCAGTCTATAGTACAAAGCACGCAATAGCAGCCACGCAATCAGAGCAAGAGCAAACCTGGCGTTGATTTCGATCACGTTGTATCCGCAGTGGGTTGCCACGACATTAGCAAGGGTTGTCTTGCCGAATCCCGGTGGGCCTGAGAGCATAAGAATCTGCCACATAGAGACAAGCTCACATGTTAGGCAGCCGTGGCAACATCGGGCCCAGTGTAATCATAAGAAACACCTACTCGCTTGGAGGGGCGATGCAGAGGATCGGTGTTGGCCTGTGAGTCGGCGAGCGATGCGGACAGCAAGAGTAGTCAGTCGGTGGCTGACCAAGGGATCATTTGCCCATCGTCCATCAGTCAACAGGAGGGCGTATTGCTCGTTTTAGGTCCACTTGACCCGGGCGCCTACCATTTCGTTGCCACCATCGCCTGTGCGCTTGCGGGTCTTCGAGAGTTGATGGGCAGTGCTTCTCGATGATTTGCCAAACACACAATACTCCCACTCCTTGACCCATATCAGCACTTCACGATTGATCGACTGAGTGTAGATAAGAGCCGCGTATGAGTTGGTGCTCGAGGTCAGGGGGGGGGGCATACCCGAGGCAGTGGACTCGGATCTACGGCGTCGTTCATCAGATGAGCAAGTCGGATACTCTCACCTCGTCTCCGACAAGGTCGATATAGGTCCGTGGCGAGTACTTGTTGACAAAGAGGTCGTGCCGATGCTTCGCTTTGTCGTGTGACACACCTGGGTCCTGTTTCGGTTCCGGATTGCGGGCCATAACTTCTGCTGTGGTGACTTGGGCTCGCTCATTATATCCAATTGCTTCGAGCTCCTTTTCTTTTTCGCACTCGCTCATCAGTCGCGCGATGTCGACGCCAAGGAGGCCTTTGCTTGTTGGATTCGAGCGTTCGGAGGTGACCAATTCAGAGATCTTTGCCTGTCGTCGAACATCCGCACCGAACGCAAAGTACATCCGCGTTCCGCCCGATGAGACTGCCAAGTGAACACCGGCCGAGTCGGGGACGATCCGGTAGTCTTTGACCGTCGAGACAGCCGAAGGTTTGGTTTTCGTTGTGGTGGGGGAAGGGACCAGAGGCCCTGTTTCCTTTGAAGACCTGGAGGTCTTCTTCGCACGAAGCGGATACGCCGACGGCGCCGGGCTCTCTTGATCCGATTCACCGCCTGGATACGTCAGGACTTCGTCAAGGGAGTCGAGTGGTGTGTGTGAAAGCTGCGACAGATGGGGTTGGCTTGGGGACTCGGCGGTGCTCCTCTGTGGGCCGCTGCGCGCATGGTGCTGTTGGAGAAATGCAGTTGAGCTGTCTTCCAATCGGCGCTTGCCCAGGCGCTTCTCAAGGAGTCGTCGCTGCTCTTCCTCCCGCAGCTCGGGATCAGAGTCATCGTCCGAGCTCATCAGTCGCTGCGTGGATAGGCTTCCGGTAGCCCCAGTCCCAGTTCGGTACAGCTCAGCTTGGCGATCGATGCTATTTCCGGCGGCATTTCGGCTCACACCGACATCGGGGCCGGGTCCGATTAGTGTTGGCGCTGTACGCTCTGCTGGTATCAAGTCTCGCCCAAGGATCCCCTGTGCAGAGAATACCAGAGTGCATCGCCGCATCGAGTTAACAGAAGTAACGACGTCCGAAGGACCTTCAAATTGGCGTCAACCACGATCGACGGCTGCACCATATCAAGCCAGTTGAGACAGACCTGCTCGCCTGCCACGGGGTTGGCTTCGGTCTCAGGCTCGGAGTCCGAGTCCATCGTCAGCAGAACCCTGCTGGCTGGCTTTGGTACGACTGTAGTAGTCCGCCTGCCCATGTTCGTCAGCCTCGTTGTCTCCTCTGCAGATTGGGCTCCGTGTAGCGATGAGAGTGTCGGCGCTAGCGTCAGCATTTCCGCATCAGAGTCCGAGTCCGACGGATGGCCCGCGGTCAAAACCTCATCATCGTCGCTGGAGTCGCCGTCGAGTCCCGAGCGTGTTCGCTGTGTCGATCGCTGACTCAGTTGGCTTTGTTGGTTTGGGGATCCAAACAGGGGGCGGACGACGGGGAAGTTGGTCAGGGAGAAGGAGCTGTCGAGGTCGCTGGGAACGGGGGCCCCAGGCCGGCTGCTTTGTGCGTTTCTCAGCGGCGACGAGTTGATGGGGAGTGGGCTTGAGGGGTCGGAATGCAGGGCCCCGGCCTGATTTGCATCCCCGTCGTCGTCGCCGTCCTGGCCATGGTACGTCGCAAACAGGTTTCTTCGAACATTGCCACTCGGTTTTGAAAACATGATCTCTGGTCGGTTGCGGCCGCCGGCATGATCCGTGCGATTGTGGGAGAGATGCGGCCGACGAAAGGGAGCCGGAGCAAAGCAGAGGCCGTCAGCCAAGATCCAATGCAATTAAGGCCAGTGCGACAGAGGTCCAACGACGACACAGCTAGCAACGACGTCCAGATCAGTGTGTGCCTGTCTCAAAATGAGCCGGTCGGGCATCTGTAGTCTTCTCCGGCGGAAATCCTGGATGCGGGCGGATAGCGCTGCTCACCGGCTGGATCGCGAAGTTCGCTCGTTTGCTCCTCCTCGCGCACAGCACTCCAGGCCTCTTCGTCGGCGTTGACCTCGCCATGAGCATCGTCCTCTTCCCAGCCAATGTCGGTGAAAAGCGCAGGTGGCTTCTTGGGCGGCTCGGCCATGCTTTCGGGTGCGGTGTCGAGTCGATTGAGCAAGAAGTCTGCAGACACAACCTTCGCCGCCTCTCGAATGCCGCCGATCTGACGTGTGTGTGTGTCGGATTTCCTTATTTGGCTATATACAGCGCCTGTCGCGTGGCCAACGAGTCGATCGCCGGGGTCTCTGACGCACGGCGGCGTGAACAGCACAAAGCACCACCCAAGCTGCTTCACCATGGCTCAGTTTATTCAGTGCAAACGGGCACCAGGATTCGCTTTCGACTGCCCCTGTTTTGGATGCGAATGGACGCACGCATATGCATCCTGCGCAATGTCCCATGTTTGTTTTGGACCTGTGGCTGCATTCGGCGAGGGGGAGGGAGCAAAGCTGCAACAATCCACAGTGTCTCGGCTGTGTCGGCTGCTTGGGGTCAGAGGCATGTTCGAGCAGTGTTGCGGAAGCGCCAACAGAGCAAAGTGCAGCAGACGTAACCGTGGGCAGCTGCAATGATGGAACAGGTCGTCCGCAGATAGGGTCTCGCATGTGGCAGAGCTTGCTCAATATGTGCTTGGGCATCTGAGTCGCCAGACCACGGCAGCTTCATGATCCAGGTGCGGCCTTGTCCATGGTTTCGAGCCACCACCGCCGTCTCGACACGATCGCCTCGCTTTTGCGCCGTTCAAGAGACAAAAAGGCATCAAACACCGGGCGCTCGTTCCAGTGCTGCTCGTTCTGCCGCTGGCGAATGATCTGGTCGTCCGACTCGTCAAAGATCAGCTTGCGAAGGGCAGGATCCAGCTGTGCCAAATCAAAGTTGTGTTCGAGGATCTTGCGGGCTTTGTAGAGACATCCACTTGCCATAAAACATGCCCGCCGTATGTCTCTGTATTTGAATTGCCCCTCAAAGTCTTGTTCGAGGCGCTTGAATTCCTGCATGTAGTCGTGCTTGGCATTGTTTGTAACCCGGATGGGCTTGCCGAGCGGACTGACGATCGCCTTCCGCCGTTGGTTCGCGGGGGGATTGGGTGTTCGCAACCGACGATCGGAGTGTGCTCGGCTGTATGGCTCGGAATCGAGATCCATCGCCATGGACGAGGATTTGGCGGCCTGTTTTTCACGGCGTCTCATGGCCGCTGCTGACAGTCGCGCTCTGCTCCTTTCTTCTGGCTCGTTATCGTCGGAAATGACGAGTAACTCGCTGCCTGACGGTTCTTCGTGTGAGGGGGTGTTCAGCACACGCTGAGGGCCAGTGGGTGCATCGCCGGCCTTTACTCGCTTGTCGAATCGACCAGGCGACAGGGCGTGCGCTCCACTATGCTCTCGTTTGCGCTTTGCTGATGGTGCACTGACTCGGTCTCTCTCGGCTTGCTGCGGAAACCGGTGGTCGATTTGCGGGTTCGAAAGCCTTGCGCTTGCACTGCTGGTCTTGACGAGGCTTGGTCTGCGGAACACAGGGCTTGCTGAGCGCAGACGGCTGTCATTTTTGCTGCCTGTGGCGACTTGGCGAGACTTGCGCAGCACACGTACGTCGGCGCTGCTGTCAATGACGACAACTGGATCAAAGGTTCGTCCATGAGTGGCGGGAGCGCTTCGCTCATTGATGGGACCAGGAGGACCGCTGGGCCGTCTGGGTTCTGCCGCCTCAGCCACGGATTCGACCGGCTGTGAGGTCTGGCCCTGGCTCGCGCTTGGATCGGGAGCAGCTTCAGAAGCGAGCCGAGGCCCACGATCCTCATGAATCTCAGTGTGCTTGTCCACGGCATTTGCAGCGGCAACGGCCAATTTCGAGACATCGTCCTCTGGTGGCTCATCGCCATATCCAGGGCTGGCGGCGCGCGGAACGAGGTCGGCTTCATGGTTGTTTGCGGTGTCATCCTCCCAGAAAATGGCAGTTACTTCGCCTAAAAAGCAAGAGTGAAGGCCGTGAGCACGCAGAACCAAGCATGCGGTTGCGCTGTGGATCTCAGGTCATGGATGCAGTCGATTGCTACATGGACCGCGGTGGTGTGGTGTGGGGGCGCTGCACATCATACACAAAGCGGTCAGCGTGCAGAGGCAGACGGTTGACCCAGAAATCGGCAGCCTGACCTCTTTTCAGTAGAGTACCGGTTTCGTCGCTGTGATTGCTGATTCCTTCGCTGTGACCGTTGGCTCTCTCGCTGCGACAATTGATTTCCTCGTTGCGTTCGCCAGACTGATTCTTGGATTGTTCCGAATCGGTTGCTTCATCAGACTCGGCCGGCTCACTCATCACCGGGCCCTCCAAATTGGGCTGCAAGATAGCGTCGCCGAGCTCAGGGCACGGATGCACAAAGTCGTCGTCGCTCTCTTGGCCCTCGTCTTCTTCTGTTCGATCGCTTGCGCTGTCCGCATGAGTGTGGTCTGGCACCGTCGAATCGCCAGCAGGTCGATGGGACCCATGCTGAGGCTCTGTGTCGTTGCTTCTATCGCCCCCCAGCACATCAGCAGGCAAAGCGGGCGCGATTTCACTCATTCCAGCCGATAGTTCTGTCCTGGCTTGGATGCCAGCAGTCACATACGCCAGCAAGGTCGCTTCGACGATTTCGGTGAATGATGCCGCAGGTTGAGTTAAAAAGACATCGCCATCGAAAATGTCCATGCTGTGGTCCATCGCTGTGTCCGATGGGTTTGCATGGTCGCTTGATGACTGTGCCTGCGTTGCGGCTTCGTCTTCGGCAAACTGCATCTGCGAGCTGGCGTCGTCGGGGTTATTTGCAGCAAAGCCCTGGGTCGCGAACAGATCCTCTAGGTCTGCGGTAAGCTGCGAATCTGACGGCAAGTCCGTCACCATGGCTTTGGGGCTTGTGAGGACGGAGTGTTGGGATAGGATTTCGTTCTGGCTCTGGTGGCGGTCCGATTGATGGCTTGGGGCAATGCTAGGGCCCTGAGAAGGGGCGCCAGAGCCGCTCTGGCTCTCCTGTGACGCATACAGCTCGGCGACGTCCAAATCATCCCGCTGCGGCGTTGTGTCCGAAGCCGGCGGGTGTTCCGTGGGCATCTGATGGCGAGGGCTCGTTGGTGTGGTGGATGGTGCCCCAGCACGAGAAAGGCTCGGGGATACCTCGGGAAACTCGCCGGGAAAGCGGTGCTTGAGACGCATAACATTGTCCGGGTCGGAGAACATCCTCTTGAACTTTATGGCATAGCGCTGGCGCCAGGCCTGCCATGTATGGCCGATGCCGTTTTGCTGGCGGAGAATGCCGGAGAATGCCGGATCGGCGAGTATGAGTCATCTTGGACGGGTCGATCGAGCGGTGCCCCGGATGATGCGCAAGATGCCTACCTCCTGCGCTAGATCTTTATAGATTTTGTTTCCACCGAGGTTGTTTGGGTAGTTTTTCAGCAGAACTCGGAGAAGAATATCGTCCTGCTCAGGGGTGAACTTTTCGCGCCTGGATTGCGTTGGTTTGATGAGCAGGTGGCGAACCGTCAGCAACATCCAAGTTCGGAAGGAGGTTGGTGCGAGCAGATTACCGACGCACATGTGGGTCAGCGAGACACCAGAGAACGACGCACGATCGAGGCACCACGCTAGCTCAAGGTCTCGATCGTCTCCCAATCGCAATCATCATCCGGCTGCTTTGACTCGCCGGCGACAACGTACTTGATGGGCACCGACACGGGGAGCTGGGGACGGGCATAGTCTTCTGGGTCAAGGAAGCGGCCGTACCGAACACAGTCATAGATGAACTGTTCGGGCAGGAAGACGGGTCCTCCAGCGGGGTCGCTGAGGTCGCTGCGGTTCTTGGCGAGCAGAGCCGATTCCTGGACCACGATGCAGAACGCCTCGCTGCCTGAGGCCTGGACGACCTTGCCACCATGCTTCTCGATATGCGCAACGATCTTGGACCGCCGTGGACCAGCCTGGACGTAGAACAGAATGGCCTCGCCGTCGGTACGGTTGAAGAGGAGCGGCAAATCCTCAGGAGGGGAGTCGGCGCCATGGACTTGCATCTGATTCAGAATCATGGCTTGAATGACGGGTTTGATCGATCGGGCGATTGGGACTGCGGCCGCCTCTGCTGCTGATGATTGATGCTGTGATGCTGCGATGCTGTGATGGAGGAGGGGGGTGTCCTTCGAATGGAACCTCGGCAGAGCCCGGCCGGTTGCTCCGGAGCTGACTGTGGGGTCGCTGCTTCAGGCGGATGGGTGACAGGCAGGTTGGCGAGGAGCGATGCGGAGCCCGCTGGTGAGCCAGCAACCAACAACCCGCGCACTCGATCCATGCACTCGATCCACACTCGATCTGCGCCCCGTTGTTGCCCAAACACGGAGTATTTGCAAGCTGGGGCGGCCTTCGACAGGACCTTCCATGATCGCACCAGCCCAGATGCCCGCCCCGGCCCAGACGCTGAAATAGGGGCGGGATGCCCCTGTTCCTGCACTTGCTCCTGCACCCGCACTTGCTCCTGCACCCGCACTTGCTCCTGCACCTATCGAAGACGCTTTGCCGCCGAACCGTCCCTGTCTTGCTCATCAAATCCCTGGTCTGTGTCGCCATGAAGCTCTCGATGCTCCTGACGCTTGCTGCTCTTCTTGTCCTGGTCGGCACCGTCCAGACAACACCCATTGTCGACGACAGCTTGGCAGACAACGCCGAGGACATGCGCCAGCGAAGCGCTGCCCGCAAGTTTGGCTTCCTCACTCCCGAGTGAGCGGCAACAAGGTCAGACAGTCCCTCAACCGGGCCTATATTCCTCTCCCGAACAACCGAGCCAGCACATGTCAAACCGCGAGCAGCTGCATTCACGTCGACAAGTGCGCACGGAACAAGCAAAGCAAGCGAGGCCAACATTGCATCGTGTTGTGCTGATACCCATTTGTACCTGCGCCGGAACTCATGCTATAACACGAATATTGGTCAATCCGCCGCATATTCATGGGCCGATTCGGATCATACAGCCAGCTCAGAGCGGGATGGGGCAGTACCCATATGCATCCTTCCACAGTCTGACAATGCCTGTTGGTGGTTTGCAGAGCACCGTCTCGAGATCCGATATGCTTTCGACAGGTTCGCCAGCTCCGTGATTTCTCGACATCAAGAGAGTCAGGTCGAACGAGACTCTTGGGCACCTCTGGTTTATTCAGGACCCATAGCAAAGTCAAACGGGTGTCACCTCCTTTCGATTTGTGTGAAATGTAACTGTCAAACATGGTGTATTGAAGCACACCGTTCGGGGAGGGCGCATACAAAGCGAGGCAGGGGACTCTGGATCAGATACTAGCATCAGCAAGGCAGAGCAAGCGCTGGCGAGCGGGCAGGTGGACTGGACTAGATCTTGCGCGGCTTGACGGCAATGTTGTACTCGGGGAACTTGAGACTCAGGGTCAGGAAGCTGCTCTGTTCCTTGGACTGGCCCTCGATATCGGTAATGTCAAAGTACCGCAGGAAGTTGGCGATGAACAGACGCATCTCCATCCAGGCCAGGTTCTTGCCGACACATGTGCGCGAGCCCATCGAGAAGGGCGTGAAGCCCATGTCTTGAAGCTTGGCGCCTTCGTCGTTGAGATCCAGGAAGCGGTCAGGGTTGAAGACGTCGGGATCTTTCCAGTATTTGGGGTTGTAGTGCTGAGGATAGAGGGCGACGTTGATCAGGGTTCCCTTGGGAATAAAGTGGCCGCCAAGATCCATGTCTTCGGTCGCCTCTCGGCCGACTCCAAAGGCAAAGGCCAGATCCATTCGCATGGTCTCCTGGAGAACGGCAGTGAGGTACGGGAGGTTCTTTGCGGTGGCATAGCTAATGGACTGGGTCCGGGGATCAAGCTCGGCGCCATCCAGCTCGTCCTGGAGTTTCTTGAGGGCATGCGGGGCGGTAAGGAGGCGAATGAAAGCAAAGCCAATAGTCTGTGGGGGGATCAGAGAATCGGCGTCAGCTTGTTAGTTTGGTAACGAGCAATGCGGGCGATGAGCAGTGTGGGCGATGAGCAGTGTGGGCGATGAGCAGTGTGGGCGATGAGCAGTGTGGGCGCGGGGGACTTACGTTCGAGGTGCTCTCGGTGCCGGAGAGAAACAGCATCAGCGTGTTGGCAAAGATCTCGGCCTCGCTCAGGTGCTTGCCCGTCTCCGAGTCGGTGGCCTCGATGATGTGCTGCAAAAAGTCATTGCGCCAGGTCTTGCCGGACTTGCGCTCGTGGATGAGACCCTTGACGATCTTGTTGACGTATTCGGTCTTTCTGCGGTTTGTTTCGTTGATGCCAAGGAAGGGGATGCGATGGAAGAGAGGCACGACCATCTTGTAGCTCAGGTAGTTGGCGATCCAGTAGATGCTGTCGACGACCTCATTCTGGTTCTTGAGAATCTATATGCAGGCAAACAGTAAAGAGCACGGGCGGATTGACAAGGAGAATCAGAAAAGTGGGGTCGTGTGGAGAACGGCCAACTCAAGCGAGAGAGTGTTGCAGGGGATCAAGACAGGCGGGCAAAAGACAAGCAGCCGACGACTCACCATCTCGAAATCAGACCCGTAGGCAACCTGCCCAATGACATCGACGGTGAACCGGCTGGCAAGGGCCCAGATGTCGAGCCTGCCGGATCCAGAGCCGTCCTGGATGCTCTTGGCGTATTCGATGGTGTTGAGGATGCAATCCTGGACGAGTGGCTCCATCGAGTTCAGGGCCTTGATGCTCAGGCCCTGGTCCTGCACACACAAAGCTCGGAATGTGAGCCCAACGATGCCTCTCACCATCACTGAGTGTGCACAAGCGCTGCTCCAAAGGCTACGCCCTCAAGTTGCAAACGAGACCCGATCGTTCACAGACCGTAGCAGCCAGAGCCCAGGGCTTAGCCAGTGAGCTTCGCCCGGTCAAGATCGATGCAGTCAGACACTTACGATCGTTCTTTTGAGCATCCTGTGGTATTTGACATCATTGGAGGCAAACATGGCCAGGACCTCGGTGCCCGTGAACTTGAACTTGCGGTAGGTCGGCGCCTTGGGAAGATCGAGGGTATAGACGATCTTCTTGGTGAGCTGGGGGTCGGAGACCGAGACGACCTTGTAGTCCAGGGCAACGACAGGGCCATATCTGGGGTGGCATGGATATCGTCAGCAGTGCAGTCAGAGACAGGTACCAGGGCAGGTGCAAGAGCAACAGGGACGGCATGAGCATGAGGAAACAGCAACCGACACAGCGGCCGGTAAACCCATCGGGAAACCTACTTTTCATGGAGCTCCCTGATGGCGGCGTGGTATTTGCCAAGCTTGCAGCGGAACAGCCAGTAGAACGAGCCCAGGAAGATGGAAGGGAATCCCTCACCAGCGCCAGGCAGCTTGCGCAACGGGGATCGCAGCCAGTACACCACCGATGCGACGTAGCATGTCAGAGCCAAAGCGACGGCAATTCCCAGGAGGTAGCCCACAAGGGACAGGAGGAGCGCGTGGACATTCGAGTCCATCAGACGGACAGGGAAGAGCGAGAGCACGGACATGATGGATCCGAGTGAGGGCGGGGCCGAGTCGATGTGGTCTCGAGCGAGGGTGTTCCTGGGAGTGGGACTCTGGCTCCTGAACCGTCGCGAGGGGAGGCAGATGAGATTTATGCGGGACGATATGGCGAGCGGTGGAAAAAAGCGCGGGTTGGCGGGGTCGGCGCTGGTGGCTGGCTGGTTGGCTGGCTGGCTGGCGGCGTTTTTTCCGCCATCGGGCGGGTGGGAGAGACGAGGGATCTGCGACAGGCCACGTCTCCGCCACCGCCGGCAGAGACAGCCCGCAGCCAAGGCGATGGCGAGATGGCGGGATGGCGAAATGGGGTTGTGTCCGTTGAGAGGGTCGCGTCGGGAGGCGGTTCAGCACAACACGGACGAGCTTACACGCAGAGAGTGGATAGGAGCAATGCCCAATGCAGAAGGTGCGAGCAAGCAAGCCCGGATTCATACAGAGGACAAGAGCGAAACAGGAGAGCGGACGCATTGCCTGGACAGCGAAGCACTGTTCTTTCAGCAACAGCACTCGTTTCTCCGCCAAAAAAGGCATCGCGGACAACTGGCAACACTGGCAGTCCGCTGTTCCGCGCTGGCCCATTGGCAACCCGCCGATGGCGGAAGAGACGAGAGGCAATGCATGTCGACCCCGAGCCGGGGGCAGGCAACAGAAACACAGGGATTGAGCGCACAGGGTCCTCTGGCTTGATCTGTGACGAATGCTGCATCACCAGCGGGAGGTCGACTGCACAGAGAAAGCAGAACGATGTCACTCCCACGGAGGCGCTGGCCGGGTCGACCCCGGAGCGATCTCGGCTACCACGACGCAGATCAGAGCGGCTTGCACGGAGAGGAGATGCTGGCACAGCAAGCAGCGACCGGAAACCCCATTCAAACGCTGATCCATTGATCGCTTTCATGGTGTGTTCGATGAACAGCGCCGACAGGAACACTGTGACACAGCACTGCAACACAGCCAGGCTCGAGCCAAAGGCGCCGGCTCGAGCCAGGCGGGGTTGTGTCGGAGATGCAGTGCGCAGCACATGTGGCTTGGCTTTGGCCCTTTCGTCCAGAGCCGCACGCCAACGCATTTGATTCATCTGGACCGAGTCAGACCAGCCTGCGATTCCAGCGTTGTCTGCGCTGAGCATCGATGGATCCACCGAGCATCGCACACGGTGGTCCCGGCGCAGCCATAAGCGAGCCAAGTCGCCGCCAGCGCGATGGCAACCAGCACGAGCAGGAAGTGAAGAAACTCGACATGGCCCTGGAAGAGTCAACCGCGGACAGTGGCCGGTCGCTCCTGCTGCCGCCTCTCCTTGCCGCGGCAGCTCTGCCGTCTGCTCCCTCGCCATCGGCCTCTGTCGCAGCCGACCATCCAAAGCCGCTCTCGACGCCGCTCTCGACGCCGTTCTCGAAGCCCCCTGCCAGTCCCGGCAGCATCCATCCCTCCGGATCGAGCTCCTTGGCCTCTGCCCACTCGCCCTCGTCAGCGGCAGTACCCCTCCCTCCACCAGCTGCTGCTGCCGGCACCGGTGGATCGTCTGTCGGCGGCTCCACCGGCTCTCCCAGCGGGTCCTCCAAGACCGCAAGAGAGTCTCGCGGAGCTGCCGTGGATGCCGGTCTGGTCTCGGCAGGTCTGCTCCCGGCCGAGTCCGTGCACAACAATGTCCACCACGATGCCCACCACGATCCGCGCCGCGGAGCCATCCAAGACCCGCCTCGTCATGCCGGCGGGCCGTTGGTCGGCGATCTCTCCGTCTCCAAGGGCCAACCCACCCCGGCCATCACCGACTCTTCTGTCGCTTCCCCGCCGTTGGCTTCTGGACCGACACCAAGCACAGATCGCATCCACAGCACCCATTCCTTTGCCTCGGCGACCCAGATGGACATCGACGAGCCCACCGATCCTGGCTCGAGCAGCCGCGGCGGCCCGCCTGAACCAAACGCTGCTTCTCCGGCCGGCCAGCCAGCGACTCGCGCACCTGGATCGTCTCCTGCATCCGAGCTGCATCCTCCTCTTGGTCCGGCGCAGCCTCAAGGGCCAGCGACCACCTCCAAGGCCGCGGGAGCGCCTTCGCCGTCTCCTCTCTCGACGCTGCCGCTTCCTTCGCTCGCTGGTGCCAGTCCTCCATCGGGCCACGGTGCGGCTGCATCAGGACCGGCTGCCGTGGCAGGATCCGGTCCTGGCTCAGCGTTCCCAGTGCCGCCGGCTCCGGGCACTGGCTCCGAGCGACGCACGGCGGCATCGGCTCCCGCATCCAACCTGCATCTGCCATCGGGATCGTCGGCATATTCCTCACCGCACGCGTCGTCGCCGTCGAATCCACCACCATCATCGAAAGTGCTGAACCCAGGATCGTCGCAGCCGCCACAGCCATCGCAGCCGTTCTCGCCTCCCACAAAGCAGACACCGTTCCCGCCGCAGTCGCCCTATCCAAAGTCCCAGTCGTCGTCGTCGTCGGCCCCGGTGCCAATGTCGTCTCCGTTGCCGCCAATGTCGAGTGTGTCGGCCTCGTCGCTGCCGCTTTCGCATCCGTCCCACTCGCACCCGTCGACGTCGCCATCGCCGCTGGGATATCCGTCTCGGCCATCGCCAACGATCCTCCCGCCCCTCAACCCACAGCCCGGCCCTGGTCCCGGCCATGAGTCTGGCCACAGCCACCTTGGCAACTTTGGGCCGCCATCGCAGGGCCACCAACTGCTCCCGCCTCCCTCGTCGCACGCCCTCCCGCCGATGAGCAGCTCGCATCTCGGTGGGCCGCTTGGTCCTCCTCTGGCAGCGCTGAACGGGCCTGGGTCGGCAAGCAGCCTCGAGCAGCAGCAGCATGCTTCGTCGCTGTCGTCGATGGGCGACGAGGGCGGCAATGTGCGATCGCTCAACGTCGGCCACGCACTGTCGTACCTGGACCAAGTCAAGTTCCAGTTCGGCGACCAGCCTGAGGTGTACAACCGGTTCCTGGACATCATGAAGGACTTCAAGTCGCAGAGGTGGGAAAGCTCAGGTCGCAGCAGATATGGCGAGGGATGGGAGGGATCGGGCCGAGTTGATGGCGGGGCCGGGTGAGGGCAAGACCATGCCAGACCATGCTGGACCATGCCGGACCATGCCGGACCATGCTGACACAAGCCCGCATCCACATCCACATCCACATCCTCAGATCGCCTTTGGTCGGCTCCCTCGAGACTCCCGGCGTCATCGACCGAGTCTCGACCCTGTTCCGCGGCCACTCGGCCCTCATCACCGGCTTCAACACCTTCCTCCCACCGGGATACCGCATCGAGGCCACCAGCAACCCCCACGATCCCGTGCGCGTCACCACCCCGGCCGATGTCCATCACATCCAAGGCATTTCGGGCTCGGTCTCGATCGTCAGCACCGGTGTCTCGGTCAATGCAGCGGGCCCTGGCGCCTCTGCATCCGGGTCGGTGCTCCCGGCCCCCGGCCCAGGCCCAGGCTCGTCCTCGGGCGCCGGTTCGGTCCCTGCCGGCCCTGGCATGGGGGTCGGGATCGGCCCAGGTGGTCCGCCGATGGCTCCAGGCTCGGCCGGCTCGTCTGGCGCTGGCTACTACGGCCAGTCCCGTCCTGGCGGATCGGGCTACTACCCATCGCCGATCCCACCACATCCGGACCACGCCACTGCAGCCCACATTGGCTCGGCGGCCTTGTCGTCGGGCTACATCGGTCCAGCCCATCCGGCCGGCGCTCCGGGCCAGTCACCGCATCTCGGCAGCGCATCGGCGCGAGGAGGACCGGGTGCGGCCCCTGGCGGCAGCGCAATGCGCCCATCGGGCCCGGCCGAACCGCCCAATGGCGACAGTCGCCGGCCGCCAGTCGAGTTTGGCCATGCCATCAACTACGTCAACAAGATCAAGGTTTGTGTGGGGCTGCAGGCTGGCTGAGCATTGGCGAGGGGTGGACATCGGGGTTGTGGCAGGCTCGGCAGTTTGCTCGCAGGTCGGCTGTTGGTCGGTCCGTCGACTGCTTCTTCGTCGCAGGGCAACTCACCCTCAATCCCACGCCTGAATCATCGGCGTGCTGCTGTCCACAGAACCGCTTTGCCTCCGAGCCCGACATCTACCGCCAGTTCCTCGAAATCCTCCAGACCTACCAGAAGGAGCAGCGGCCGATCCAAGAGGTCTATGCCCAAGTCCAGGTCCTCTTCCGCCACAACCCCGATCTGCTGGACGAGTTCAAGCAGTTCCTCCCCGACAACAGCCAGTCGCAAGGCGCTGGTGGTGGACAGGGGCTCCCGGGTGGTTCTGGACCAGGTACGCATGCGACAGTGGATGCCGATTGTGCCGGGTGGTCGGGTGGCCGCATCGTTGGACCGATGTGATGATAGCGACTGCGGCCGGTGCTGTCGAGGGCTGTGGCCCGTGAGTGATCGGTCCTGAGCGATCCCCCGTGCGCCTTTGGCAGTGGCGAGCACAAGAATCACTGACTGAAGCACCTCCTTGCCACCTGAACGCATCTCGATGGCACGCCCAATCATCTGTGGTGCGGGCTCATCGCACGCTCTCACACGGAACGGACTGTGGCCGACCAGAATCCTCAGGAGCAGGCTATCCGGTCGAGCTGGGCCGCAGCAGCTCCCTCGGTCCACAATCTTCTGCCTTGAACAAGACCCCAAAGAAGCGCACCCAGCCCTCGTCGACCCAGCCAGCGACGGGTGCAGCACCGAGTGCACCCGATGGCCTGGTTGGCGCTGCTGGCGGACCGGCGGCTGTCCTTCCAGGCGGAATGGTCACCGCAGCGTCCAGCGGCGGGCTCGGTGGAGGAGGCACGCCCAGAAGCAAGAAGCAAAAGATCACCAGCATCCAAGCAGCGAGCCCAATGGCTCAGTCGCAGCAGGGATTCGGCCAGCGCGGCGGGGCTGGTCCGAGCCAGACTCCGGCGGCATCGGCGTCGGCAGCAGCATCGACAACCACAACCTACGAAGAGCTCGAGTTCTTTGAGAAGTGCAAGAAGGCGATCGCGTCCAAGCGAACGTACGACGAGTTCCTCA